CACCTCGTAGTCGCCCGAATAAATATTGGATCAGTTTTTTCACAACAGATCTTCAGAACATTCTCACATTAAATGACAGTCTTCAGACAGACCAGGAGAACATTTACATTATGAGAGACCTGTCTCTGTCTCAGCTACAAACTCTCATGAGATCTCAACAGCACAGATCACCTCTCTCTGTTCTGGTTCCACTGCTGCAGTAGAGCTGCCGTCGCTTTCCAGCCACAGAGCTTTAGAGGGACCTGTACTGCAGCCATGAATTAAAGGTTAAAACTGAAGTAAAACGTTGTGTTTCTTTCTTTGTTTGTTTCTTTCTTTCTTTTCAGACTGATATGATCTTGTTCTGGGTTGATCAGATATTAAGCTCACAGATAAAAAAACGAACAGGATAATCAGTTGTAAATTAACAATTTTAAAAACTGTCAGTTTAAGTGTTAATTTATTCAAACAATTGGAAACTAACTACAACATCAACTCAATAGAAATGGGCCACATGTTAATGAAAGCAGTACCTGCACACCGGATGTACAGTTCACCGCCTGTCTCACTGTGAATGTGGTGTCGCTTCTCTCTCCAGGGCAGAAGATGACGGTGCGATCGTACAACCTCCTCATCCTGGCAGCGTGGCTGAACGCCGTGTTCTGGTCCTCCATGCCCATAGTGGGCTGGGCTGGTTACGCCCCCGACCCCACTGGAGCTACATGCACCATCAACTGGAGACAGAATGATGCGTGAGTTATCAAAAATACTGAGGAAATGACTGAAGCAGTTTAAAACAAGATAACCCAGTAGTGCCCCAGCATGTACTAGTGTGACACATTTTATATGGTGGGCTTCTGTAAATGGACCCCAACCTCGCTAATATAACGCCCACTTTAGAAACGTATTTAAACTGCTGCTGCTTCTTTTACTGTTAGAGCTCGTATTAAAAGTTTCTACTAGAGCTAAAAACCACAGAACCATCCTGTTATTCTACTGATATTAACGCTGTCACAGCTGCTACTACCACTTCCTTAATAAAGCCAGACTCATAATAATGATAATGATAATAATAAACTTTATTTGTATAGCACCTTTCATACAGGAAATGTAGCACAAAAAGCTTTACAACAAAGAAATAACGTCCACCAAGTGCTTCACATGAAAATACATAAAATTAACATAAAACTATATTAAAAACATAACTGTAAAATGACATGGAACAATAATAAAATAATAACATTGAAATAATAAATGAAATAAATAATTAATTAAAGTAAGTACAAAAAAAGAACTAAATAAGTAAAGGTATCTGAAGACATTTAGAAACAGTGTCTCCACTACAGGGTTTATCCACCAGAGAGCACTGAAAACTGATGAACTGCAACACACAGGCCCAGTTTATAGACGGCCAGATTGAAATTGATACTACCTCTATTAATAATGCGTAAAGTTCCCCTACAAACAGATATGAGCTGATTCTTATCTAGACAGACACTCAGAGAGCGCAGACCTCAGCCCACGATAGTGTCAAACAACATGAACCAGGCTCCAGAGGAAAGAATTCCCATTCACACATCTGTCCTAAAACCGAATGGACTCCTCCCTGTGACCCATGACCCTTCACCTCACCAGGTCTGCTAATAATAAAGAGACAGGGGAAAACGTAACCTGTTTGGTACCTGATGTAGTTAATGTTAATGAATAGTTACTAGTAGTAGTAGTACATAGTTAGTTTTTTTACAGTCTTTTATTAACTAAATTTGAACTGAATGTAGATTATTAAACTTTATTTACAACATTAACACACACACTAACACGTTAGCCGGGCCTGACACAAGGTACGACCCAGTGTGTGACCGTGTGACACTGACTCTGCTTCTCCTCCACAGCTCCTTCATCTCTTACACTATGGCGGTGATTGCTGTGAACTTCGTGCTGCCTCTCTCCGTCATGTTTTACTGCTACTACAACGTGTCGGTCACTGTGAGGAGGTACAAAGCCGGAAACTGCCTGGACAGCATCAACGTCGACTGGTCCGACCAGATGGACGTCACCAAGGTGAAAACTGAGCCTCTTTCAGGCTCTCGCTCTTTTTCCGCTGCTGCGTGTCCCTGAGGTAGTTGGTGGAGGCCGTCGTTTCGGTTCGACAGAGTTGCTCAGCATCCGGCTAACAGTCAGTTAATCAGTGTGTTTTCCTCCACATGCTGCCCTGAAAATGAGCCACCGGTGAAAGGCTTCAGGAGTTCACTGCAACCACGGCAGAGACGTGACATGAGGAAGACTCAATGCATCCAAATGCAATGTTGGCATAAGCTGTGTCCCAGTTCAGAGGCTGCGTTTGAAGACCTACTGCGTCACAGCAGTGCGACTACACCGTCCCATTTCAAATGCCCCCTCCGAATGCGGCCGAGAAATGCGCCCTTATTTTCCTGGACCACGAAGGATCCAGCGGGTGGATCCCTCTTGGCTAATGTTGGGTTTCAGCTCAGTTCAACAGCTAGTGGTTCGACTGCTGAGGCTCTCTTTGCGACTAAATGTGAGGGCTGGCACAGCTGGGGACGCACAGTAAAAAATCCTCCGTATATACCAGACCGTCTCATTTCATTCCGGCCTTCGCGATCTATGACGACTGCAAAGGGCCACATCTTCGTAGACCGCGTCCTCCGAAGGATGCGGCCCCTGAATTGGGACACAGCGATAGTCACATTTTATGGTCGTCCGTCTCACACGAGTCTGTATTCGGTTTTAATCAATACAGTCTTCATAGGCTAAGAACTAGAACTGCGACCCACAGGCACCAGTTGAGTTTTGTATACAGTATGTCGCTACACTGATGGTGTACTGGGCTGTGAGCTTCAGAGAGGATATCTGTAAACAGATATGGGCCGGTCCTGGTCTGCAGCAGCTGCTTTTGCTACACGGCTGCTGTAGACAAGTTGTAGGCTCACTGCCGAGCTTGTCATGGTCAGTGTTGGGCCCAATCCCAATGCCCCCCCCCCCAACCCCTGAACCCTCTGAGACCTCATTGACGTCACCTGGTGTGAGTGATTGAGCATGAGACGCTTCGAGGGCTCCAAATACTATAAAGACGAATAGGACAGCACTTTGTGACATATCATGTTACCTTGACGACACCAAAACATGTTTCGTATAATTGTGGGTTTGGGGACTTTTTGGGTTTTGCATTTTTTACACGCTCACTTCTCTCCGTTTGCGATGAGGAAAGTATATATGTCATCACAGGACAAATGACCACACACAGTCCAGGCTCTGAATCACCACTGAGCAAAGTGTTTTTTTCTTCTTGTTTAGCATATTTTAAACGCTTCCAGACCTCCCCTGGTAACCATGGTAACCCTGTGTTGAATGTCACAACACTGTGAACTGTGGGTAATTCCCTCAGGCAAAGTCCCTCAGGCATTTGAAATGCAGACTTATAGAAAGTGTGCATCAAGGGCCCTACAGGTCTGCTAGAGAGTCCTCATGGACTTGATGGTTTGACAGTGAGACAATGACTGCACAGACATGATGGCTTTACACTGGGACAGTCCTAAGACCTCATCCACTTACCAGGAACACACCTCAAAGTCACACCTCAAACACTGGGATTGATTAGAGACATATATTTATTTCAGACCGCTCGGTGTCCACAGACACACCCACATCACTGACCTCCATGTGAATCTACTTGACCAGGACAAACAGAGAGATCACTGAGATCCCGCCTCATGTTCTTTTCTTCTTCTTCTTCACCTTCGTGTCTCTCTCCTAACGGTCTCGCCTCTCTCCATCTGTGTCAGATGTCCATAGTGATGATTGTCATGTTCCTGGTGGCCTGGTCTCCCTACTCCCTCGTGTGTCTCTGGGCGTCATTCGGTGACCCAATGACCATACCTGCCCCGATGGCTATCATCGCTCCTCTCTTTGCCAAATCCTCCACTTTTTACAACCCCTGCATTTATGTCGTAGCCAACAAGAAGTGAGTGTGTTTCCGTTTTTACATTATGTGATAGACAGATGTGTTTGTGGTGCATTCAAGGGCATAAATGATCTTTTCCTCCAGGTTCAGAAGAGCCATCATAGGGATGATCCGATGTCAAACCAGGCAGCGAATCACCATCAATAGCCAGGTTCCCATGACAACCTCCCAGCAACCTCTGACCCAGTGAGATGAAACGAAAGCATCGCGTTGTATTATTAGAGCCCGACATTAAAACCACGTGCAGACGATTGGTCTGATGAAGTAACGTGAATCTTTCTGTTATAGTTATTATTCTGTTTGATAACCTGACTGTGCATCCTGGTGTTTACTGTGTAAATCCCACTTGCTGTGACATTGTAGTCATTGGTTGTGTTCCAGTTACTTCAATAACAAACTGACAATGAAAGTCTGTGTGTGTGTGTAGTCCTCTGTGTACAGATGTGCCAGCTTCTGCATCAGAGACAAAGGCTCTCTGGTAAATAACCCTCCAGCTGAGGGTACAAGTGTCAGCTACAGGTAGAAACAATGGGCTCATCACAGCTCCGCCACTCTCCTCTCCTCTCCTGCAGCAGGGGGATCTTTGTCAAGAGTTCCCAGTGTGGAGAGAGGTGACAGGTGGGGTCTCAGTGTGTGGATACCCCGTGGGATGTCAGGCAGATGGTCCTGGTTGTGTAGCTGCCATGACAAGCCACGAATGACGCACGCAAACACCCCCAAGGTGCACATGTTGCGAGCTAGTCAAACCCTAAGCCTAACCCTCACGGGTGCCTTGGTAGTGGAACAGGCCGTGTGTTTTGGACAAAAGGTGCTTTGAATAAAAATGGTTCGCCCTGTCAGCACAGACTGTCAGGCCAACCTTTGAGGAAAAATCTCGTTGTGTTAACGTGATGAAGACATAATATTCATAATGAACCTACACTGTGATCATGAGAAGTCCGACACCTAACGTTCAAAATAGTTTTTATTCAGTTCGACAGAGAGTATCATACAAACATTTGTATTTGTGACAAAATAATTCAGGCTTTTTTTTTTTTTTTTATATATATAAGTTAAAGTTTTACAAAAAAATATTGAAGAGACTATAAATATCCTTCAGGATCAGAAATGATTGTTAGTAGAGATGAGAGATCTTCAGTGATCAATAACAACCTTCTTACCGACATGATAAGAGAACACAGTACAACAACTATCAGAGTTAATTTACATGAAACAGGAGCTCACTGTTTAATTAGTGACAGCAGTAGTAAATGACAACATGACTGTTTCTGCTGACTGGACTGAGACTGGACGTGGACTCTTGTGGATCACAGACTTGGACTTAGATCTGTTGAGGAATGAATTTAACTGATGTAAAGAACTCATAAGAAAGAAAGTGGTTATTTGTTTTTACTGTTGCCCCCCCCCCCCTCCTCAAACAGAACCTAATCTCAGCCTGAACTCCCCGTGTACAGTACGTACTGACTGGGAGAAGACCACATGTACAGCAGCAGGGGACTGTGATGATCTGGTCCTTCAGTTACAGAGTTCCTGTCTCCAGTCACTGCTGCTGTCTCAGGCCACGTTGGCCTCCAGCCAGCCCGCGATCTCGCCCCCGTTCCTCCTGATCCACGCGATGTTGTTCCTCACCGTCTCCAGGGCCTGCTTCCGGGGCATCTCCCCAGCTCCAGCATCTGGAGTCAGACCGAAGAAATGCTCCATCTACAAGACCAGCAGAGAGACACGTGTCACCGGAGACCTGGACCCAAACCGACAACCTCTATTGACAAAACCAGATATTATATCTTGCTCACAGCCGTCGTTCAGTGATACCCTTTCGTTGATTTGCTTTTTGGTCTGATTCTTTATCGATTTCCTCAACGAGTCCTGATCAGTTTTTTAGGATCGGTCTGTGTCCTCCTCTCCTGAAAAGTGATGCCCACGTTGACAGGGGGGGAGGTGGGGCCCTTGCATAATTTGTGGAGTCCTACACAACGTGCATAGTGAGGCTCTGAAAAACATGCTGGTGTTGCGTGGAAGTCCGTTCCCCTTGAGATAGTGTTTCCCTCCCTTTACAAGACTGTTTCCTGTAGCAGCTTCTTTATATCTTCTCTATATAAAAGTGTTTACAGTGCCAAAAATAGACTCAACTGTGAACTCATTTCCTGGTTATAAAACTGGACCAGAGATTCATTTTCCTTCTAAAACACACATTTGTATCATTATAATATGAATATAGGATTTCATATTAAGTGTACAGGTTCCTGACACACACACACACACACACACGCACACACACACACACACACAGAGCAAAGGAAACAGCTGACCTTCCACAGCTGGAGCTCTGTGTTGTAGGTGGTGGTGATTCGACTGAGCAGACGACCGAGGTTCCTGTCGTTGATGGTGTACCTGTGAACAGAGGACGTTCAGGACCACCACCAGGTAAACACAGATGAACACAAACATGTTTGACTGAAGGTCGACAACTACAACACGATGTAGTTTTGATGTAAAACGAGGTGACATGGTTTTGGGTTCTAACCTAATCTGACTGAACTTCGCAGTTCTGTTTTTAGTCTTATCTTATCTTCTTTATTCAGACACATGTTTAGTCACTTTAACAGCTTTCATCCTCATCAGCTGATACAGGGTCACATGGTGCTGCAGTCTTCCTCCAAACACACCCTGGAATCATTTTATGACAACAAGAGGTCAGGTTTGTGACTGTGTGAGTCACAGCTAAAGTCAGAGCTGACGTAATCATGTTGCGATATTAAGTCCATAGAACAGTTTTTGGATATTTTTAGCTTACGGTTATATTTGCTATTTGCATCAGCTCATGGAGCTGTGAGGCCGTTTCCAGTCCACACGAGCAGAAAGGGTTTAGAAACAAGCTGGTAACACGTGGCCTGTGAAAAGCCTCTGACTGTGTGACTGTGTTATATTTTGTCACAGCATCAAACATCACATGGATCTGTCTATCTTCAAACATTACCCTGTGTTAGATCCTGTGCTTGCTTACACTTTTATGTCCTCTGGGCTTTTATTTTTGGACTTTTTTTTTTTTACACTTCACTTCCTTTTCCTGTCTGTCCACCAATCGACTGTCTCTGCCAAATGAGAAAAACGAATAGAGCATGTGATTTTGTTTTTGGTTTAGAATTAAAAAATAAAAAAAAACCCATATGAATTAGTTTTTGGTTTCAAACTAAAATAATGATGAAAGGAAAATAAAAAAAATGATGATGAAAATGATCAATGACCATTAAAGGTTCTGGACTCCTATTCCTATTTTACCATCTGAATGTTCTCAGGGTCTCTCCTCTTGTTTCGAGGCAGTTTTATGGATGTTGGATGTTATCATTTCCTTGGGAAGTATAAGTCAAACTGAATAATATCTGTGTCTCAGCCCCCCCCCCCCTTCACCTCTCCCCCCGGGGAGGCCTTTGGCTCTCTCTCCTGGTCTTGTCCTGCCAAACATCTCTGTCCATTACTGACCACATCTCGTTTCTCCCTGATGATTAAAATGCTGTCCAGAACTATGACTTCAATGACCAGAGAACATAGAGAATGTTTTATTCTCCACCTCCCTCTATAACGTCATCAGTGTGTACAGGTCTGAGGTGGGTGGACCTGTGGGTGCACTGGGTTTTCACAGGACAGTTGGATTCAAGTCAAAGCGAAGACGCTAAGTGGCTCGTGAACCTGCAACATGGTGAAGTGGCCCCCGACACTGATAGTACAGTCCGTCAGACATCGTGTTTCTCTGTCGAAGAGCTAATGCAGCGTAAAGCTTCAGTTGATAAACGTCTCAGCCTGTCTGTCTCTGTCAGCTGTGGGTGGAGTCTTGGTGGACTGACTGACCTGTTGACCAGATAGTCCCAGTTCAGTGTGGTCCAGTCCCAGGCCATGCTCTGTCCCAGGGGGTTTAAGGACACGTAGCGCACCACGGTGAACAGGTCCTGACTCCTCACCACGTTCTCATTCTTGGTGGCCTCCAGGAGCCTGTGGGGCAGAACAGAGGTGTTTCTCTCCACATAATGAAGCTGCACCGGGTCAGACTCTACCAACAGCTTCACTCACAGTGTCAATGCCTCCGGCCGAGTGCAGCGAAGTTGACCTTTGACCTTTTGGATTTAAAATGCCATCACTTCATTTTATCCTTATTGACATTTGAGTTAAATTGTGTGACAGTTAGGGTATGAATTTGTGACCAAAATCGTGGTTTGTGAGGTCACACTGACCTTGACCTTTGACCACAGAAATTTCATCAGTTAATCCAAATTTGAAGAAGTTCTGCGAAGGCGTTACTGAGATATTGCGTTCACAAGAATGGGACAGAGGGACAGACAACCTGAAAACATAACGCCACTGTTGTTTTCCATATACTGGGATTGTCAGTGATTAGCAACAACATTGACTTTGATGCATTATTATTTTTTGTGTTGTGTCAGATTTAAAACCAAAGCTCACACTTGTGACCTCAGAGGAAAAAAATATGTGTATAAAAAGAATAAAAAGACTGTAATAAAAATATAATATATTAATATTATTTTACACTTTCACTGAATGAATTTTTCTGTCCTGATCATAACTACCAAACATTCAATCTCTTTGAAGATTCTGATCCTTTAAATGCAGTTTGTTAACATAACACCTCTGTTGTTTTTTTTTATGAATCAAAAAAAAAAAATGAAAAATGTCCCTAAAGACGCTCAAGGGTTAAAACACAGACCTCTGTCCACAGTGAGACATCAGGGGAAAAAACAGCCACATCTCATCTGTGTTGTGCAAACCATAAACCTGCATCACTGCCAGCATCCAGTGAGCAGTGGGACAAAGTGCGTGTCTGCATTTAACGTGAGCGGACACACAGCCCCAGCCTGAAACACCACAGATACGTCTGAATATTTACACATGATTCAAACCATTTGAAGAAGATTTTGTAACAACAAAGCTTTCTGTTATGGTTAAACCAAGTGCAGCTTTACAAAAAATAAATCTCTGGCATCTGCAGGTAAAAACAGGATGTCCATGTGTCCATCCACTATTGGCTCATCTCTGGTTCCAGGTGATGTCACCGTTAGGTATACCCACTGTAGTACCGCACACGTGATCTCAGCAGGGCTAGAATGCAGTGGAAGGTTATCAGATTGGACGCTGTGTATAGTTGAGACGTTCTGCTTACTTGTAGAGAAGGTGGACGTCCTCCACAGAAGCCAGTCCATACAGCAGCTTGTCCTTCTCCTGAGCCAGAGACGAGTCTTTGTACTTCTGGAACATGGTGTTCCACTTGGCCACATTGCCGGAGTTCTTCATGCCGTACCGGTAGACCAGCAGCCTGAGGTTCACCGCCACGCTGCTGCAGGTCAGAGGGGTCAGGAGACTTTGAGGTCATGTCACCAGAGAGGAAACACTTCATGTGACACAACACACAGTTGTTTTTTAAAGCATCACCAGTAAATATCAGGTCAGGATGAATCAAAGAGCAATAGTTCTTGATGTCATGTGGTTCATTCTGCTGGTTATGCACACAAATGATTAAAATACAACACATTCCAGTTGCAGGTCTGTTACTGTAGAATACTTTATTATCTGTGTGTGAGGAATAAAACAGCAGAGTGTTGTTACCCGAGACCTCCATCGATCCATTGGTCAAAGATACGAGAGGCTTCTTTCAGAGCCTCTTCATCCCCCATCTGGCAGGCCAGACTGAGCACGGTCTCCCTCAGTAACCTGCCACACACATCCAAACCACCATCTTACATCAGCTGATAAAGTAGTGCATGGGTAAGACACATGTTCATTGACAGCCGCTCACTGATCAGACCAGGGGGAGACCTGAGGTGTTGTCTGTGATGGACATGAGAGTGGCTGGTGTAGTTGTGTGATGGGTCCTGGTGTACCTCTCTGTCTGTGTGCCAGTATCATTCCATCCAAGTTGTGTAGAGATTTGTTTCACATGATCACGGAAGAGTTTCTAGAGGAAAGAAAGAAGAACATGGTTCTTAATCAGCACAGGGAAACTACACAAAACCTCACTGATCCACTTCAACTGTTTCGAGGAGTACAAGTGATTACTGGACCATATATATATATATATATATATACTGTATGTATGTATGTGTTTCCATATATATGTATATATTTGTGTTTTGTCTGTTTGCATGTGTTTTCTTAAGTTGCAGTGTGTTGAGCGTTCTTGGAAAATTAGGTGAAGAAACCGGTATCTTCACTTAGTTGTGCTGTAAATATTAAAATTCATATCGTAACTTATTATTTGTTTGTATCCAATACAGGTGTTTCCTGCTTTGAACTCTTAGTGCAATTAACCTTTGAACACCATCCACAGCTGTGGTGTAATGAATGATATATATTGATTTATGATTTAAACTAAAATGTTTCATAGAATGCAAAAAAAAAAAAATGACGTGTTGATTTTGCTGAGATGGTTGGTTGAAAATTTAGATCACAATTAAACGTAATGGTGATATGATGTTTGAAATGAGACATCTTTTACACCCGGACGGACCGGCCGCCTGCTCACCTGGAACTTCTTGTAGATCGTAGCGTTGCCTGACAGCATGTCCCGGACATAGGCGATAGAGGAGGCCAGGCGGTCCCAGACAATGTAATCAGTCTCATTCTTCAGGTACATGGTGAGATTGAAGGCATTACCATAATCTATGATGTCTGCCCTGAATAGAGAGAGGAAGCAGGGTTTACAGTCTCTGTAAATGACCGGAGACGTGAAAGTTCAGACGGTGTTTGATCTGAGGGAACTCTCACCTTGCAAGTGCAAAAACATCATCAATGTAGCTCGTACGATCAGCAGCGTCAAACTCCTGTTTCAGACAGAAAAGTGAGTCAAACAGAAGATGAAGTTAGCATCCAAGGTAAATGTAAATTTAAATAATAATCATTTTTTAAATAATATACCTGTGTCTGTTAGTTTTAAACCTACAATTGATTTAATATAGGTTTAAGAGAATGAAAATAAAGGTATAAAGGGTCACTGTTTTTCTTAGGTTCTGGAGAATAAAGTTTCAATATCTCTAAGTTATAAAGTTATGAGGAAAAAGTTTAATATAAGAAGATAATGTTATAAAATAAAGCCAGCCAAAATTCTGTTATGTTTAGTTTTAGTTTTTTCTTATATAGATTTTGATTACAAAATGACTTTAGTCTCTAAACATTACAACTTTTTCCTTTAAATATTTGAACTTTATTCTGAAAATCCCTGCGTGTAACATTGTAAAAACAACACGACAGCAGACGTCTCTGAGGACAGCTTTACCGTGTGGTTGTTCTGAAGCTGCTGACTGATGGCGGTCCACATGAGGTTGTCGTGGTTGACTCTGTAGAATCCAATGTGATCATTGTTGACTTTCAGCAGACCGTCCACAGAGGGAGAGTAGTCACTGATGACGTGCTCTGATAATCAACAGTCAGTAGTTAGTGTGTGGAAATGGATATTTGAACTGGATCAAGTGTATTATTCTTTCTCCCCTGTTTAACTATTAGGTGCCATTATGAGGAGATAGATCAAATTTGACACACTTCACTGACTGGTTTAAAAGCTGATTATTGATCACACTACCTGTGCTGCTCTTGTTAAACATGGACAACATATTCTTGTCACTTTTCACAGAGTGCCATTTCACTGGGATCATCCATTTGTACCTGTAACAGAAGCACATTCACTTTAAACCTTTAAACCATACATTTTCATTTAATTGTTCAAAGCTGCAGTTATCATCTTTCATGACTCTGCTTTGGAAAAAGTTCTGGCACTTTAGCTGCTTAGATGCTATGCTATGTTCAACAGCTGGTCTCTAAAGCTGGATTTCTTCTTCTGTGTCACACCCACTCTTTGTGTGTTGTAATCTGAGTTTCTCTGTTCTTTGTTTTGGTAGCCGCTCTGGTATCGTGTGCATGTTAGTGAACCGTTGGTCCTCCCCACAGACACAGGCTCTGCCCACAAGTGAAATGGCTCAGTGCAATACGCAGCGTTCAGGTGAGTGCGACCTTTCATAATTTCCCTCACTGAAGAAGAAACCTAAAATAAATCTAAAGAGGCCTCAGACAAAGAAAGATGAGACCAGAGCACAGGTGGACTGGACTGAGGGCTTTCAACTCAGACTGTCAAAACATAAAGTTTTTAAAGTCTTTACCGGCTCCATCAGTGTCATTTGTGTGGCCGGTCCTAGTGGATCAGTCCAAGGCTGAATTTCCTTCCCAGTCCGACCATGGAGCAAATACTGGTCTGGTTTTACTGAGAGGGTCCAGCTGGACTCAGAACAGTTATTTCTTCTCATCCATGTGTCAGTAACTTAATGGTTCATAATGTTACATGTCTGTTCATTAGTGACGGCTACTTGTTGTGGTCTGAGATGCTGGTGGTCGAGTGCGACATCTAGTGGCAGTGATGATCATTTACAGGCGCACCAGATCTATGGCAACTACATGCGTAGGCTTTAAGGTTACGTTGTAGCCGGTGGAGCTTGTTGAGAGTGAAGACACGAGAAGTTAAAGAAAGACTTAGTAGTTTTCTTCTTGTCAGTAACAAATGACTGACTTCTGCTCACTGCTATGTATGAAAGAATGAACATGAACACAGCAACTTCATGCAGCTAGCCAGTATTTATCAGCCTTTAGTCTTTTTGCAGTGTTTGATGGGTAATATTACCAAAATAGAACAAATACCATCGTAATCCACTTCTACACAGCTCTGAGGATTTGTTATTTCTATCCTCTTACCCAAGAGGTGAGGGGGGCAGGCTGGCATCAGCTTGAGGATCCAGGAGGAAACGCTTCTGGCTCAGTTTGGCATTCGTCTCTGAGACAGACAGGTCCAGCACAGGATAACCCATCTGATTGGTCCATGTGTCCATCACCTCTGCAACAGGCAAGCCACTCACCTGAGTACAGAGAGGTGAAAGTGTGAAAGTTACAGACAAATGTTTTTTTCTGTCTGTGTGTGAGATTCAGATTGATCACAGAGCTGGAGTCAGGATGTGGTTAGCCTAGCATAGCATAAAGACTAGAAGCAAGGGGAAGGAGCTAGTCTGGCTCTGTCCATCACATCTGAGGCTCACTGATTAACATTTTTTATTCCATACACAAACAGAGAAGGGGTTGTGTACTGGAACTGTCTCTTGGCACAGTGAGCGTATGAGCCAATAACAACCCACGCTATACAGTAGGGGGAGACACTGTACAGAAGCACTAAGTGGATGGATACACTTCTGTTTATCAGGAAGTAGTTTGAGCTGATGACTCCTTTTAAAACCACTAATTGTTATCTCTGAGTAAAGATTGTGAATCACTGAGCTTTTCCAGGTGATGGTACGTGTATTTTTGAACTTTGGACATCTTGAGGCAAACTGTTTTTATGCTAAGCTGTCCTGACTCCAGTTCTGTACTTAACACTCAGACATGACACATCACATCCATCTTCTGAGCTCACATTCATAACATCAATCTGGCCTTGCACAGAAACTGAGGATAAAACTGATAAAGCTCAAACTCACACTGGCAAGTGATGCCCAGAAGTTGGCTGTTTTGGCGTTATTGAAGTAGTAGTCTTTCAAATATTTCTGGTGAAAGATGAAAAAGAATTAAAAACAAACAGAAACAGCCTTTAATGAACATTAATCGTTGGCAATGATCTGTCATGAAGCTGCAGCAATGTTCGCCTTACCCGACAGCCGTCTCTGAACATGTCTTTACCCATCCAGTCCTCCAGCATCCGAAGAATGGACGCTCCCTGCAAAGAGTTGGATAATTTCCATGATACTGTTTGTCTGTGTTGATTTGTCATGGTTTCCACAGGAATCAAGGTATTCTGAACATTACACTGAGGTTTTCCGGCGGTCATACCTTGCTGTATGAGATGCCATCAAACACGGAGGTGATCTCTGCTGGGGTGGACACGTTCACAATGATTGGGTGAGAGGAGAGGAGGGCATCATCCACCATCACAGGAAGCACGTCGCTGATGATCATGATGTCTCGCTGTGGACAACAGTTAATGAGCAATCCTCAACATGACTGGTCTATTGTCAGTGTGACTGATGGTTAAACGAAGACTCACCATGCCCCATGTAGGTTCAGCTCTCTCCACACCAACGTACTCAAAGAAACTGGCAAAGCCCTCATTCAGCCAGAGGTCATCCCACCAGTCCATCGTCACTATGTTCCCAAACCACTGGAAAAAGACAATGAACATGAGCTTTAAGGGTCCAAACAAAGGAAGGTGTGTATGGAATTGAATCTATATCCTGGCAGGTTTCAATCTGGATCAGTGTCTACCATTGAAAACAGTGAGGGGCAGACCACTGTGAGCTTCAGTGTAAATCTCTCATATTCAATTTTGTTGAGAAAAGTTGTTGATGGACTATAAACACACCAAGCACTTTATTAGGAACACCTGTACACCTGCTTATTCAGGCATTTAATCATCAGCCAATCATGTGTCAGCAGTGTATAAACTCCTGCAGATCCAGGTGAGGAGCTTCAGTTAATGAGGAAACATAGAAACATGTGACCTCAGTGACTTTGAGCTTCATGATTGTTGGTCTGAGTGTTTCTCAAACTGCTGTTCTCCTGGATTTTCACTCAGTTTTTACTCAGAATGGAGCAACAACAAAAGCATCCAGTGAGCAGCAGCTCTGTGTTGATGAGAGAGGTCAGAGGTCAAAGGAGAATGGGCAGACTGGTTAGAGCTGACAGAAAGACTATAGTCACTCAGATAACCATTCTTTACAGCTGTGTTGAGTAGAAAAGCTTCAGCGTGAACAACACATCCAACCTTGAGGTGGATGGACTACACTAAAACCAGTTACCAGTTCAGGATGGATGGAGCTCACTGAGACCAGTTGAGTGAAGGAGCAGTAGAAACTCAGTGTGTTCCAAACATGAAACAGACTGTTATCAGTTTGATGCAACCACGTGATGGGAAAAAAAACAAATCCATCAAATCAGCTCACTGTTCTTTTGACAATGCTTTTATCTTTATTTCACATAGAGAGTTCAGAGTTCCCAACTGTAAATGTTTAAAATCCCTAATGTGTTATTGTTCAAGCTTTTTATGATGCATGATGGGAACAAATCTTTCCAGCATATCAGCTGTTACATGGTGATGACAGATAAGATGTCATGAGGCAGTCAATAAAGTTTTATGAACTATTCAAAGATACAGCAGTGAGGGATCAATGGTGGTTCATTTTGAATGTGTCCTCTGGGTGACAGAGTTTAATACTGTATAAACACAGTACCAGGTTTACCAGTGTATGTTATTGAAGCTTGTTTGGATAGATGGACTAAATTCCTAATTCTTACAAGTCCCACAAATATTTAAATAAACGTCATACAACAGAGTTTGTGATTATTTGTGTAAATATTATGAATTATAAAATATCAATATTTTTTTTATTGAAAAGATCTTTAAAAACATAACAAACTTTTAAAATTCCTGCCTGTATTAAAGCCTCTGTGATAAACCAGAGTGGAGACTGTGGAGCTTCCTACATGTTTCCTCTGCTCTCAGTTCAGTCCTGAATGTTTGACCGTTATTTAAAATAAAAAGTGCTGTGGGAATGTATCATTTGGCCTCCATATTTTTAAGTTGTCGGATGTGGGCAGCCAAAATTTTTGAGATTTTCAAGTGGGCCATGAGTTGGAAATGGTCGGGAACCACTGTAGTAGATGCCACTCCTGTAGAGTGGCAATGCTTGGACATGAAATATAGTGAAGAAGAAGTATAAAGCAGGATACAATAGAAATACTCAAGTATAAGTACTTAAAAAGAGTACACCATTTGTGTAATCTTTTAGACATATGCAGAATAGCAAAGTGAAAAACATGTCCAGTGTGTAAAGTCTTGGATGCCACTTCTAGATTCTGACACGTGCAGCATGTGGTTCCATTACACAAATAAAACAAAGTTAGTAATAAGTAACTAGACAGTGGTACCTGGTGAACCAGCTCGTGGGCGATAACACTGGCCACTCGCTGCTTGTTGTAGGAGGAAGACTGGCTCTCATCATACAGCAGGTTGGTCTCTCTGTAGGTGATCAGGCCCCAGTTCTCCATGGCACCGGTCCCAAAGTCAGGGATGGCTATCTTATCTGGATTGAGACAACGCAGAGATCCCACAGAAGTAAGACCTTGTCATGTTTTTTATGGCGTCACTGCATTATGTCACTGTGAGATATTATCTTGACATATACCAGCAATATAGCCATCAGATGAAATATGAAATATGAAACACTGATCTTTCTTCTAGCACCTTCAGTAGAACACGTTTCCCTCTTGTACACAAGAAAGATTAAGATCAACTGAGTAGATTACCATGAACTTTATTGATCAACAGTACCCATGAGAGTTTATATGTACTGAAGTTCTCATGCACAGATTTGATGACTTTTCAGCTGCTGAACTCACAGAGGAACTGATAAACAGCTTGTTTTCAGTGGAACTAGCTTTAAGATGCTTTTGCTTTCATTAGGACAATTACTACTGGACATGATTCATTTCTGTGGGGTCCTTATCATTCATTCATTCATTTTCTACCGCTTATCCTCTAGTAGGGTCGCGGGGGGGCTGGAGCCTATCCCAGCATGGGGTCCTTATCTTGGGAGGTCAATACTGCGAAACTTCAGTACTGTGAAACATTATAAAGACCCACTGGGTCTGGCTTCACACTGACATTAAACTGCACATGGATGTCCTTACTCCAACTGGTATCATAAATTACTCTCTGGGCTGTGAATGAGTGATTCATGCATTTACAGTAACTGAGGCTTTATGAGAATGAAATGGTTGTATTCTTTCACCTTTATTGCTTGCCTTATCACCATAATCACTTGCTCAGCATCATGATCCCATCACTGTCCACAAACAACCATACAGTACATCTCTGTATGCCGATGACTGTTTGATATATGTTGGAAGGCTTTGGACTGTCTGATTTAAATCTCTGGAATAAGTGAGGGTTATTACCTCTGCATGAGGTCGTAAATAACTTGTAAATGTGTCTGATATTCCAACAAATATACAAACAAATATATGTTACTTATTTTACATTGATGGGTGTAAATAAACAATTCTGCTCAGTCCCATAATTCTAAAATCAGTGCTGTACCCAGGTGCATTATTCTGTTTTTGAGTATTTTATCAGCACAGATGGGCTATGATGCACTGTCCGACATCCACATTTATTTGGAATAGTCAACACTCTAGAATAAAACTGAAGCCACTAACTGTTAGACTTGTCATTCTTATTATGAACACACTGTGACCCCAGAAACAAAGCATGTATCTCACTGTGATCACTGTGTAGTGATAAGAGGTTTCCATTAACATGAAGCAGTTTATCTAAACTTACCCAGTTTTTGGATGGAGTACGTCATGTTGAAGTATTCCTCAAAGTAATCAAAGATGACCTTGGTGGTGTCGGCTGCATACTTTGCTGTTTTCAGCTGACTGGGCTGAGCATAAATCCTCAGCTGTGACAGCAGAGGAAGACAAAACACACAGGTGTGAGTGTGTGTATCAGGATGTGCCTGACAGTTTACATCTATTAGTTTCATTTGAACAGTGCTTTATTGTAACACGTGATGGTGAACTCACAGGAATTCCTCGAGCAGATTTTCTTTCCACGTGTTTAAACTGGTGCACTGCGAAACACACCAGATAGGTGCTCATTGGGATGGACTTCTCGAAAGATGTCTTCAGTTTGTTGTCAAGCAGATTTTGAGGGGTGCCCTGTAGAGGCGGAGCAAAAGGCTAATGGGTTACTGTGGGTGTCACTCAGCCTGTAGAGGGTGGAACCCCCGAGCCCCAAAACAGAGGCACAAGATTGATCCTTCTGCTGTTTGGTATTCACAGTGTTCACTCCGAGCCTGGCTTCCTCTGTCTTTGGTTTTTGTTCAGCTCAACCATGGAAATACTCACTCCACCTCCAGCAGCCAACAGGAGGCCAACAGGATTATGAACAGTTTTACTAGCAAGTATCTCAGTACATCAAGGAACTCAAAGCAGTCATTATTAGTAGTTATTAGTGGATTGTGACTTTTGAGGATTTTTCACATGGCTCTTCTCCCCAGTCAAAATGACTTGAATTAACGCAATAAAAAAAAGTAAAATAATTAAGGCAAAATTAAAAAAACTAAACAAGGCTGCTGTGATAGACCATTTCCATGACAGACAGGTTTCAGTAACTGTAACTCTATTCTGATTCCCAACCCTCCACCAGGGGGAAGGTTTTGCAAGTGGGCCAACTTAGATTTGCACAACAGAACAATTTTGGTGAAAAAATGTAATTATAAAAAATACATAAATTAAAAATATAAATAATGTTTTTAAATACTAAAGATTAGAAATGTTTTCATTGTTTTTTTCCCTCCTGTATTAAGGTCTATCACTGTGATTAGCCAATGATAGGAACTTTTATGTTGTCGGACCACATGGTATACTTGTTTGCTATCTCAGTCTGATAAAACATTACATCCATGACAAAGGAGGGAGGAGGATATCTATTTTGGAGGATCAAAATAGATAGTTGGTTAGCACTGTCAAACAAAAAAGAAAAATTGAGCCTTCTACATGTTTCTCCTGCTTTCAGCTCAGATCTGAATGTCATCATTAACGTTCGTATTGTTACGGGGTCAGATGTAGGATGCCAAAATGTTAGAGATTTTCAAGTGGGCCATGAGTTGGAAAAGGTTGAGAACCACTGATCTCAACTGATCAGAGTTAAAAGTAGAAAGCTGTAAAACCATCTAAAACATACACATGATCACCTCATCACAGACAGCAAAATGAAACTTCTGGCCCAACATATGCCTGGGTCATCAGCCCAAGTCTGGCCCATACACTTCCACATCTGGGCAGATTCTGGTTGTTATCCTGTGGTAATGACTGACAGCTGGAAGATTTTCTGTGTGCATGCCAGAAGTGGTCCAGATGTGAAAGTAGCATCTGACAATATGGGCCAGATTTGGGCCATGGAACTGGCATGACACTGGGCCAGAAGAAAAACAAACATGTGGCCCAAGTATGGACCAGATTTATTTTGCTCTCTTGGATACATGATACGATGCTGAAAGTCTATCCCATTCATGTTACATGTAGAAGACCCAAACAGCAGCATTGTTCTTGTGTTGTCTGTTTCAGTACAGTGTTATAAATGTAATAGACTTAGAGGCTAATTCAGATGTGTTATTATGGTTGACTTTGACAGGACAGAAGGATTTTGTGGATGAGGACAAATCCAGTGCTGTCCTGGGTGATGCTGCTGGAGAAATGTTTATCACTGTTGACTTGAGTCCTACCTCGACTGGCATGTTGGACAGAGCTTCATAATGAGCATCATGAACAATGGAGACCTTGAACGTGGCCTTCTTGTTGGGCTCATCGAAGCAGGGGAACGACTTGCGGGCGTCTGTTGGCTCATGATCAGTTGCAGCAATTTTTCTGGAGGTCAGAAGCAAATTATTATTCCACCTGGAAGTGTTTGACACCAAGAGCTTTACATTAGACAGTGTGGACTGATAAAATATGGTGGGTGATGTGTGTGTTGAGTCATTTTTACCATTTTGCCCTTGAAGATTTGAAATGTGGTTTGAATTTATGTGGAAAACAGAAAATCTACTGTACGTCTCTGCTTCACATGGTCTGATGAAGACCACTGGGATTGATTTATTCAATTTCTGTTTTCAAGGTCAATTATGAATTAATCTTCATTACTTTCTCATTTCTTGTTCTGAAAATGTTGGTTTTGTGGGACATAGAGAATAAAAACACACTTAAACAGCCATTAGAAAGATTTATTGATATGTTGAATGAGAGTTGATGTTTCTGTTTCTGTTCTTGTTGATGCTGTTTCACAAAAATAAACACTGACAAGTTTAACGAAAAAAACATTAGACAGCTTACCCCCAGGCTAACTCAACCATGGTAACAATCAACGACACCTGCGCTAACCACTAGCACGAACAACAAAAACTGGAAGGAATAATAACATAATTTGTGGTTTGCTAACATTGTTATGGAGAGAGCAAAGAGAAGAGAAAGCATTTTTTTTTCATATCAGGTTTTTCTTTTTATTGTTTCACTCTTCACTGAATTTCCAAAGGAAAACGTCCTTGTAACTGTCGAATTCTTCCAATAGACAAACATTTTCTGCTGGGGTAAATGGAGCTCAGCGGTTGGATTCGGTCGGCCATTTAATTTACCCAGAATTCATTGTACCACAGTCCGGCTTAAGATAGTCAAGAACTAAACTCAGCCTAGTCAGCCTAGTCAGACTTCAGGTAGATGCCTATATTCACTTGTTGCACAAAGCAGTTCAGTGCTTGACTATCTTAAGCTGTACAATGAATTCTGGGTAAATTAAGACTTCTTTCAAAATGAAAAAAATGGCCGAACTGCATCAAACCAATCACCTCTGTTTACCCCAGCAGAAAATGTTTGTCTTATGGAAGAATTCAAGTTACAAGGGCATTTAACTTGAAGAGTGAAACAATAAAAAGAAAAATGGGTAAGGTTTCCAATGTTTGTGGCTTAAAATGAGTCAGTGTTTATTTTTGGGAAACATTATACTGAGCTGTACTGTGAGCCAAACCAAGACTGGACCGACACTACAGACCAGTCTAAAATATCTTTGTGAACAAGCCCCTGGTCTGGTCTGGTCTGGTCTGGTCTGGTCTGGTCTAGACCCCCCTACCAGAATGAGCAGCTTCAGCCTGGTCTTGTCTTTGATGACAGTATATGTGGGCTTGTTCTATCCTTCAGAGCGGGAACACTTGTGGGATTAAACCTTTAGACACCAACAGTTCTGAGACGTGCTGTTTGTGAGGCGCTGCCAGGCTGAACAAACACCATCATTAACTGATATCAGTGCATAGTGAGATAATAACAGTTCATTACATAAACATCTGACTCAGTGTTGTGCATGATATTACTGCTCTGTTACTTTGTTTTCTGACAGCCTGATGACTGTGTCTCCGTCTGCAGCTGCTGTAGGATTGTAGCTGCAGTCAGACTATTAACAAACAGACTATAGGAGATACACATCACACTGATCCACTTCACCATCACTCTGTCACACGGAAGCCAACCATGATTGTCACATAGTCACAATCCAAAAAATTGTATCCAAGTAAAATATTTCTCTTTTGTTTTCTGTCCTGTATCTTTCCCAATCTCCCTATATTTGCATCCCAGTGTTAACATGGTTGGTTCTCTTGTTTTCTCTCCGTAAGGACAAGTCTTGAGAAAATGTGCCTGCTGGGGAAGGTGACTCGTGATATTAAATTATTTGTTTTAATCATACAAGTTAATAAACACACTTTTGCTGAAATTAGTTTTGCTGCTGTCTTTTGTCACTGCCATGTTTGGTTTCCTCTGTGTTAGGATTGTAGGTTTTCCAGGGTCAGGAGAGGGAGTGAGCGGGAACCCCACCACTGCTACTTGGCCTTGGTTTCTCCTAATGGATGAGGTGTTGGGACAGAGTCATTTCATCACCCCCCCTGTCCTGATTGCCTCCATCCCTGAGGACACACCAGGGCCAAGTGCAGCAGTGGAAGAGGAGGAGGAGGAGGAGGAGGAGGAGGAGGAGGATGAGGGGGAAGAGACTGAGGAGAAGTCAGTCAGGAGCAGCAGAAAGAAAGAGAAAGAGATGATAAGGTGTTACAGTTCATCACAGAGGACATGAGGCTGCAGAGAGAGGCAGAGGAGAGGATGAACAGATTGTTCTCTCTACTTGAGAGACTGGCTGAAAAATGAATTGAAATAATTGAAATATCAAATAAAGTTCGCAATGAAGACGGTACAACCACAACCCAAGCGGTCAAGGTTGCTAGGTGACAGGAGTGGGGGCTGTGTGACACAACAGTATGGGTGGGAACAGTTGGTGACGTAAAGCGGGAATTCTCTGTAGGCCAGACTGTCTCATTTCACTTCGCCTTTGCGGTCTACGATGGCTACGAAGGCCAAGACTTCAAAGGATGCGGCCCCTGAAGTGGGACACAGCTTAGATGTGAACATGAACCTGGACTCTGGATGTAAACCTGGACCCTGGATGTGAACCTGGACCCTGGATGTGAACCTGGACTCTGGATGTGAACCTGGACCCTGGATGTGAACCTGGGCTCTGGATGTGAACCTGGACCCTGGATGTGAACCTGGACTCTGGATGTGAACCTGAGCTCTCTTTTCTCTTTGTTCTGTGAACATGTGTGTTGTGTGTGTGTGTTGTCACTTACTTAGTGACCCCCTCCTCGTTGTAGATGACCCTGTAGAACCCCACCACGGAGCCGTTGAGCCAGCCCTGGAAGTCCAGGCTCAGCACGTACTGCTCCCCTGGTCCGGTGACGGGCAGCTCCTCTGCGGCCTCCACCACCACGTACTGCTGAGGTTTGTATTCAAAGCAGCTCTTCACTGGGATCTCCTTCTGCCCCCCCTGGCCATTCAGCATCTTCAGTCTGGGGATGGCGCTGACAAACGTCTCCCTGATGTGGAGCCACAGATGGCGGGTGGGCTTGTTGACCTCTAATTGGATGTCCACAGTGCCCGTGTAGGTGTCGTCGACCAGGTCCGGCTCCAGGAGCAGGTCATAGTGGACCGGCTTCACATAGTTGGGCAGACGGAAATTCTTCCAGTCCCCGCTGGAGTCGGTGGAAGGCGTGCAAGGCCCTCTGCCAGGCGGAGGGGGCTGGGGAGGCTCTGCTGTGGGGGGCGGGATGGAGGGGGTGGTGGTGTCTGGCTTGGAGAGGCCCACCCCGAGGCCCACCGCCAAAGAGCACACCACCACCGTCACACATATGATGACTGCATGCTTACCACGGATGCAGTAGCGCTTCTGTTGCTTCTCCATGTCCATGCTGTCCACCATGGTGACTTCAGAGCCTGAACTCTCACTGGACTGAGACACAGCTGTAGTCAGGTAAAAGGTCCTGAAGCTGACCTGGAGTCAGAGCTGTAGGCGGCGGCTCCCACAGTATTTGTATTCACTGTGTGAGCTGATCCACAGTCTCTGGTGCTGTGGGGTGGAGATAAGGAGGAGGAGGAGAAGTGAGGAGAGGAAATCGGTCAGACAGTGTAGAGAATTTCAAAGAGTGAGGGAGAGATTTATTCTGTGCTCAGAGTTAACACGCCTCCTCCTGTTAAACATCTACAATCTGTCTGTAAATCAACAGCTTTCAACTTTAACTGTGTGTGTGTGTGTGTGTGTGTGTGTGTGTGTGTGTGTGTGTGTGTGTGTGTGTGTGTGTGTGTGTGTGTGTGTGTTTGTGTGAGTGTTTGTGGTTTAAAACTGCTGCATGTTGTTCTCTGTGTGTGTGCATGTAAACACAATATGTAACTTTAGAAACAAGTGAACCTTTCTGTGTGTGTTTGGTTTGAATCCATCTGAGTGATATAAATGTAAAGTGAACTGGATGCAGTGGAATCTGTCCTGCTGACACGGGGGAGGGGGGGGGGTCTACATGACTTTAGCTGCTATTGCATTTGCTCTTTGGTCAACAGTGATTGCAACAGAGAGACGTGTGAACAGAAAAGCAAAACAATGGCTGTGTTGTGCTGCACCACACTAACAGGATTAACAGAGAGAAATATTCATTTCTCCTCTTGTTCCAGTAGCAGCAGGACTGAGGATGATGATGGTGGTTGGTCCTAATGAAAATATTTAAACCTATTAGCAAGCTGATCATGAAAGTATGTGTTCATGATCCCCAGAGGAAAATCATTTTGTTGCCCCTTGATCTTTCATCTAGCCGACCGTTAACATCTAACAGAGAGGCTGCCATGAAGTTTACTGAGCCCACTGATGCTCCCCAGAGGATGAACCTTTTACATGTTGGACATACAGAGGAAGAGTTAGACAGTGTTAGAACTTAAATGGACATGAAACTCAATCAATCATCAGCATGTAAGATGAAAAACTTTGTTAAACTGTGTCAAAGACACCAGACTGTGTTTATAAAACCATAAGACAAATCAACTACAACTCCCAAGGTGCATTTCAGTAAGAATCATGCAATCACAGAGGTTAAAATTTGAATTTACACCTTGTTCAGACCGAAAGCGACATGAACGTCAAAGTGACAGGAAGTCATTTATTTTCTGTCAGCTGGCGTGTCTTGGGGTCGAGCAGCCGCAGCCTGTCGGTGGCGTGTCTTGGGCGATGTGGCTGTCAGAAAATGTTGAAGTCCAGGTGATTTAATGGTAATGAGCCCATTGGTTTGGCATCAACCAATCAGAACTCAGAGGTGCTCTGCTCTAGAGAACACAAGAGAACACAACTGTGTAAACTTTTGTACCCGTCAAACTTTTGTTCTGAAGCACAATGGAGAAGATAATACAATGTGTCCCTGTTTGTTTACAGAGACTAGAACAACCACCTTGCATTGTCTGCCTCCACCACTCAAACTAATTTCAGATTACATGTTTACCCAGAGTTATATAAAATATGAACCATTTGTGTGGAATTCTGTAATAATTTCTGTGTGAGTCTTGAGTAATGACTAAAAAGTGTTACGTGAGTTCACACTGACCTTGACCTTTGATGCATTTGTCGCATAAAATTGATGCCTGGACTAAGCTGCTGACACCGTAGGTGTTCCAGGGGAGCTGGTGAAGTGTAGCTTGTGATATATTTGGTGAAAATAGGGGGGAGTTGCTAACTAGCGCCATAGCAAGCAAAACAGTGTTGCTTGACAATGTGATGCCTATCAGGCAGTAACGTTAACACTGTTAACTTATACACTACATGTAGTCAGTTGGAACAAAGATACTGTTAACGTGTCTAACAAACTTGCTAGCTGTCTGTTTCATCTACGTCAGAGCGCTCACCAACCTCAACAGCGTCCTTGGCAGCCAGAGTGAATTTTTTACCTCTCAATGCTTTCAGTCTGAACGTATGGTTACTTCGTTTTTCTCCTTAGCAACAGTAGTATTTTAGTAATCAATCCAGAATGTGGAAAAGCTCTTATTGCATTCAGTGAGGTTTCTGTAGCGCACCATACAGCAGAGCCCTCAGATGAAATGAAAAAAAAAATCAATAAAGATTGTAACACGAACAAGTTGCGTGACTAATAGGAAGTTAAGGGTGAGGTTAATGTGAGCAGGTTTTCTGAACCTTACTGAAAACACACCTGTGTTAGCAAAACACAAGGGGCAAAGCATTTGTGGCAGCTTCAACTTTCCATCCAAATCTAAGCAACTTCTAACTGAGCTTCAAGAAAATTTGCAAAGGAAAATGTGACTCATGCGTGTTTCCTTTCACTGCTGTGTATGTTGGATGCATTGGTGATGCTATTTCTCCAGTTGGGTGCATTTAAACTATTTCATTTGAAGAAGACACAGTGAGATCACCTAATCAGTCAAAGCTCAAACAAAGGCCACACATCTGATGTTTTCATCTGCTGCAAGTCTGTTGTCTCTCCAGTGGAAGCCTAATGCTTTTTGTCAGGATTTATTAACTAAGTCATCATTCTTCTTTTCTTTTTTTTTCAATCAACTTCAGCCAAGCAATACGATCCAGGGAGGCCAGAGAGTGATACATTCATGGGTCTCAAGATTCATCAGATGCCAAAACACTGCAAAGCCATTTACACAAATATGATTTCATAACTTGGAAAAATGATCTCAACAGTGTCATGTTATCCTCCGTCTCCACGACCATATGGTAAACAGTTGAACTCAGCTGACCATGTTACACAGCTAAAGGATCAAAGCAGAGCAGCTTATACGACAGCCTGACCCTGAGTTTCTTCCTCATATTGTATCTTTATTGTGTTTCATAGAGATAAGACTCATAAACATTAAGACTCCCTTATCCTTGAACTCAAAAAGTATCTGCATGAGAGACAGGGTCTTTCCAAGCCGGGAGTGCCAGGCCTTGACAGTGCAGCGGGCCAGATCCCAAAAGAGCTAAATGTACTAGGCAGCCTCACTATCAGGGACAGTCCGATAGTCAGTCACCCTAATATAAAACAGTTCTCTGTGTACCTCAGTCCTTCAAAGAATGCTCTGGGCTCATAGCATCTATATCAGACCTAGCTGGAGTTAACCTCTACCCATCCAGTAGAGTGGGGCTTACCTTCAGACAGGTGTGGATGGGCAAACCGGGTTGATGCGTGATGTGAAGTTTAAGCCTTTTATTTTAGGTTAACAAAAAGACGAAACAGTTTTTAAAATGTAGTGGTCAGGAAAATGGTAAAGAAGGACAACGCCTTGGATTTTTCCTGCCTTATATAGTAAATAGAGGAACTAACTCATCCTGTTGTTCACAATCATGTGCGTATTTGGACAAATGTTATGATTGCGAACATTAGAGATAACACTTGAGATGTATAATAAGCAATACTTGTAATGAGTAATGAGTAGTTATTGAGAAACATGAATGTGAAACATAAACTGTAAAACGTGACAATGAGAACATCTGGATCACATCTGGATCACACAGCATAATACTGAGCGTGACCTAATGAATATATCAGTACATGAGTTCATATAAGAGCAGCAGATAGAAATTGTGACATGGAAATGAGCTCATGATTACATATGCAAACAAAATAAAACTTGAAGTAACTACATGACTTGGACACGTGAGCAAATCAAGAAGAGAACCAAAGAAAAGCAGGATCTTTTATTACAGAAAGTGTTTAAACCCATGACCAGAATAGTCATACATTATGTCTTGGTGTTATTGATAAAAGGGGAATCAATTATTCCTCTTTTTGCTGGGGACCCTTGAAAACCACTGGTCTATGATAAGGACCTGTGTTTTTATGTGTCGGCTGCTTGTCTGCATGTTTCTATGCACCAATAATTTTGTTGTATACAGATCTTACAATGACAATAAAGGTTTTCTGATTTAGACAGATTAAATAAATGTCATTGTAAAAAAATAAACTGTATTTTAATTTTGGCAGAATTATGAATAATGACAACAGGGGGATGGTGTACTTGTTATAAAGCCCAGGCCACAGTGTCACAGTGAGTTGTTTGTAGCGTATCTTCTGGCACCACCTTGTGGTCATGTTACATTTAAATGTAAAGTCAAAGAAAATGTCCGGTAGGTATCGTAACTCTCTCTTTCTCTCACACAGTCTGGATCAGACAGTAAGAATATGGAAAAACAGATTCTTACTTTGGGGCTCTTTGTGGAACCATAAACCAGGGCCCTCAAACTCAAATTACCTCGGGGGCAACGGCCAAGGTGTTCTCTTCCGAGGTGGCTGCTGAACACTTCTGAGTAAACAAAGAAAATTCAGTGTTTTCATTTTTCCACACTATAATGAAGCTGTACGTTGAGACTCTCTCCTCTGTGCTGTATGAGCATGTGTCCTCTCTGGAAGCTGAAGCTGTAGACACAGTTCATCCCTCTGTCTCTGGTGGCTGTGATTATGAAAACCTCTATGTCATTGTGAAATACAGGACCCAAGGCATTGTGGGAAAATTAATGGTTACCCCAAGCCTGGCTCAGACCTTCAGGTGTCAGGTATCAGGTGTGATTCAGACCTCTCGGATGGTCCCGGCTTAAGTGTTAAAGGAGAAAATAAAGACCCAGAAACCACAACTGCAAAATAAGTGACTGGATCTGGTCCTGCAGACCGGATCTGGCTCACAGGCCGGTAATCTGAGAGCTTTGCAGAAAACAAAAGGCACATCACTGACACCGATCCGATTTTCTCTGTGTGACACTTTTTATTTTGACCAACAGGACAGCTCGTCAACAACCTGAGTTATTCTACAGAACAGAACACTAAAACTAGAGGTTCACAGACATGTCACCGATCCTGCTCTTCTTTATATCTCTGTGTTTCTGACAGAAGAGCACTTGTCGTGTTGTCTGAGGACTCAGGTGTAGACTTAATGGACGTCTGGGTCTTCTTCTTCGTATCTTGGGGGTTCACTTTGTACTCGTCTGCAGGGAACACTCTGGACCCAGGATCAGGGGCGGTCTGGGTCTTGTTAAAGGAAGGTGGTGTGATGTTTAGGGGTATCTGGTTCTCCTTCATCGAGGGGGTGTTGATAGTGGCTGGATTCTGGTTTGGCCTCCTGTATTTTAGTGACGGTTTTGGTGGGGTCTTCTGGGACTTCTTCTTTGGAGGACGGGACAGTCTTGTGACACCCACCACCCTCAGTCTGATCAGGGCTTCAGATATTCCTCCCATGTTCCGCGCCTGGCACCGATATTCTCCAGCGTCCTTGTACGACAACCCGTTTAGGCTGATGATCGACCAGCGGACCCCGACCCGAGGAGACTCCTGCATAACTGGGACATAAAAAGGTTAACAGGCAACTATCAGTGGGTATATGCTAGCTACAGCACACATCCGTGCAATGTATAGTGTCTTATTGGGAGGTTTAAGGGGGTTTATAGTTGTCATGGCAAAATGTGTCAATATAAGGGGCCATCAGGGGCGCCTTTTCCCTTTGGGGGCCCCAAACATTTGCCTGGTTTGCCTCTCCTGATGGTGCACTTCTGCTAACTATAGCATAGAGTTTTACACAGGCAATCTTTGAGACCAGAACCAACTGAACTCAGGTTGTACTCCTGTCTGACAGTTAGTTCTGCAGGACTAAAACTGGGTTTAACAAATAATAATAATAAATGACAATTAATAGCCGGCTTTAACTTTACTTAACAACTGTGACTTTTCCTACTGGACACTCAAGTTATGTAACTTTCCACATTGAAAGGTTTAAAAATGACTAGACCTGTGTTATATATTTTCTGGAGTTGTGTACATTGTGTACACCTAAGAGAAATCTGTGATTTTAATCATGGTAATGGTATGTGTCATTTGTCAGTGACATCATATCCTGTATGATGATGGGTTGGTGTTGTGGTTTCCTGCCAGAAGCTCAACATTGACTTTTATCTAGTTTTAAGCCACATACACTTTTTACACCTTGGTGGGTTTCAGCTCTATGTTTGAACCAGATGAAGGATTTTAGTCGTCGGACGACTGGATCTGAAGTTATCAGAGAAACAAGCTGGTGGTGGTGAAGACAACAATTCCCATGATCCAAAGCTGTTAGGGTTAGGGTCTCCCAACACCGTCTTTCGTTATTGTTTTGATTGAGAGACCCCTAGAGGCAGAAGTTACAGACTGTGTTTAACAGTACTGGTTTTAATTTACATTATTAACATGATTATGACTACATCATATTAAACATCTGTCTGTGTCAGGGTGCTTATAGAGCTCCTTCACATACACAGTGGGGTCCAAAGGGCTCATATACTGTATACCCACTGTAGTCACATTCATCCATTCACTCACACATGCATACTGCACTTTTCTATCACACACACACACACACACACACACACACACACACACACACACACACACACACACACACACACACACACACACACACACACACACACACACACACAAACACACACACACACACACACACACTGGGTTGAACAATGGTATGAAGACAAACGAAAAAGCACTTACAGCTCTCTAAATTCCTGGGCAGCTGTTCAGAGCTCTCAATCATGTTCTGCTGGCAACAATCTGGACAGAACCAAACACACAATGACTGGACTGATGCTCAGATGTTAGTGACATCACTTCATCACTGCAGAGAGACCCTTCGTTTCTCACCAGCATAGGCTGAGGTCTTGATCCAGGTCAGGGTTGGTGTTGGGTAGCCGGTGGCGTCACAGCGGAGGATGACGTTGCTGCCCAGTGGAGAGACGACTCTGGTGGCTGCGGGCTGAACTGAGGGCCTCATGCAGCGGGACAGTTGGGCCTGGGTCAGCAGCACCCCCGACTGACCCAGAGACCTGCTGCACATCAGCAACTGGTCCATGAGAACCACAGGACTCCACAGGGACATGGACAAGGACATCACCATGGAGATCTGGCAGTCACACAACCAAGGGTTGTCATGGAGACCTGGGTATCCAGGACAATTTGCCCTGTTAGCATCATTGTCATGTTTGATATGTGTCATAAACTGGGTGGAAGAGCTGCTGTGATGGCAGGTTTTCAGTTGTGCACAGTCATTTATTTCAGTATTGCTGGAATGACAATGCTGTCAGTTATCTATGATGTTTGCTTCCTCTGAGCTATTTTACCACCAAGTTGGACGGACTGTATCAGAGCCTAAAGAAAAGTATGAAATGCTCACTCATATTTTACTCTCAGTCAGTGTTAATGTGAGTGGTTAGTATGAGGAAACATGCATGTGTCTGTGCTTGTTTTTTTGTCATTGTCAGTGATTAACAGATAATGAAAGTACCCTCTCTTGACAAGCACAAACATATATACAGATTCTGTCACCATGTCCCAAAACCTGTGAACTCTACTGAATGAACTCAATTACAATGGACATTTCCTAAGAGAAGTGTAAAACATGATGTCATGTGAGGGAACCTGCTGATATGGAGAAAAATCACTCACGTTCACCTGGTAAGTAGACAATGCAATTTAGCAAATTTACGCTCTGATTGCTGGCTGCTGAGAAAAGTCTGAAGCTGGGCTTCATTGTTTGAAATGCCAGAAACTAACATTTAAAATAGAGCTGCAACTAACTCTGTCTGTCTGTCTGTCTGTCTGTCTGTCTGTCTGTCTGTCTGTCTGTCTGTCTGTCTGTCTGCCGACTGTCTCCTGGACTGGAACAAATGTCAGTAAAGTGGTGGATAAACACCACAGACATCAGTTGATTTGAAACATCTGTGCCCCCCTCCCCTACATTAAAGTGAATAGGGAAAATGAATGGTACTCCCACCACTTTGAATTGGAACTATGGTTCCAATTCTGTAAGTCTCTGAGCTTTGATAGACACATTGTATGAAAGAAGACAAATTTACCTACGTAATGGGAAAAAATATGGGTGAAGAATGAAATATGTGGCCATGAGGACAAATTAAAGAGGTTTAACTTCTTCACCTCAACACTGTGATGTCATCCTCCCACAGACTCCCATTATAAATTCAGCAATTGTCAGAAGAAAACATAAAACTTAAACTACAATGAATCAAAACCTATTAAAGATATCAAAAAGACAAATCCAAGTTTAATACCTGAAAGTCTTGGGACCCATTTAAAGTTTAAATGAAGACCCTATGATGACTCGATGATTTGAACTTTGTCTCCATTCATTTTGCATGTCCTGATCGAGATGCAAGTTTTGAATTTTTGAATGGAGTATGACAAACAGTGCCGGACTATAAGTGCCAAAGTGAGCATAATAATAAGTCAATAATTAACAGAATTTTTGGACCTGACAACAGCATGTGGTGGGATTGCTTTGTCAGCGATCCCACCAACAACATGTATGTTGTACATGGGCATGTTACGAACATTAAAGTGAGAGAATAAGAGTGAAGCTCTATTGGCCTGATAGACATTGGACTTAATCTTCATGTCTGATCTACATCAACTATGGCTGCTATTAGACACAATCTAATGTCTGTGTTGCTCCAAAACACACTATACCCAAAATCCGTCTCTGTGTTGGCCCCCCGTGTTGTCCTGGGAGAGGAAACCACAGGTCCAGCAGCTCGGCAGGTAGGATAGTCAACCTGAGGGGAGAGAAGGAAAAGAAAGATGAGGAGCGGAGTCAAGGAAAGGAAACAAGGTGTCATGATATGCCCTTTAGAGACTCTTTGTACCCTGTTGCTTTACTTCCTGTCTTTGTCTAGTTTTCCTGCTTTTGTGTGATGTGTTTCACCTGTGTCCAGTCATCCCTGCCTCCCTTGTGTACCGTATTTACTCTCTGTTCTCTCTGTTCTCTCTGCCAGTTCGTCTGCTCACTTTTCCCCTGATGTTTCATCGTGTTTCAGTTCTTGTTTCCTGAGTTTTGCCCGGTGCCTCTGACTTCCTGTTAGCTTTGGCAAACGTTCCTTCTCGCTACACTTACCAGCCTTCATTTGGATCTGTGTTTGGATCCTGAGAACCTTACAATTTGACACAAGGAGAGGAGGACAGGATAGGAAACAAGGAGAGGAGGACAGGATAGGAAACAAGGAGAGGAGGAAAGGCAAGCTGAAGTAGCTATTGATACTGCTGACAGCTCTGTAAACTGGCTACATGGTTGTACAGCATGTGGACCCACCTGTTGCTGGACAGGTCGAGGTAGGTGATGTTAGGGAGGAAGAGCGCGGCGTGGGCGGGAAGGCTGGACAGGCGATTGTTGTGGAGACCCAGAGTTTGGAGCTGGGGCATGTCCCTTAGCCCCTCCCAGGGGAAGGACGTCAGGAAGTTCCCATCAAGACGCAGCTCCCGCAGGGCCTTCAGGTTGACAAAGCTGCTGGGGTGGATGGATGTGATGGAGTTGTAGACCAGCCACAAGAACCGTAGCTCTGACAGGTTGTAGAAGGCTGCCCGGGGCACCCTGGAGATCAAGGTCTTCTCCAGACGCAGTTTGACTGTGTCGGCTGGTACATTAATGGGAACAACTGAGATTCCAGGGTCACTGCACTGCACTGACCTGTCATTAAAGTGAATGGGAAAGTGGTCTTAGACTTTTGGACCCCACTGTCTTTCTATCATCTACTGAAGTTAGCATGATAACCAGCTAGACTTGATAGCTCGTCTGTAGTCCTCCAGCCTGTCCTGAAGACGCAGCTGCTCAGAGGACGTACTATAACCTCAATGGCTGAGAATCTTGACGAGTGACAATCACAACCACAAGCCCCTGACACGAAACCACGTTCAGTGACAGAGAAAGCTTAGAATAGAACCTTTTAAAACAGGAGGATTGCCCCCCTTAACCTCCATAAGTAGATGGTCTTCAGCACGTGAAGGTGCATTAGTTAATGGAATCTTATTACTTTTAGATTACTTTTCATCTACAATCAAAAGTATATAATGTTATGTAATAACACTACCCACTTATCCACAATGCAAACGCATATATGCATGAGACAGACCATATGATTACACCTTTTTTTTGCAATATGGAAATCCATTCAGTGATTTACTCACGTTCGGTGATGACATAATTTGGTTATAACATTTGTTACAATAGCACTAATGTGTTGGTTCAGATAGAGATTCTATAATAAAATAATAATAAATAAAATATAGTAGGCTACGATGAGTTATGTTTATGGAGAAACAAATCAGTTGAACACACAAACACACAGAGACGAGAATGAAGTCAGCCTCACTCCACCTGAGCTCTGCTGTTCCACTGTTCCCATACGAGCAGGCGCACAGAGATGGACAGGAGTGGACCGCCAACAGAGAGGACTGCAAGATGTGAACCAGGACCAGCAGATACATCCTTCAGCAGAGGAACCCCGCACTCAGACAGGCCATTTGTATCTCCATATTCCCAGTGCTCTCCAGTCTGAAGTGGTGTCCACAGTGCAGAGTGAAAATGAATCCCAGATTAGCTGGGATTACACTGCTTACAAGCGGGGTGTAATCCCATGCCTCACTGTCAGAATAACAAATCACAACATCAGGGCCAGCCCGAGCCTTTTCGTGCCTTGGAACAGTATGACACCACTACCCTGCCCTGTGGGGTATTTCATGAAGACAGTTGTACAGCACAGTGTTGTTTAATGTTAATGTAGTAGTGAAGAAAGTTACAGCTAGTAAGAGTGGATGGTTGTAACATGGATCAGTTGTAACAACACCAGTTTCTCCAATCAGGAACAAGTTATGAATCACCTGATTCACTCTATACCTGCTCAACTGAGTTATTCCACATGTGAGGAAGTAGCACCCTATGACAGACACAGACAAAACTCATTTTTAGGTAAGAAAGTATTGTTTTTTTGACAATTTTTTCTAATTTATGTCATCTTTATTGTGTATTGTCATGCTAGTTGTCAGTGCTAATGTTTTATCTGATAGCTGTAAATTAAGCTAGTTCATTTCTACAAGAGTCAGGGTTACTGTAATTGTAATTAATAACACACACATACACATACATTTAAGTCTAGAATAAAAATCTTTCAATATCAACTTGAGCCCAGTTTTTTTTTTTTATAACCCATGTTTGTTTGCATCCTGGAAAAACTGGTGTACTGAATTATCTATTTTAACTTCCTGTTTGTTATGCACCGCTGATGTACTGATAACTATCAATTACTAATCAGATTTATGGAGGCTTATTTGTAGTGATGTTATCATGTGTGTTCAGGTCTGACTGAATCATGACTCAGATTTTTGACACAAAAATTCAAAATGATGTGAATTTATACATGTTTTGAATATTGATATTAGATGACTTGTTAAATGATCTTATTCATCTGATGTGGCTTGGAGATCAGTTTGATCTGTCAAATTGATCACCAAGCCAACACATGTGTATAAATGTAACTAGTAATATAAGACATGATGAGCTCTCAGTCCCTTTTATTTTGTCAAAGTAGCTCTCAGTGAAAAAGGTTGGAGACCCCTGACTTACAGCCAGTAGCATTGCTGTAGTCACTATCCCGGCCTGTAGGGGGCGCGTGTTCACATCGTGCATTGACACGACTAGAACTGCTGATGTTGACCAGCTCTCGCGAACTCTCGGGGCGGACGTTGGGACCGTAATATCTATTTATCACTCTCCGCTCGCATGTTTTGATTCCTGAAAGTTGCTGTCAGTGGACTGCTTCGTAAAATGTCCGCTGTGACGCCGCCTGTAAACGACCGGTGTGTTTTTCATCGACGTGAATTTGAAGAGCTGCCGTCAGTGAACCAGAGAGGAGGAAGGCACATTGCTCAACCTGTCCACGGTGCGAGGCAGACCGCACAACACCACCAGCGACACCGGGTAAAGCACAAGTAACGTCACGTCAATAAGCTAGCTGTAGCCCTGTAGTGGATCTCATGCTAGCCTTGTCATGGACCCAGACCCGAAATCAGGAGGGGGTTTAATGTGTAGGAGCTGAGTTCAGTCACGTCCTGTGATAGAGAAAGAGCTTTCACTTTACCACCTCAGTCTTTACGATTTTCAGTTATCCAGTCTACCTCTCGTGTAAAAAGCCATAATAACACTAGCGCGCCAGCCAGACTCCATTCAAAAAACCTGACACTTAAATATTTCTTTTCAAAGGTGAGCTATACACAGCTTATAGAACAAGATTTGAGAATATTAAGAGCTAACACCACCAACTACTAAAGTCGGGACATATATGAGCCAAATATATAAGTAGCTGCATTATTAATAATAACAATAATTAAGAGCTGCAAGGTGTAATGCTTATATTATGATATGATACAGTAGCTTATACACACCATTTAAAGTTGTCAGGTCGTGACCTGTTAGGTCTCTGTTTAGCTGGGGGAGCGCTCAACAACTTTAAAAGAAATGCTTGTTCACCTTCATAAGAGAGAACACCATGTGACAGGGATGGGTTTTATCATGAACTCAGTTATAATGACAGTGTGTTATTAGATTCGGTTTTTTCATAGGGGAATGAAATGCATTAACTACAGACAGCCCTCAGCCCATCTACAGTAGCAGAGCTTTAATTACCAGTTGGAGGCTGAAGGTCATGCCTGTAATGTAATTACAATGGGGGTTAAGGCTGCAGACAGTCAAACAGCACTGAGATCTAGGTGAATGTTTGCCTTTTGTTTTACCAGATACAGGATGATTCATTTGAATCATCAGTAATTTTCCTTATTTCCCATTTTACCAGTTGTATTTTAATTCAGAATTATTCAAACTGGCCCGAGCTTTACATTGTAACTTACTGCAACTGCAGACTAACAAGGTGTGGTCATTTTAACACACACACACAACTGCGGTTTGACAGGTTTTTTTTATTTAAATCAGTCTCTAGTCTTTGATGTGTGTCTGCTGCTCTTTGTAATTCACAGTGGTATTGAAGGTCCTTAGTTCGATTGTCTCTAAGATTTTCTTTTCTATTGTGGGTACAACTTATGGTGAACTTTGTTCTAGTAGTACATTTGTTTTTCCTTCGTGTCGCTATTTTTTTTTAAGGAGTGCTGTTGTTCATAAAGTTAGCAGGTGGGACGTATTGATAGTGTGTCTCAGATCGCTCTCTAGTCCAGTAAGGAAGTAAATCATTATACAGTAAATGAGATTACTAAATTTTTTTTGACCTTGATCATGATCTGAGTCATTTAATATTTGATGATCTGCAGATACTGTGTCCAGTCTGTTACTTATATTTACCTATATGTTGATTAAATATGTGTCTCACAGCTGTAGACTTCTGAATTCAGTAAACCTCATTTTTTGTAAGCTACTTGATCCAAATATTGATGTTGATAAGTATAAATTATAAATATGATATGAATGAAAGTTTACCTGGGGGAGTGTGACTCATGAAATTGTTGTGACAAATCATCTGGAGACATGTCTTACTCTGTTGGATTTATGTTTGCCCAAATGTTGATTCAGCACTGGCTGAAAATGGCAAGTAGCGACCAGATGGTTTCGTACATTCCTACTGTTTGCTAATGACAAAAAGAGAAGGTTAACAGTTTCATTAGTGAAGCTCAGTGAACCAGAGTCATTTGCGCCATAATAATCTTTCACATTTATACTCTACTATGTACTCACATAGCACAGAGCAGCTCTTTCAAAAGGTGGACAAAACACAGCAGAGTAAGAACATGCAAGAACTGTTCTACAACTTAACCGTCTATACCTCTATATGTTAAAGGAGCTATTTTTAAGTTTTGCTATTGCTACATAGCTAACGTTAGCATTAACAGCTGTTTACTTACCAGTCTAGAAGAAACGTTGTGGGTTAAGTATTAAACTTCATTCCTTTATCCACCAAGAGCTGTCTCCAGAGGTGAAATATTGTTTTGCTTCTATTTCTATAACTTCTTTCCACTGAAATTAGCATGCTTACCAGCTAGCTCCAGTTGGGCCGTCTTGTCACTTTCCGATACTGAGTCACTGTAGAGTTCAGTCTGTCCTGAAGAAGTAGTGATGCTCAGAGGATGTTTTATAAGCTCGTCTTGTAAACATGACTGAAGCTCTTACCAAGACTGCTGAGTAAACAGCTGTTAATGCTAATGTTGGCTACAAATAGCAAAACTTACAAACAGCAGCTTTAACGGTATTAATCAATGAGTTTGCATGCTGATGAATAGTTGTCTTAATTTGCAGACCCTAGTTTTGCACTGATTTAAAGATTGACAGTTACTCAAACTTGATATTTGCAAAATATTTGAATCCGAACATGATGTTTCTCTACCAGGAGAACAGGTCGTCCTCTATTATATGATTTTAAAATAAAACAACAAAAATGTTATCAAATCAAAGTAAAGCAGAACAACAGCATGTATGTTTTTACCTGTGGGCTTTTTTTTTATTATGCTTTGTATTTAATTATCGTGGGTGTTTGATCTCCTGTTATTACTGATTTTACTGCTGCACAAGCCTTCAGTAGACTACGATGCACACACAGCATAGCATTCCTCTTTTACTGCATCCACAGGTATTGCATTAGCCATGGCGGTTTAAAGTATCACAATCAATATGTCTGACCCACCATGAGCTGGTGAGGGTGGATTACATATATATAGTGGTTAGCCCAGTCTCAGCATGCACATGCAGTACACTTCTGCACACCCCGAATGACACACTCAGGCATGACACCGAGAGAGGGCCGGGAAATAGACAGACGGGGACAGTACAAATTTAATGGAATTTTTTTATGGTCCACCAGACCACTGATGTGTTGGGATTCATAATATATGTATAATATATATAGTAGCATAATAAACATGTTAATTATATGAAAATTTAGATTTTGTCTAAAAAATTTTTGCGAGAGGGTAACAACAAACAAGACAAACAAGAGCAACTCTGTTCATTACTGGAACTGGAACTTTGTCTTCACAGGTGGATGGCAGCCAGACCCAACCTCGACCGCCCAGCGACCCCACTGCCAGATGGCCCCACGTGGACGACCCCACCACCAGAGAGCCCCAGCTGGACGACTGCGAGCGGATGGGGACTCTGTTTGGGATGCTAAACAAGTGTCTTCGGGGGATGGGCTTTAGCCAGATGTACTTTGGGGACAAGATAGTGGAGCCAGTAGTGATTGTCTTCTTCTGGCTGCTGCTCTGGTTCCTGGGTATTCAGGCCCTGGGACTGGTGGGAACTCTGTGCATCATCATCATCTACATCCAGAAGTAATGAGAGCTTGTGATCGATGGAGCCTGCTGTTTTCTTTGGTTAATACTTGCACATGCTGGACTCATTTAATTCTAATGGATGTTTGGATTGAAATATGCAGTGGATCTGTGCTTAAGGGGGACGTCGTGGAGAGGTCTGTAGTGATAGAGGCTGATGGTGGTTTGAAAGCTTGTTCAGTGAGGAGTCTTCAGAAGTGTCTGGTCTGGAGCTTCTGCCTCAGTAAAAAGGAGTGGAGCTGTCCTGCTGCCTCTGTTCACATGACATAAGTGGTGTTGATCACTTGATTTAAAACAAAAAAACAAAAAAAAAAACAGGAAGATACTATGGGAAATGGTTTGTTTGTATATGAGTCAGAAGCTACAGAGTGAAAGCCAAAAGTCTCAGTGCTCAGGAATCAGAACTGCACACGTCTCTGTCTGTTAATGTGTGCAAGTGCAGCAGTAATATGACTCCAATGATCATAAGGAACGGTGTCTGACAATACATACAGGATATGTTACGTTCTTGTGAAACCTTTTCTCTTTAGAATTTTTACTTTGCAAGATACTAGGGATTCACAGTTTTTTATGATAAACGGAAAAATGTAATTATTGTTATTGCCCTGAAATCGCACATTGGTGCATCTCTAATAGATACAAGTGGGAATCACCTTCTGAAGGGGGTGGACAGAAACGTGAAGTATGATATTGATGATTTCTCACATTCATGGGAAGATAAGAAATTGGGAAAGTAAATGTTTTCAACAGATACAGTTTAATTCAGGTATTCTTGTGTCAATTCTTGTTACAAAGCTTAACTTTTACACTGGATGGAAACAACATATGTATGGTCTTCCAGTTTGTCTGCTGGTGTGGCCTCACAACATTTCATGTTAGACTGACATACTTAACCTTCACTGAGTAAATAGAATTCACAACTTTTATTCATACAATATCAATATCAGCATATCAGACTAGATATTGTGTCTTGGAGTTTTGTTTATATATTGAAATACCTTCAGTTTGTGTTTTTAGTCTGGATTAACATTTATGTTTTAGTTGAGTGGAGTTAATACTAAATACCCCTGTGTAATCACCATATCTGGTTGGGTTTAAGTGTTAGGTGGTAATAGTCTTCAAGACTGGGAACACACTGCCTGCGTGGCGTGTGCGTGGCGACTGCGGAACATCTTGGGTCTCGTTTCGGCGCCTATGTTAACAGGTTAGAGTGACTGCGTGTCAGTGCGGTTCCCTGAATCTGATTATGAAATGAAAACATATACATATTATATTTTTTTAACCATTTTAGCAGCTGCATGCGGAGAGCCTGGCGTTTTAGTGACGCTTTCTGTCAAAAATAAATCAGAAATTAATTTATAATGAAAAGAAATCCAACATTGGAGCAGCTGGCTGCTGGCCATTGTCCAAGGCAAACTCTATAACAGATAGAGCTGACAGGAGCAGTGACGCAGCACACACACAGTATGAACGCTGAAACACATACATGCAAGCCGCAGCAGTTCAGCGACACAGCCATCATGCACACATAACACAGGCAGTGTGTTCTCGACATAAAGAGGACCTATTTTGGGTGGAGTCTTAATTGGTTGGCAGAAAGTGACAGTCAGCGGTGTCAGATGTCAGTTTTCGATATGGATCAACTGGTCGCCTTCTCCAATTATTTTAATGGTTTGTCAGCAGAGGATAAAGTTAAATCAGTGGATCAGGGAATAAAGTCTGAACTCTCTGGATCCATGAATGCCTCCTTGGTAAGACATTCTCAGTCATTAATGCCAGTGATATTATGTGGTCCCAAGGCTTAGCTAAAGTTTGCACAATTGACTAGACTGTCCCATTTTGAAGGCTTCCTCAAATGCTGCCTAGAAATGTGTCCCTCTTTTCCTGGGCCACGAAGGCTCCCACAGGTGGATCCTTCGTGGTCCAACCTATCCCACGATTCATTGCTCGTTGGTGAAGAAAATAATAAACCAACAGAGAGCCTGAGGATTACACTGTTAAATGGTACAACTGTTAAAAAACCAAGGACCTCAAAAACTCAAGTTGTTATATACAAAATTTACATGTTGTCAAGGTTGCTAGGTGACAGGAGTGGCACTTTGTGACGCAACAGTAAGGGGTGGGCAGCAGATGATGCAAATCCTCAATTTGACTGTCTCATTTCGGTGTGGCCTTCATGGTCTACAACAGCTAGACCACGTCCTTTGAAGAATGCAGCCCCTGAATTGGGACACAGCTATATTGTTAAGTAAATGTCATATCACTGATATAATATCACTGTATGTCCCTTTCATTCATTAAATGTTTGCATCAATACTGAGTGATGCTGTAGCTTAACTGTCTATGAGCACTTTGGTTTGTTTACAGGCTACTTCTGCTTACATGCTAATGTTGCTAACATCGGTCAATGGTGTTTACCATTTTGAATTAGCCTACTGAGAATACCAGCTTTGTGGCTGCTGCTGTTAATAATTTACTGTTATTAACTCCATAATTTGATTTTTCCTTTGTGTGCGTTTTCATCAGTTCATTCAGTTTAATGGCTTGTAATCATTATCTCGCCTAAAAGGTCACGTTTTTATTTTTACTCCTATTCTGACATCCAACAATACAAATAAACATTTGTTTCCTTATTCTGGGATCTCACCTATTTCACTCTGCCTACTGTAAAATGCTAACAGTCAACATTTTACAGATATGCTCAGAATACACCTATTTACCATTTCCTCCAAAACTGTTCAATCTAATGCAAAATAGCTGCCTATGAATGTAGACTAATTCTTCAGTTGATACAGGTTGAAGGAAAATTAATAAGATAAACATCTACTAGTATGGAAGAATGTAAAGGTAAAGGTATATTGTAAAGGTTGTCTCAGGTAGTTTTTTACAGTTGAATATACTTTACTCCTCTGTTGATGTTTGTCACATTATCACACACTGTAGTCTCACTGAGTTTTAAGTTAACTACTGAGTTTTCCAGGGGAAACATCATCACTGTATAGTGTGTTCACTGCTCTTTTACCGTAGCCATGCTCCATTTGTCTTTCTTTTAAGAAACCATAATCAATTTTTTTGAACATAAATTTCTGTTTATGAGGCTTTTGTGTTTAGAGTTTCCTCTGTACCTACAAAGGAAATGTTGAATCTAAATGTTGAATTGCACTGTGAAGGAATAAAGATGAGTGTGCCTGAAAATGATCTTTGTGGTGTCACTGAGTTAAACAGTAGTGTCTGCAATGTTGTTGTTAAGACAGTCATCATTTTATTTGTGTTTGGAGAGTCATGTGATCCAAAGCTGTCTGTCACAGTATGCCTGTACCCTGTTATTACAGTCTGCTGCCAAGACCAGTTGTATCACACTTGACAAATATATTCACACCTTCCAGGTAGCTGTTGGTTTCTATTCATTTCCATTATAACAGTGAACTCAATAATGTGAACTATCACAGTGAACATCAGAGACCTGATTTTCAAATGTGGTTTGACTAATCCAGGCTAAGTGATTCAAACAATGACAGTACAGTTACAGTATTATTTAACTAAAGCGGTCAAATAAATTTAAAGTGGAAAAATGGAAATACTCAAAGTACAAGTACCTAAAATTGTACTGATGTACAATACTTAGAGTAAATGTACTTAATTACTTCTCATCACTGCTAATACAATTACATGGAAACATTTCATACTGTTCAATTATTATATTCGTAATAAAACGCCAAGGCAACATTGCAAACTAAAACTGTAATTTAAGGCTAAAGTTAGTAACTAGCTAACATCAGCGTTCGTCGTTAGATACTTCACACCATCTAATTCAGGAACAGTGAAGGTCAGCTAGTGAAGTGTATTAAACAAGCCAGATAGTTAGCCCAAACAGAACAATGTATGTCAGTGATGGGCATAACATAAAACCCATCATACATCCATCATCCAATCCCAACCATTAGTGGTAAAAACTATCATCACCCATCAATTTTAAATGGGAGACATAAACCTTCTACCACTGCCGACTGCCGTTAAAGGGAGTGTCAAAGAGATGGGTGATGAAGGGAGGCAGAGGAGATCTCCAGATATTGAGGTGCACAGTTGGAGCTTCCCACATGCCAATTCACCAGTCCCCTTTAATAATGTCGAACGGACAGTGAGTCTCGGTGTGCCACCAGGCTGCAGCTAAGTAGCCTGATGTTACTGCCTCCTGTCTATACATCATATGCACTGTCCAGAATGTATTCAAACACAATTTGTATAATTACAGGGAAAGAAAAATACATTTTTCGAGCACTTATCGAAACTGTTTCAAATTAACTGTTTTGAATGATACTCTGTCAGACCATTTTTAAAGTAATGTCTTCGTGTTTGGTTCCCAAAGTTAATGAATTCATGAGAAAAGAAACCAGAGGAGGTAAAAAGAAGGGAAGAGGGAAAATAACACAAAGGCAGGCTCAGAAGGAATGTCATCTCATTTCTATGGACTGACTGTCAGTGTATTAAATGTCCTACAGTGTACTTTACAAGAAAGTCCATGCTCTATCATGTTTTCAAGGTGGCTCTACTTTATTTGTGTGTTCACGCCCACAAAGTGCAGACTGTATTTACACAGGTACAAACATGCATTGTTCCTACAGCCAGGTTCACAGAGTGAGCTGGTTCACTCTGGACTAAACTCCCTCGACTGTAGAACATGAACTTGTGGAACAGGCCTGTTTAGGTTCTCACTCTAACAAGGTGATCCACAGAACCAAGTAAAAGCTTCTGTGAACGGGCTGGATGGAGCTGGATTTGCATGAGGCAGTAACATGTCTCCTGTCTGCAGAGACAATCATCTGCAAGCTCTCATCTCTGTGTTCAAGAGACCACAGTTTTTGTTTACCTGGCAGCAGGTGTGAATATGAGACTCATAGGTACCTGACGTTTTAGCTCATGCAGACTAAGCTAACTGGTTCAGTAAACACATATCATACAGGAAGCTACACTGAACTTTAAATATTACTGTTGTGAAAACTTTACTTTGCAATATGAGCAGTAGTTGTGCATGTAGCAAATCCTACTGAACATGAATACACTCATATTTACAACTATTCATATATTTACAATCACATACATGTACAATACATCAGCAGCTTCAAATCAGAAAAAAACATTTGAAGGGTTTGAGGGAAGTTCATTCGCAAAGTCTTCAGATCCCTTCACTGTTTTCACATTGTTATGTAGCACTCTCATTTCAATTCATTTTAATAAAAAGTCATTTCAGTGTAACATTTTATCTTTAGGACAAATTGAATGTAGCAGGTTTGTCTCATGTGTTGGTGGGAAAGACAAATTCCAGGGAACCTTTGAAAAACAGACTCACACCTACAACCACACTACAACTGCATCTCTCAAGGTCTGTCTCAGAAAAGATGAACGTTATTATGTTTTAAAATAAAAAAGTAACATTAATTTAAACAAATGGTTTGGTGCAAATCAAGTGTGGTCATGTGTCATTTCCAGCTACCGTCTTGATTTAGATAAAGAAACTAAACTAACTGGTTTTCTTTAATCCAGATTATCACAAGAGTCTCTGAGGATTCTGGGAAAATCCCCAGAACTACCAGGGACTTTGCTTTGAGAAAGATGGACGCTCAGCTCTGCGACAACATGTATTAAAACAGGACCAACTGTGTCCTGCCTGGATGAGGCTGAGGTCACTTTGATATATACGTGAGTCTCTACACCACGACCTGAGGTGATCTGAGTAACCAGGCCACCATCACTCTTCATTTCATTTACAAGAGAAAATATACAACATTCACAAAAACACTAAAAGGCATCTGTCGACATGATGATGTCAGCTCAACATGAGACGGGCAGTGACGACGGGAATAATGAATTTAGGATTTCATTTTCCAAAAACAGGATTTTAACTTAAAGGTGTAAATGTATCCATAATCAATTAATTGTTCCGCTCTTTAATCAAGTTTAAATATTAAATACTTTCTGGTTCCAGATTCGCTCTGTTGCGAACCGTTGAGTTTGGCAACTTGTAATTATTCTTATGGAATATAGGAGAATTAATTAACAATAATTAAGATGGATTTACTTTGAATAAATGATCATTATTGGCAACCTTGCTGAGTGGAAATGTAAACGGTGATGTGAGCAGTTCTCAGCCTGGACTGTGCAAACAGAGTAAAGAGCTGCTGCTCATGGCGTCTTACTCCTATGGGAGGATTAGATTAAACTGTTATAAATAAAGATTTCATGTGACAGAAACACATTCATGATAAATAATATAAAGCAGTTATCAGTTATTGTCCAATTCAACTGTGAATGTACTTCATTAATGTTAAATATCCCATTCAAACCCACTGATCACCAACACACCGCTGTCTGTTGATGGATGCCTCAGTATCAGAGGAGATCTGACTGTAGCTGTGAGTTTAATCTCATTTCTGTTGAAATCCTGATGAAACCAGCTCAGTGTCCGTTGCCGCCCTCAGACAGGATGCGGCTGGGCTCGGTGAACTTTGCCGTGGCGATGTAGAAGAGGGCGGGGCCAGGCACGAGGGCCAGCAGCGGCAGGTCCTGCGCCAGCTTGTCCAGTCGGGAAATGGAGATGATGCCGTACGCGTGGAGCAGCCAGTGGCTGAACAAGACGACCAGACGCTTCTTCTTAGCAATCAGGTTCTTAAAAGACTGAGGAGGAGGAGGAGCAGCACACAGAGACAAGAGGTTAGAGATCAGCTTCAGGGAAACACAAATCAAATGCTCCATGATGCTGAAAAGACACGGTGCAGTGAGTGTGGTTACCTGTATCTCAGAGGCAGACATGTAAACAGCCAGCGTGACCAGAGACAAGACCAGTATGATGTAGGGAAACGCATAGTCTGCAACACACAAGCTGTCATTTAGAGCTGCACAGGTCGACCTACACGTTATCATTTAAACTGAAGTGAGTAACAGCTGTGTGATGTGTTAAATATGAAGTCAGTACTCACAGAGCAAGCCTCCGCCCACCGCCTGCAGCACAGTGAGGATGGGGAAGAAGTAGAGAGCAGCGTAGATGCTCTTGAAGCGGTCAGATTTGCCCAGACCACAAGCAATCTTCTTCACCAGCAGAGGGCGCAGCAGCATCATCAGCACCAAGCAGAACGCATAGTAGATCAATACGATGGTGTAACTGAGGAGGAAGACAAACATGATGGACTCAACGCTGGTGACAACACGGGCCGGAGGTTATTTAAGTTTCAACGACTTCTGTGCACTTCCTGGTGAACATAAACTGAGCCTTTTAAAACCCCCATCACACGCTCTTACAGTGGGTAGACGGCCTCCTGGGTGCAGTGTATGGTGTTGATGTAGTCTGGACTGGGGTTGTAGAGCATGGTGTACCAGTCTGACAGCATCTGGACTCCACAGGACCGGATACTGAGCTTGCCCACGGGCTCCGTGACCAGCAGAGTGACCACGGCCGACACGCTGCACTCCAGCATGGCTGTGATGTGCTGCAGCAGAGCGCTGGAGCTGAACGCACGACAGCACAGGATCAGACAGCAGAGACGCACAACTCCAGTTACTCATCACAGATTCTAACACATGTTTACAGCAACTCACAGAAAATATCCAAACTTTTATATCCCAACACAGTCCGGCCCAAATTTTATGATAAGAATATCATTACTAGTTTCAGGTTACATCCGTGTTCATCCAGAGTCATAGAAAATATCAACTATTTGTGTGAAATTTTGTCGTATTTGCTGTGAAGTCTTAGAGTAATGGCTAAAAAGTGTTTTAAACCACCAAAATCTAATCAGTTCATTCTTGAGTCCAAGTGAAAGTTTGTACCAAATTTGAAGAAAGTCCCTAGAGATACAGCGTTCACGAGGCCAAAATCATGTTTTGTGAGGTCACCATGACCTTGACCTTTAGACACCTAAATCTAATCAGTTTGTCCTTGAGTCCAGGTGATGGACAACTGGAAAACAATATGCCTCCAGCTCTGACTGTAGAGACATAAAAATATTGCATATGGCAGGATATATTGCAACATTTTTGATTTTTTAATATTGGCCCAAACCTACATGAAATATGAAGAATAAAATATTACAGCAAAAACAAAACCATAAACAACAACATTTGTGCTTTTGGCAGGATGTTGTAGAACAGCAGTTAAGACCAGAATCATTTCATCATTCAATTCATTGAACTGAAAACTACTATACAAGTTTCTGACTTTTACAATGAAAACAAATGGTGAAATGCTACGTTCACAATGTGGCTCCAGCTGTGGGTCAAATCTGTTTATTCTGTAAAGTACAAAAACAGCCTGAAGCTGTTTAAGAAACAGTTTCCTGAGAAGAGGCCTGGTTTACTGAAAGAGATCTGCTGGAATAATCTTGGTTGTAGCTGCTGTAGCTTTTGACCTGATAAGATTAACGTTCTCTCTTCTGATAAAAACAGAGCTTGGAAAGTGTCCTGCTCCATTATAATGTCAACTCTGTGCTCAATGTCAAGAAGTTAGATTCACTTTGCATCTTTGGACCTGACAGTGACTCTGAAATCATGAAATGACAAATCATGTCGTGGTCTCGATCTTTGTGTGTGTGTGTGTGTGTGTGTGTATGTGTGTCTCTAGTATTGTGTATGACCTCACCTCTTCTTTCCAGAGTACCACTCAATGAAGAACCAGTGCAGCACCAGAGGTAACATAGCCATGAATCCCAGATAGAGCCAGTCGTAGAGCTCGGGGGACTCGCTGCAGCGTTCACATACCTTCTGCAGGTTGGCCCGCTCTCCACGAGGACACACCTGACAGCACAGACACACAGCACACAGAAACTCACTGCAGGCCCGACAACAGATTTTCATTTTCCCCTTCGTCTTTCCTTAACTGAGACCAGAATTGAATCTACAACATCATCACTGTGCTGCATTTCACTGTGAAAACTATGAAATTCATAAAAAAGATTGTTTCCTGTGCCGCTCCACACCTTCCTCAGCTTTACATTCACAACAGTCAATGTTAGCAGTGGTGGTTCCAGTGTGGTGCTGGACACTGACACCAAATCTAGACATCCTTCAGTACCTTTGTTTTTTACTAAATTACTTTTTCATTTAATTCTACCACCACTGTTAATAACAATAATGATTATAATTAGCAGTAGAATAATAATAATAATAATAATAATAATAATAATAATAATAATAAATAATAATAATAATAATAATAATAATAATAATGATAATAATAATAATAATGTTGATATGTCCTGTGCTGGGACTTAAATCCTAAGACAGGACCCATCAGGATGTCCCTGAGGCTGTGCTCTGGATTGTAGGGGAGCAACAAGTCTGCAATGTAACTGGGAACTGAACCATGAAGCGCTTTAAAGGTAAATAGGAACATTTTTAAAATTTTATGCTCAAACTGATGAGAGACTAAAAAAATCAGATGTGATAAAGTCCTGTCTTCTAGTTTTTTCAAGCAGATGTATTTATACCAGAAGGAAGGAGTGAGAGCGTTTGTTTGGCTCAACCCTGAACACAATAATTGACAACAATCTAACGTGTGTGAGAGACAAGACCTGATCTTTGAGATGCTCCTACGACAAAAACACAACTAAATAACACGTGCATAACAGCTCTGCTCCCTTATGTTTACATTTAGTTTGACTTCCTGAAACCTGATGTAGATAAATAGCTAAAGTCAAACATCGTCTGAGGCAGGCTGCTTGTTCTAGTATGGAATGCCATCTAAATCAATATTAATTCAATAAATACAGCTGTTAAATGAACCCTAAATTAAATAAATTAGGTTATAAAGGTAGAAATAATAAATAAAATAAATAAATGTAAATATAAATAATAAATAAATATATACATTTAATTTCCAAATGCCACATTTATTTCCCAGTTCTTTTTATTTCCATCTGTTCTGTGCTGTTCTGGTGCTGTTGCTTCGGTCTGAATCTGTGAGATAACCACACCCCATCCTTTGAATATAACAGATGGAAATAAAAAGAGCTGGGAAATAAATATGACATTTCGAAATAAAAGTCTCTGGAAATAAATAAATGTGGAATTGTAAAAGACCCCTGAAATAAATGAAAAAGTAATTCTTAAATTAAAAGCTATTTATTTATTAGTTTTTATAGCTATTTTTTTTATTTGACTCACTTATATATTTATTATTTACATTTATTTATATATTTCTATATGTATTACTGAATTTATTTATTTCATAACAGAAGTTGTTTATTTATTCATTTTATATATAAATATAATACTTATTTAGATGGTATTCCATTCCAGTTTTAAATCAGACCATGGAGAAGCTGACACAACATCCCCAAATCTGAACAATGAAGCTGTTGAGTAGCTTGGTTTCATCACTCAAGCACAGAAATTCAATGACTAGCTGAGACTCAACTGTATAGTGGGTTAGGGCACTATACCCACTACACAGTCTGGTGCAGGACACTAAACTGGAAACCAAAATTACAACTATCTCATCTCTCTTCTGTAGCATAGACGGATGACAAGCAGTTCCCCACAGTCACACATACACAGCAGCAGTCAGACATGAATCTGGGTCAGTACTCACACCACATTCTCCCTCCACTGATCCATTAACCATCATCCTGCCACAGTACAGGCCTGGACACGTTGAGCTCATGGCCACAGCTGCAATGACACACAGACAGATTTTACACAGCAGGCACCACTGCTTACAGCAGTGTGAAAACACACGGTAACTCTGCAGGTTTCAAATATAAACACGAACGTGTCTACGCTCCAAAGTAGATGAGAACAGCTGAGGGTTAAGGTTAGTGTCAGTTAGCTGCTCCGATCAGCAGTATATTCTTGTGATTATAACGTGGAATGGGCGGGATTCTCTCCAGCACTGTGCCGGAGAGAGGAGAGATGTGTTTAACAGTAGAGACAGTCTCTCATTTATTATTATGTGGACAAATACATACGCTGGAGATGTTGTTGATTGAGCTAAAGCAGCTACTTCACAGTAGGGCAGACGAATAACGTTACATCGAAACCAAAAGTCAGTTTCCAAAAAAACTGACTCAAATGTCCGCAGCTGTGACTAATGTTAGTTTCAATGATGACTGTTTAAACTGGTATAAACACAGTGGTGGTTTATTCGAGTAGAGAGACGTCCCCTAATTAGTGTAAAGCAGTGGGATGGAGTTAGCTAGCTAGCTCACAGGTAGCTAGTCAAACCAGACTATTATTTGCAGGGGCGGTCCAACTATCTTGACAAGCTAACTATCACTAGATGAAAGCCAAGACTAGCTTACCCATTTTCGACCAGTGGTGACTGAAAACAACTTTCTCGCCTCGGTGCTACAGTATTTCATTCGGTAGCTAAACTGGATACGGACGAAAATAAGGTAACACAAACCGGAAGTTTTCTTCTTCTTCCAATGAATTTCCAGCAGACTGCACACTGTAGAGCTTAACACTGCCCCCCACAGACAAGGGTTTGCTATTGATTCTGTATTTTTAAATACATGCCAGTAGACTAAAGAGATTTTAAGACTGATCTAAGACAAAACCAGAAACATCAGAACATTATTATAAGGACAAAGACTCAATTTCATAATCTATATTTAACAAGATTTGAAATTGACATTGATGATAATGTTGATGTTCATTGAACTACTGAAAAATGTTTTTTCACTTGCTTTGGAGTTTCGTAAATGTGTTCTGTTTTTGGTCTAATGTGAGTTTTTGCAGTGTTGATAAAATCCTCCCAGAATTTGTGCTATGTTTTGAATGTGTGCAGTTTTGATGTCTATGAAGTAAAAACACAGCCATATTATTAATTTAATTATTGTTTTTTGTGCTTCCACACTGGCAACAGAGAGAACTGCATATTGTTTTAGGATTGTCAGTCTGTCCATCCCATTCTCGTGGCACACAATATCTCAGTAATGCCTTGATGAAACTTCTTTAAATTTGGCACAAACATTCACTTGGACTCATGGATGAACTGATTAGATTTTGTTGGTTAAAGGTCAAAGGTCAAGGTCATCTTGACATCACAAAAGATGGTTTTGGCCTTATGAACGCAATATTTCCTTAATGCCTAGAAGGAACTTCTGCAAATTTGGCACAAATGTTCACCTGGACTCAAGGATGAACTGATAAGACTTTAGTGGTCAAAGGTCAAGGTCAGTGTAACCTCACAAAACACTGTTTAACCTTCACAGATCAACTATGACAAAATTTCACACAAACGGTTCATATTTGATATGACTTTAGATAAACATGGATGTAACCTGAAACTACTGTGTGGAGAAGGCAGACAACCATCAGGGGGTGATTCTAGTTTCACTATTTTTGATAAGTTCCGTATTCAAAGCAGCAAACTTAGGAAGTGTAGAGGATTTTATATTAATCTGTTTTTATACTTTTAATAAAATAATGTGTGCATTGTTGATGTAACCATAATATGCCTATAACTAAGTGACATTTAATAAAACTTGCTGTGCAACGTTACAGAAGAACAGACTGAACTTATGATATTGTTTGAAGGCCACCCGGGAAAAAAAACAACTCCTTATATGGTAGACATCCTGGAACAGAAGTAAGACAAAAAACGAGGAATAGAGTAGGGTATTGTCTCTCTTTGTGTGAATCTCTCACAGATCCACCACCACGAGGGCTGTCCCGCGTAGGAGAGTCAGATAACACGAGGTGAAATAAAACAGAGAACACGTGGAGGAGCAAAACAAGAAGACAGCGGCATGGACCGATAAGAGACTCAACCCACATTGTATTATTTTTTCTGTGTAAGAATATGAAAAGACTGGGTCAGGAAGAGGTAGGAAGTCAGACTTCATGAACTGGCACAACTGCATGTTGTTGTCAGGGAGAGATAGTTTGGCCCAGAGCTCTGTAACGATCTCCTTTTTCTAATGCTATATTACTGTTAGCTTTAATAAATACTGGGATTTGAACTTTGAATGAGTGTCCTGTTTCCTTCATCAAACCAACACGCGAGTTCAGGTGACGAACTCAACAGAAGATTAAGAGCTTTTTAGAAAAGAAACTCAACAATATATTTACAAGTTTTCACATGTATTTTGTACCCCTTTATTCCAGTAATTGTATTATTTCTTCTTCTTAATGTTGTTGTTCTTATAATCAATCATGATTTAATCAAAACAATTGCTCTTAGACCAAGACCAAGAAATTCTGTCCTCAACTAATGATGCAGTTTGAGTCCAAAAGTTCACCGAATGAGGATGAAAATTAAATGAATGAGAAATGTATTTATTTATTTTTATTGCATCCAAAAACTTGTTAGATTCCATCTCACTATTAATTTCAACTGTTTGGAAATAGACAGAAGACATGCATTGTTGACACCCAGTAACTGGATTCCCTCTTATTGCATGGCTGCCATCTACTGGACATATTTGGCACTGACCATGTTCCCTTCACATATAAATACACTAAATAATGTCTGCCCTTAAGGTCCCTTTATAACCCAGTGTCCTTTTTTATTCCCATCTCCTCCGCATGTTGCTGATGATTATGGGATAGACTGGACAGGACCTCACAACACATACCCACATGATATCATTGTACCTGACATGAAATCACCCCGCCATCTCATGCAACAAGGGTTAATCTGGGGAGAAGAATCCAGTGTGTTCACTGCTCAGGTCCCACCTTTTCTCTTCTGTCAGCTCATTTATTCAGTTCAGGTGTGCTCCCCTCCTACAGGAGAAACAGGTAGTTTTTTTTTGTTTAGTAAATTACCCTTATTGCATGTACCAGCTTTGGTTTGAGTTTGTCTGCAGTTGGGTCCAAAAACATTCACTTCATAACATTTTCAAACAAAGTTTTCATAACAGAAGTAACTGTTGTGTAATATAAAACTCAAGTCCTGCCAATATGATGTAGCATTTTATAATGTGATGGAGCCATAGGGTTTCCATGCATGTGCTGGATCCAGGCAGAGGGCAACATACAACTGCAACATGGAGTTCTTCAGGGGGGACTTCCCACCCATGCCTGAGCTTCAGCACTATTAGGAGATATCAACACACAGGACATTAGTGAAGTTATTGTATATAAATCAGGAACATTTTCTATGATCTGTGCAACTGTATGTTGAGGAGACGAGCAGCTTGGCATTATTATTAACACGACAATTATGAAAATACACATACATGTGTTACCTACATGTGTTACTTATTACCTGTTTTACCTTAAACAGGTAATAAAATAAATGTTACTCTGGCACACTCAAATTGTTAATGTGGTGTTGTACAGCCCGTTGTTCATTTAGGTATGTTACATAGAAGGAATTGAATCCAAGAATTGAATCCAAAATTGGATGAAACAGTTAAAATCTAATCAGGTCTGTGTATCATCAGATAATCCGTAATTCATTTGTAATTTAAAAATGATAAAATGTAAATCTGTTATTTGTTTCAAAACCAAAACAGAAAAACTGAACAAACCCCTGATTTTATTTTATTTTTTAATTCTAAACCAAAAACATAAAATGAACAAAAATCACGTGGTGTGTTAGTTTTTTTGTTTCTAAACAAAAAGCGATAAAACCAAATTCAAAATATGGTCAAATTCTGGTTTTTGCTAATTCATTTTTTCATTTCTCATTTGGCAGAGACAGTAGATTGGTGGACAGACAGGAAGAGGAAGAGAAGTGTAAAAAAGTCTAAATAAAAGCCAAGAGGACATAAAAGTGTATAATTAAGCAGGCACACAATCTATACTAGTGTAATTTTAGAAGATAGATACAAGAATGAATGAAGGAAGCAATAAATACATAAATGCATACAAAGGCTCCACAATTATATCTTTTATTATTTTGTTCTTTTAATTGAGACATGAAATATATTTTATCCAAAAAGTCTGTGATATTTATTTGTGTGCAGCATGAAGTAATAGCCTATATATGGAAATTGCCTGTATGGTCTATGTATACCCAGACCTAATTAAATATTTTAGTTTGCTATTTATTCACAAGCACAGGTGGAAAAAATGTATTTCAGTTTAATTAAAACGTTTCATTTTAATTTCAGACTTCCATAACAAAACAAAAAGACAGCTCTAGATGCAGTAACGTCACTGAAGACACCATGGATGACAATGGCTTTTTAATTCAGAACGGACAGGTTAAGCTGCTCGTGCTCTGACTGTAGCTGATGCCAACAGGCTCATGCTCATCAGAAACCTCTGAGCAGAGAATCACCGCACCGCTCAAAAAGTATTGTAAGTCCACTGACATGTAGGCTAGTGTATCAATTTTAAATAGTTTATTTTGCAGATACCAGTATGATACCATTTTACAGGGACATGGATGCAAAAATCTATCACCAGTTACCATGGCAACTGCATTAAACGTCAGACGGAACAGTGAGCACGTTCATATGAAAGGCGTGGTTTCTGAGAGGGGGCGGGGGGGGGTAGTCGTCGTAGGTATGTAGAGGGAGAGAGAGGAGCTCGTGCAGAATCTGCCTCACCTGGGATTTCTGGAGCAGCTCGTGAGCTGTTGTTGCTAATGGAGACACAGAGAAGCAGGAACAAGGAGGAACGAGGCCAGTGTATTTTTTCTCCTGACAGAGATCAACAGGGTGGGAGCCGCTACATGTCAGACGATGTGTTTTTTCTCTCCTCCCTCCAGCGGCGCTGATCACAGCTGAGGAAGAGGAGATGGATTGACTTTCTTCTTCTTCTCCGTATTAAGAATTTCAGAGGCCAGAAACTGAACAACAACTGAAGATGTGAATCGTAGCTTTGCTTGAAACGGAGCCTGTGTTCATTCAGAGTGAACGGCTGACTGGGCTCTGTTGAACAAAGCTGGAAAACAAACAGGCGTTTGGAAACGACTGATGGAGAGAAACAGCTCGTTTGTGTGGAGGTGAATGTGAACTGACTGTCCCAAAGTCTTAGGAAGAAACGGAATAAATAAACCGTGTTTTACTAACAGATAGCGGGCATTTATATTGAGCCTGCTTTAACTAAATGTGGATACGACCCCGGTGGTCAAATTTTACAGAAGGTAAACCAATAACACAGAACTTCCTGGTAAGTTATTTAACTCAGAGAGGTGAAGGTCTAAATATGTTATGTAGACAAAAATTCTTTTAAATAAATGTGCACATCAGGTTACTCCTGAAATAGATGCAATTGCTAACTAGTTTAGCAGAGCAAAAACCACATCTTCAAATCACTGTTGCTAAATGTAAATGTAAATGAATTACAGATATACAATAGGTGACTCCCCCTTTACAGAGTATCTTAAAGTGTTGATGAATAAACAGTGAATACCTTATAATCACAGCTGTTAATTCTGCATAATAATCTATTCTGAAACTGGATTTATGTGACACAAAACACATGCATTTTTAATGAAAGGCTCCCGTGGATCAGTCATGGCATCAATCAGTGACCTCTTTCTCCTGAGAGGTGGGCTTCAATAGAAAAGTGTCACTGGGAAGTATTATGGTAGTATTACAGCCAGTAACTATTACAACAACAAAGCATAATTGACATTGCATATAATTAGTCCCAGAGCCAGTTTTGGCCTGATAGTCAATAATATCAAATATCACAATATTTCCTGCTATATGCAATATTTTACATAACATCAAAATTATTACATTTTTTTGCAGTTTTGCACAGTCAAAATATAAATATACATATAACTTAAAATTCAACAACATAATTATATTATATATATATATAAAAAAAGATAGTATTAAGATAGTAAAAGGTAATATTGTATGTCATGATATTTGAGCCAGACTGTATCGAGATTAAATTTTGGATATTGCCCGAGCCTACTGGTTATTGGTATCCATCGTACAAAAAGACATTACATCCTTTTATCATGAACACAGACTTGACTACCCCCTTTTCATTTTCTCTGTTGATGGATTTGAAGATGCTGAAAGCAGGAAACGACACACGGATGAGGAGGAGTCATTATCAGCAGCCATGTCTGAATCCAGGAACCCGACACTGACTGACTCTGATCTGACTGGATGTTTGTGAGATAAGGGATGAGTTTTGTTGTGTTGTTTTTGTGCATCATCGATGGAGTCGCCTGTTAGCACTGCCCTGTGGGGCGGTGGTGGCAGCAACTACACAGCTGACGACTCTGGGCCGAGCTTCATCAACCAGCTAGGCACTGGCTCACCTGTCGTGCCGAGGTAATTCACTCTGTCCTGCTACCTTCACATCTGTCCCCTCTGTGGCACCAGAATGTAACAGCTGGTTAAATTACTTGCTTATCTGCTCACTGGCACCTGCACCATCCAAACACCCTTTCCTGGCACTGCAGTGGCCTACAGGTGGCAAACATATTTTCAACCATCAAATTAAGAGACCAGCAAATTTCAGCAGAGATACAGTTTAGCCAGGAGAAATGATTTCATATCTCAAATGTAGAGCAGACTGATCAGAAATGAGTGGTGTCACGCCCTCAGGACTGGAAACAATTTACATCGGTGGCATATTTCAGGAGCTCAGGGACCACTGAATCCATCAGGGTTTCATGGTGATGGAAGATGCTTAGCTGTCAATGAGGGTGGCATAATATTGAATCTTTTCTTCATGCTATGGGATGAACCTGCACTGTAGGTATTTTATTTTAAGCCCTCTTTTCTATTCCTGCACATTTTTCCAGACGGGACAACAAGGTGCAGAGCTATTAATTGATTTGCAGAAGTCAAATTTAGACCTTTTCTCTTTTTACAACATTCATGTTAAGACCTGTGTCTTATCAAAGCCAAAGTAACTGATTCAAGCTACTCTTCATTCACTTGATTAGAGGGAAATCCCTGAATTGTTTTATAATTCCTGTGTTTTTGGTGTTATTGAATCACCTCCTCTGGCCACACCTCTGATTTTAGTGGTTCAAACAGGTCAGGTCAGATCTAAGATTTTTCTACACACACGGAGGGTTTGTTCCTCTTAAATATTGTTCACTAATGTGTTTAAATCTGTCAGTGAACATTTCTCCTTTGTCAAGATCATCCATCCACCTGTCAGGTGTGGCATATTCACATGCTGATTACAGAGCATGATTACTGCACAGGTGTCACCTGGGCTGGTCACAATAAAAGGCCACTTTTAAATGTGCAGTTATAGTTTTGATAAAATACATTTATAAGGTACTGAACTGTGGGTTTCACATGCTAGATGTGTAGGCTCACGCCTCTTCAATAGCTCTGAGTTTGCTGGATATTGACAGGAAGCGGATCACACAGATCCAGATCATCCCAAACATGCTCAATGTCTGGTGAGTGAGGGGCTGGATGGATGGACGACCACACTCTCAGAAACAACAATGGAGACGTCTCATGGTGGTGAAATGACCATTCATTTCTGACATTCAGCACGCCAAACTTCAAGACATGCAACATCTGTAGAATTATGTAATAAAACTGCACATTTTAAAGTCACCTTTTATTGTGACCTGCCTGGGTCAAGCCTGTGCAGTAATCATGATGTGTAATCAGCATCTTGATATGCCACACCTGTCAGTTGGAGGGATGATCTTGACAAAAGAGAATTGCTCACTACTCGCTGCCCTCTCCATAACGATGTTAGCAAACCACAAGTTATTTATTGTTACCATGGTGACATTGGTCGTAGGCCTGATTTAGCCTTGGGGTGAGGTGTCTAATGTTTGAGGCTTAAAATGAGTCAGTCTATATTTTTATGAAACAGTCTGATTTGCATGAAACTAATCTATGAGCCAAATTGACCAAAAGACTGGACCAACACTACAGACCAGTCTGAAATATCTTTGTGAAACCAGCTCCAGGCTGCAGAGCAGTGTTTACTGCCTCCTCTCGTCTGTTTGCATCATATGTCTCTATATAACTTCTTTTTGTTTCTTTAGGGTTGTTTCCATAGTGACCAGTCTAGTGACCGCCACCACAGAGGCCACAGTGGGCACCACAGGAAACCTGTCGGTGTTCAGAGACCAAAGAAGGAGCGAGCTCAGTCAAACCCATCCGGCATCAACCCCGTCTGTCCTGAGCGCCGCTGAGAGTAACTCTGTTCTTCAGGGCATCACCGTGGCAGCTCAGGCCCTGGTGCTCCTCTCCATCTTCCTCCTCTCCAGCCTTGGTAACTCAGCCGTTGTTATCGTCATCATCAAACACAGGCAGCTTCGAACCGTGACCAACGCCTTCATCATGTCTCTGTCGCTGTCTGACTTCCTCACGGCTGTTCTGTGTCTGCCCTTCTCCTTCATCATGCTCTTCAGTAAGGACGGGATCTGGATGTTTGGGGATCATTTCTGTGTGGCCAACGGCTTCTTCAACACCTGCTTTGGTATCATCTCCACCCTGACCATGACTCTGATCTCTTTTGACAGGTACTACGCCATAGTCAGGCAGCCACAGGCGAAAATTGGGCGCCAGAAAGCGACTCAGTTGTTGGTAGCTGTGTGGTTAACTGCTGTCATCTTTTCTTTACCCTGGTACCTGTTAGTCCGGACGCCAGCAGAAATCCATAAGCGAGGTTTCTACCACTGTATGTATGTGTTCCACTCTGGGACGTCTCGCATGGGGACGGCTTACAGCATCTGCCTCATCATGGTGTGTTATTTACTGCCCTTCTCCCTCATGTGTTTTTGCCATTACAACATCTGTAAGACGGTCCGGCTCTCAGAGATCCGAGTCCGACCAGTGACCACGTACGCATACTTATTGCGGTTCTACAGTGAAATGAGAACAGCAACCACGGTTCTGATCATGATCGTTTTCATCATTTTCTGTTGGGGGCCATATTGTTTAATGGGGTTGGTCACAGCAATGGGAGACTACAAATTCAACCCCGCAATGGACACGGTGGCGATCTGGCTCGCCTGGGCAAACGGAGCCATCAACCCTCTGATCTACGCCCTGAGGAACCCCAACATATCCATGTTACTGGGGCGGAGCAGAGAGGAGGGCTATCGGACCAGAAATATCGCTGCGTACCTCTCCAGCCAAACCCAGAACCGCGAGGTTCGGCTCAACCAAGCAGACAGGATAAGGGACCGCTACGTAAGCCGAGTAGGGGTGAACAATAACAGCAGACTGTCGAGTTCCAGTCCTGGAAAAGGAGGAGAGGTGGCAATGTGGGCCTGTAAAAACCCCGCTGTGTTCTTCTGCAGGGACGCCCAGTCTGACACCACAACACTACCCAACTCTGTCAGTACTCTAAAGATGAAGACAGCTGACACCAGCCTGTGAGTTCTGGACCAAGTTTGAACTATCTGATAATGGTTTCCATCTGATCTGTATTTACAGTTGAGGATCTGGAGACTGCTGTCACCAGTTTAAGGTCTTCAGAAATACCTGACAGTATTCGTGTCTCGTCGGATCACAGCATCTCATAAACGTTCATGATCCCATTCAAAACTTGACCAGATTTTGTTCCATGAATCAGGAGGATAATGAGTTTTTCATATAGTCCTATTAATTGACAGAACTGTCAGGAAGACAAAAGTCATGATGGTGAAAACTCAGTTTGAGCAACTGTTGTATAACAGCTAATGAGTTACATGAAATCCTTCCTAAATTTGGAGGACACCATAAAGTCCTCTGAAGGATCCACAGGACCAGCTTGAAGACCTCTGGAAGGGGATGTTGAGTATCGTGACGCCTGTGCTGCAAAGGTCTTCATGTCATTTCATATGTCAATATGGAAAATTGATAAGGATGTAACATTTCCTTGATCCTAAACCATCCATGTTTAAAACATATATGTACTGTACATGTCATTTTCAGTAATTTGCTTTAATGCTTAAAACAACCTGAAGTTACAGTCTCCCAACGAAACTTGTTAGAACCTCCAATTGCCTCGTCACACCAGGGTGAAGTTCATCCACACTACTGTAGCTTGTAAGCTAACCACTAAGACTACGTCCACACTACTACGTTTTCATTTTAAAACAATCTACATTCAGAGTAACACACCTAAAAACGCATAACTACATGACCATTCACGTACACTGAGCATATGCGAGCCAGTGTAAACAAGGAGCAGATTGTTTACTCTGCAGTTGATTAGTCTTACAACATGCTACAAATGAGAAACAGCAAAAACAGTTGTAGCATTAAAATGCAGTAATCAACTGAACAACAGCTGCTAGCAAAGACAAGATCAGTAACATCAGTAATTCATTATATTGTTGTATTCAATACTGGTAGTCCAATCAGGAGCAACCGTGGGTGTCTAGGTCATTGTTTCCAAAGGTGTCCGTTTCTGTCCGTCCAGACGACAACACAACCCCAGAGTTTTCAAATTAAAACGGATTCGCATTTACAAAACTCGAAGGGAAAGAGATGTGTTTGTCTCCGAAAATGCAGTAGTGTGGACGTAGCCAAAGGCTGTGTCCACACTGGATGTGGGCGTATGTGTGGCGGTTGTGGAATGTTTTAGTTTTCATTTCTGCACCCATGTTAACAAGTTAGAGTAGACATGCCTCACGCTTCGAGAGATTCGGCCTCTTGGCTATTTTTCACGTGTGACACGTCTCTGAGCAAAAACAGAGAGAGAAAAGACCTGTTGATGTCATATTCACATCATACCAGCAACATCACATAAAACTGACACCCACCACTATTGTTTCTATGTCTAGGCTGAATCTGATTATGACCAAGACATGAAAAAATATAAACCATTCAAGCAGCTGCATGTGGAGACAGTGGCACTTTACTGACATTTTCAGTCTAAAATAAATCAGAAATGAATTTATAATGAAGAGAAATCCAACAGTTGAGTACCCTGTAAACTCTATGTAGAGAGATAGTGCTGCAGTAACAGCGACACAGCAGACACACACAAACAATGCAGTCAGTGTGTTCCCAGCATAAGACACTAGCCAGCAGGGGAAATGCTAACGCTAACTCCACTTGAATGAATTGACTTGGCTCTGAAATGTTGCTGTCTTAACTGCAGGTGTGACCAGGCCAGTAGGTTGTGATGATGGATGGTTTGTTGGATTAATTATCATGGTTTAATTTGTTTGAAATTAAACCATACATGAAGCTGAGATGTTGTAGATCAGAAACTGTGAATATTAAAAGTCATAATGTCCATAATGTTTTGTTGTTTAGATGTGAGGACTTTTCATCATGTCTATCTGTTGCTGCCTGTTGTTTTGATTTATTACTAATACTTACTTACTTATTATTTGATTTGACTTTTTGTTGCAGTCATGATTATTCATCAGCTTGAATGTATCTCAACAGGATTTGAGTTGCACTCTCACAAATACAATGAAAGATTTAACACTGTGAGACAGGTGTGATTTCTTAACAGTGTTTTCACAACAGAAAATGATTTTAAAAATGAAATGACCAGTTTAGACACACAAGGACGGACAAGGATTCAGGTGCCAAACAGGAGGGAAAATATGTCTCTTGACACGTTGACCTGTTTGTGTAACTGCATTTTCATATCATTGTTTTTTGTTGACAATAAAGAGGTTGCTAAAAAAAATTTAACTTCAAAATCCACTCCTGTCTCCTTTTTTTTGAATGTCTTTTCCATGTCTCATTTTTACCATTGAAAAAAGGTAACACTTTATTTAATTAAGACACAAAAAAAACAGGAAAAAAGGAAAAAAAAGATTTTTGTTTAGTCAGTGCAGCAACATGTAAAATGTAAAAAATTGACTACACACAAACAAACGTATATGAATAAATAGATAACATAATTTTTTTAAAGAGCAGTCCTTTGAAAACAGCTGGATGTAAACTCAAAACTAACTTTGTCTTTATTTTCCTGGTAATTGGTACTAAACTAATTATATAATTCTTATGAAAACAAGGGTGGCCCCCCAAATAAGTAGTAGTTTGAGCTTCAAATTTAAATGGATGACAATCAGTTCACACATATATAATAACAGACCTGCAGTTTTAAGTAATAATGAAAAGGGGACAGTGTTTTTATTTCTTTGTGGTCCTGTGTCATAACGTGTATTTTATAAGCCCACATCCTGGACTGAAGCCTAAAGGTCACCTGTCTTTGAAGAGCGTCACTGTAGAGGGTCTTTAAAGACCAACACAACCAGGACAGGAGATCTGAGAGAGGACAGGAAACACAGCTGGTCCTTTAGCGGAGGGGAACATGTGGGTGTTAAATCCTGTAAATTTATCAGCGCTTAGATGATTTAACTATTTTGATATTTCACCCCTCAGAAATTACCAGAAAATTCAAATTCCTGCCTTATCTGATTTATTTGTTCTTCACATTCATGTTTATTTCTTTTTGTCATTAGAGACTTTAAAAAAAAAAAAACTAAACTAAACTAAAGTTAAACTCTCAGCCTCTTAGTTTTGTAACTATAAGGAACATTTCTTTCATTTAATATAATTTATATAATACAATGTAAAAACACTTTGTCACAAGTAAAAGTCCTGCACTGAAAATGGCACTTAAGTAGAAACATACATGTCTGTACATGTACAGACCATAAATATGGAGGTGTGTTTGCTGGGCAGACTGACCACTGGGAACCTCTGAGCTCTCCTGGTCCACTCTGTGGAGGAACCATGAAGAATGAGTTCACATTATGTCTGTCCACACAGAGACAGAGACGGACACAAGCTAAAGGTCCACGAAGTGATGTTTGGATGTGACCAGTGAATCAGACGACTCCCTCTAGTGGTAAAGGTTATTGGTCCTGCTGATCCCACTGAGAATCAACAGCTCAGTCTGCAGCTGTTTGTAGCTTTCAGCTCAATGTTTGGCTTCATCAGTCAGTTTGGTTTAGTCCCAACAGCTCTCATCAACCCTTCACATAGCTCTCCCTCCCTCACTGAACACTGCTGAAGTGCCCTGAAGCAAGGCACCTGGAACCTCCAGCTGCTCCAGTGGAGCTGCTCACTGTCTGCCTCAATCAGACTGGTTGTACTGGACAGCTCCCAGTATGAACAATGAACCAGTTAAGTTTCACTGAGTAAATGACAGTTCAAACATGAATCAGGAACATTTTCATTTCACTCCATCAGAGGTGTTTGTCAGATGGTTGAATGGCATCTGAAACACCCACCTCCATCTGTGATTGGTCAGCTGTGTGCAGCTGAGAAAGTGGGCGGGGTTTGAAATTCTCTCTCAGCTCTTTTTTCATTCTTCACACAAACTATTACTGTCTCTTTCAACTACTGGGGTCAACTCAATGAACGTCTTCCAGGAGAGACTGTCTGAACATGGGAGACGTTGTCTCCATATTTAAGCCACATCACAACCATTCAGTCTGGTCTGGTCTCTGCTGCTGGATCCTGAAACAAAAACAGAACTGATAAATGTGCATGTTGGATGAAAACTCATGAAAAACTTGTTCAACCTTGTAATAAACACAACAATTAACTTAGTTAGATCCTCATCTTACCTCTGAGCTCTGGTCTGGCTCTCATGTTCCCCACACAGAGTGGTTTTAGAGGGAGGGGCTCCCTCCTCTCTGTCCTCACACTGATCCATGCTGCTGAGTTCACAACAGCTCACACGTTCTACCTTCATGTGGAGAGAAACACAAATCATTCATCTGCACATCAACTGATAATTTCTCCTGTTAAAATATCAGCTTGCTCCTCCACTGATTCTTCTTCTCTGTTTCATATCAGTATCAGTTAAATGCAGTCAGACAGCAGTGTGAGGCAGAGGAAGCGGCCATCAGCTGCTGTACTTCCACTATTAGTCCACTAGATGGCGACATGAAGCTGCTGTGAAGTGAAGAGCAGCCCAGCACACACACACACGAAAGCACTTGTTGAATTCAAGAGGAATATCCTTGCTGCATTAACTGCTGCATTTAAAACCAAAAAATATACCTTCAATCATAACTTTCATATTTCTGTCTTCTTTAGGCAGTGATGAAGTTTGGTCATGATCAACACAAGGAATCTTTCTTTATTTCTAAAATTTCTAAACATTGCTAGTAGACAAAAATGCAAATGCTAGAAATGTAGTTGAGTCAAAATAAAATATTTGTCTTTTAAGTGTAGAGAGTAAAAGTCGTAAGTAAAAAAAAAATACTCCAGTAAAATGATTATATGATTATTAATAATATCACTATTATCTATCTATCTATCTATCGTGTCTGCTCTGTCTGTCTGTCTGTCTGTCGTGTCTGTCTGTCTGTCTGTCTGTCTGTCTGTCTGTCTGTCTGTTCTGCAGATGCATGTTCTGCAGAATTTTTGCTCTTTTAAGAATCTAGCCCATCAGCCCCGGACAGTGTAACCTACTGCCTGCAGTGTATTATCTGCATGGCTGCACATGAAGCTAACTGTTGATGTGACAGGTGCAGAGATAATGGTTTATCCAAGGTAAGCTAACATTAAGACAAAGGGACACCTGACTCTGCTCAGGAGCAGCCAGGTGAGTGTTGGAATGTTCCCTGGCTTCATAACACACACACGCACATGCACGCGCACACGCACACGCACAGAGACATCAACTCTCACTCTGATGATGTAAGGGTGAGATAACAGGAACACGTTCTCCATGGTTCCCAGGCCGATGGTTCTTACAGGATGAAGATTTTCCTCTGTCTGCCTCAGCACCAACATCTAATAATGCGTTGATCCCAACAGTGGAGGAGGAAGTGTTCAGAGAGACATTTTACAGGAAGTAAAAATACTCATTATGCAGAATAGCCCAATTATATTATATATGTATAATATTATTACTGACACATAAATGTCAGTAATTTCTAACTCCTTTACAGTGTTTAATCTATAACTGTGCATTTTATCAGCTGATCCTCATGTCTTATATTATGATCTTCAAACCAAATCAGATCAATAAGATCATATAACAAAGTCGTCAAATATCAATATCCAAAACTTGTGAAACTCACTTGAGACAAAAATGCGAGTCATGATTCAGTCAGAGCTGAACACAGACATGAGAACACCACTGCAAATAAACATGGCTAAACCCGCTAATAACACTGCCAGTCCAGTTTGTCTCTCTGTTCGGACTGAGGACACACAACCATAAGGAGTGATGTCATCACATGCAGTAACAGAGCACACACAAAGACACAGGAGAGAGAGAGTGAGCTGTTCGCTGCCGTGATTCAGTTTTATCTGGAGCAGATTTAATGAGTGAAGTTGTGTTGCTTAAAGTTTAATCTATACATCCATGGTTTGTACAGACTCTATTCTCTGGACCTTTGGGTGACCTCCACCTGTGGGAGACCGCTGATCTAGAACGAGTCTAAACTCTGCAGTTTGACTGACTGGTAAAAGTCCACGTGGATGAAGGAACGCCACCTTCGACTCAACCTCTCTAAAACTGAATCTCAGTCATTCTGTCAGTCAGACCTTACCTGAACCAACCACCCAGCTGCTAGTCCAGGTTATGATGATCTCTCTCATCTCCTTACACCTCTAACACCCGGACATGTCTAACGAGCACTCGTGTGTAATCAGAATAATGAACGAATCATAAACTTTGGCTACTTTTTATTGCTCCTCGAGTCGATCATGTTCTGTCAGTCACACATTACACTATCTATCTGTCTAATGGTGTAATTACCATCAGTCATCAGGCGTTATGTGTTTCTCTTTAAACTTGTTACTTAATTATGCCTACACGTTATGGAACACTATGCATCTTCAGTAATTGCTGTCTTCTTCAAAATGTTGAGGATGTTAGTCACGTGTGAGCCGGGCTCGTTAGCCTAATGGAAAGCTAAGTCTCTATGGGAAGAAGAATAATTAGCAGAATGTAAAGCAGCCATCGTTGTTCCTGCTGGAGCCTGGAGGGTGGAGGTGAGGTTTCTCCTCTCTGTTTTTCTGGTGTTGCCTTACTGAATTACTGAATTAGCTCATTGTAGATCACCTTTAAAGTAGCTTGTAAAATTGTTTACTTCTGTTTTTGTCTATGTCCCTCTTTCTGTAGACTCTGCACCCACACTGTGTCAACATCTGCTGCAACCTTTGCCCTCAGAATACAGCAGTACATCTCTATGTATGTGTGTTTGTTGCACTGTGGAATTTTATAGTAATAAAGAAACATCAAAGACATTTTTTAACTGATACAATTTCATAAAAATGCTACTATCTGTAATCCAAAAGAAATCAATCATCCCACCGTTTAGACTCACAGTCTGTAACTTCTGCCTCTGGTTTCTCTGGTTGGAGAATTGATGGAAACATTTGGGATAATGTAGGAACATAAGTAGAACATAGGTCTAGGTGTTTTAAGACATTTTAATGTGGGAAAGTTACAGATTATAACTTTAAAAACTGCCCCCACACGGTTCGGATCCAAAAGCAAAGTTGATCATTTCCTCACTGATCCTCTGTCGTGGCTCAGATCTCCTGCATGTGTCTGATGATTACAGAGTGTGATTCTGTGAGAGCAGGCTGAGGTAACAGCACTAATGATCGAGGTTCAAGTCAGTCAAACTGGTTCTGAAGAACCGAAAAAAATTTAAATGTGTTATTGTCTATAATCTGTTGATCTACACCCTGATGGTCAGATGTGAAGAGGAGCTGCACGGATGTTTATTCCATTTTAACTAATTAGATATTTTCTCATTTTTTTTAATTTCAAATTATATTTTCTTTAACACTTTGTTCCCCTGACACAAGCTTCCTATATTGACTGTTACCTGCCTCTCTCTCTTTCTCTCTCTCTGTCTCTCTCTCTCTATCTCTCTCTCACTCACTACACACACACACACACACACAAACACACACACACACACACACACACACAATGCAGTGGGTGAGGTCTGGGCGTGACCGCCTCCACCAAGAATGCAGTAGTGTGTGTTTTGCAGACTGATCTGTCAGTGTCTCTGTCAGAGACACAGGGACAGACGTTGCGTGGACGTGTGAAACAAACGTTAAGAGGATTTATATTTTCACGGACACCTGCAGGTGTCCTCCAGACTTTGAGGAACTCTTGGTGACGTTTCTCTGTCTGGCGGATTCTGTATTTAACTCAACAAACGTCCTGTGGATTATGACTGTGGAACATTTTGATTCGACAGGCTGATTTCACTTTCCGACTTTTATCTCTTTCATTTTAAAAAGTGAAATCGTGTCTCTTTCCTTGGCTTCTATAAAACACGTGCACAGGTCTTCTCAGCAGGAACTCAGAGTGACCGCCAGCTGCTGGAAGTGTCGGAGTCGTTGGGAGTTTGAGCCGCAGTGACAACAGCAGAGTGAACGCTCTCTGTTTTCGAGATGTTCGTCTGACACCTGACTGATGCTACACCCGCAGCTGGAGCCGAACATGGCGCCTCACTGCACCACATAGACCAGGATCCCACAGGTAAGAAGCCCACACACTGCATGTAGAGCAGGGGTCTCCAACACGTGGCTTGTGAGCTACCAGGAGCCCACCTAAGCCCCCCACCCCCGCCCACTTCAGTCAGGTATCAGTCAAATAAGTTACTGTCAGTTTGTTCACATCAGATCTGCTGTATAGGTGGTGACATGACAGTGATAGCAACTCTTCTGATAACTTTTCTAATAAACAGGAACTATGTTGCCATGGATACAGTGAGTTTAGCTGTGGGCTTCAATGAAGTGAAGTGAATGATCTATGTTAACTTCCTGTTTGTTATGTACCATTGAACTGACAACGATCACTGATCACTGACTTCCTCTCTGGTTTCTAATCAGATTTATGGAGGTTTATTTATAGTGGTGTTATGACTGTGTGTTCAGGTCTGATTGAATCATGACTCAGATTTTTTGTCTGATGTGACTTTCAACTGTTTTTTGGTACAAAATGTGAGTTGTGGATATTGATATTAAGAACTTATTCTTCATCTACCTGTCAGTCATCTGATGTGGTTTGGAGATCAGTTTGAGTGTGTCGATACGACGTGTATAAATGTAACTAGTAATATAAGACATGACGAGCTCTCAGCCCCTTTTATTTTGACAAAGTAGCTCTCAGTGAAAAAGGTTGGAGACTCCAAACAGAGTCATGTGATGTGTGATGTAACCAGGTATCAATAACATAGTTTCCCGTTCCTGTTCATGCAGTGGAGGAAAACAAGACTATAGAGTATCATTGCACATTTATTAAGTACAGTTGTGTAAGTTTGGAGAAATGGTGTCAACATCAGTGGTGCAGTGGCATAGCACGCACAGAGCCACCTGTCTGCTTGTAGACTACGTTTAGGTTTCCCACGCACGCACATACAGTATGTCCACTCAACGAGTCAAACGAGTGAGTGAGCAAGAGAGAAAGAGAGGGATTGATTCAGTTACAACGCCACCATAACACTCTGATTAGGCTGAAAAACAACAGCAGCAGCTGAATAACATGATACAATATACTATTACATTATATTGAATATCCCAGAGAAACGTGCAGTGAAAGTAAAAGTCGACATTAAGCAACAGATTCCCTCATTAGCATCATCATCATCATGAGAGCAACTGTCTAACTAACTACTAATGATAGTAATAACAACATGCAACATCAAGACCAAACCAAGCTGCTACAATAAACCACGAGACAATAAAATAAAATAGTATTCCTGCATAATCGAATTTTATTCTGCCTCTGAACGTTACATCAAACTGTTGCAGAACGACCTCAGCGTCAATTCCAATATCATGATGGATCAAAGCACCAAACTCCACCTTTATCTCCTGCTCTCCTCTTCAATCTAGACTCAAAATAAGACGGGACATCCTGTTGTCGCAATTCTATTTTCAAGATAGGATGTTAAAAAAACAAACAAAATCATTTTCTAAAAAAAAAAAGTACACACAGTACGTACAGTATTACGGCTGCCGGCGCCACTGGTCAACATCACTGATATTCTGCTAATAAGGAACAGAGGCTGTGAGGCTGAATCAGCTCCTGTATGTGTAGGGGGTCTGGTCTTCAGTCCCCTGTACTGTAAGTTAGTCATTGTCTCCATAAATTAACACTGCTGTGCTCCAGCAGAGGTGATTGAGCCATATTTTATATGTAATATATTTTATATATTCTTTAACAGGCTTCCATCTGAGTTTTCTCCAAAGCCTGTGTTATTACCTGACTGCATCCCCACAGGTTTGATACGTCATAACCATGAAACACATTAAACCGTCATGGCTTTAGAATATCAGTGTTGTCAGCTTTTTGTTGCGTGTGTTTGTTTTCCAGTCCGGTATCTCCAGCGCCGTACAGGACTCAGTATTTACACTGAGAGAACAGTTTATTTCTCCTTCAGTTTCCCTCTGCTTCCTCACAGTCTTGTTTTCTTCCACTGTGCCTGAACTACCCAGGAGGAATCACAGTCACTTTTCTATTGGTTCCTGATTCATAACAAAAACGCACAGTAAGTCACAGAATGTATCACAAGGTGTGGAGAAACAATGTTAAAAATCACGACAGTAAGTGAGTGCTGCCTTTGTAAATCCCTGGTGAACCGATGTCACAGGAACTAAATGGACTCTGCTCGACCTTGATGCTGATGTTTTTCTGGCCTTTGTGTGAGGAAACTATGTGGCGTTCAAATGTACACAGGCAGTTTCAGTTTGTAGTGTGACTGTTTGGTCACTGGCTGCAGGTTGGTTATTATTGATCTGATTCAGTAGAAAGGATTAAATTCATTTTACTTTTTCTTATTTTATCAAAGACAAGAAGGTGATATGACATAACAGCATGATGGCATACACTACTAGTGTGACAAAACAAGTTTTTGTTATTATTATATTTTGAGGTACTGAGAGGGAGAGAGAAAAGAAGAAGAAAAACAAGGAAAAGAAAAAAGAGAAAAAACAAACAAAAAAATAAAACATATATTTTCTTTTTTCTCTCCTGCCCTTCTTAGTGTCTAGGTAGAAAAGAGAAAACAGGTACTTGGGATAGGGGATGAGGGAGTTGGGCACAAGCGATGCAGATTATCTGAACTGCGTGTTACTCACGACTCAAAATCGTTTCTAGTGACAGTATCTCGTTATATCAGGATAATGAGCTTTGTTATCTTGAGAGAATGGGATAAAACTAATTTGTGAGACTGGCCTCTGAAAAAAAAACTTTTCCTCTTAAAAATATGAGATGAAAAGCAGTAAATTATTATATATTAATACTAATCAACACAGCTGACTGACACTGTGCAGCTGACTGAAAGATAGTGTGTCAACATTTTATTTGTATAATGATTTCGTTACAGTTTTCTCAGTGATGGTCAGTTATTACTATTTCAGTCATGATCAGTCCGTGATCGACAAACGGTTTTAACAGTTCCATTTGACGATGAATTATTTACCATCACGTCAGTCCTTATAGAAAACAATGATTACAGCCTAAACTATCAGGATTATAAGTAACTGGAGACAAAACTTTTATTTTTACTCCACATAGATCATAAACCTTCAATATAAAAATAACTCATTGAGAAATAGAAATGTTATGGTCCAATATGGTCGCGACGTTAATGTATCAGTGGGCTGATGCGACCAATAAGGTGTCTTATGTATGTATGTGTATGGATTATGCACCACATGGTGATGTACATGGTGATGTGCCCCTGTTAGAACTAAACCAGATTCATGATACCAGACAACCTCAGATAAGCCCAAAGGTATCTGGTTAACCCACTAACCTCACTTCTGATGACCAGCTTCGCGTTAGTGGTTATTCAGGACGACCCATGTCAGGCTACCTGAAGGTAACCCATTGGCCCGCCCCTGGTCAGACTAGTTTTCAGGTGCAGATTCACCTCAGGCTGAACTGGTGTAAAAATCTGACATATTCTCCAAGGTTCCTCCCTGCTGCAGTGTGGACATCAGTCTGTCTGAAGTAAATGTGTCACACTTTACTGTGGGCTGCTCTTATTGTAAAGTACCTGCACAATATTCCAGTCACATATGTGCTTTTAAAGGCACTGGGAATAAGACAAACCTGTGGAACCAAAGTAAGAAACATTCTCCACATTTGTTCTCTTTTTAAATGTAAATTAAATAAGAAAAAAACAGGTTGACAGCCAAACCAAGGTCTGATGGTCTGAGGTGTTTAAAACCAAGGAGCCAGAGTTTTCATGTCAAAGTATTGTACACATGTTATCTTTATTGACCCATAAGATATTTAATTTGTTAGCTTAATTGTAACAAACGGGTTTGTTGATATATTTCAGTGTAGAAAAAGAATATGGAATCTTGCATGAGTCCACGCCCTTTTCCCATGTTACCCACTAGTTATAGTGAGTAATCGTGGCTGTTGTGATGGAACATACCTGTGTTTTCATAATAAATATTGTGTATTTCATAAATACCATTGGATCCCTTTGTTTCCTTGGTTGGACTTGGATCAGACCTGGAGCCTCAAAGCAAGTGTGAATCACAGGATTGACTTCACAATAATCCAACTGAGATAAATTTATTTTCTAGAAAATGTTAATTATTTATTTTCTTGCTATAAAAAACTTGGATGCAGTCCTATAGGGAACTTTGAAGTTATTTAAATGTCACTCTTTCATCCCACACATGTTGTAAATTCATTTTCAGCACATACAATATGAAGATTATTCACAGTGCTCACATGTGACTTAAATCCACAATGTATTAGCAGAGCACTGCAGCACAGCAACGAGTTCAGTTAGTTTCTACATGTGATAACTTCTTACAGATAACAGTGAGCGGGGCTTAATATGTGTTGGATCCAGGACCTCCCAGATTGGGATCAGCTTGTATTTGATTGGATCTGGCACTTCCTTAGTTCGGTTTGTTAGCCTGCTGCTTTTCATGGTTGTAAACAGAACTTTTGGCCTTAATTCCATTTCCCCTTGATTGTAGTAATCCCCAGAGAGAGAGCTGTCATAAACAGCTGTTTCCACACCTACCCCTGTTGATTGTGAATGATTATTGTGAATGCTCTGATTAATAAATGTAAGTAAATAATGTTATTCATGATATAACAGCTAGCATCAACATGTTGTTCAATGTTCTCCAGCCAGAGTCGGTCTGGTCATCAGGAGCTACAGGACAAATTCTGGTGGGCTGCTGCATTGGACTGTCAGATAGTTTTAACCAGCCCTGTCAAATCTCTTTAGTGGTCCACTCTGTGTGCCTGTCATTCAGGGTCCACATGAGAGCGTGCTGTGTTTTTGTAGTTTTCGTAGACCGAGAAGTCTGAAATGAGACGGTCTGGTCTACGGAGGATTTCTGCTTTGTGTCATCAACTGTTCCTGCCTTTACTACTGCGTTGCAAAGTGTGGCTCCTGTCACCTAGAAACCTTGACAACATGTAACTTTTTTCCTCCAGAAAACTTGAGGTTTTAACAGTTGTACAGTTAGCTTTTGAACTGAGCTGAAACCCAATATTTACATTTAACAGTGTAATCCTCAGGCTCTGTGTCAATGCTGTTATCTTATATTCATTACCAGCACGCAATGAGTCTTGGGATAGGTTGGACCACGAAAATGATGAAGGGGCCTTAATTGGACAGTCTACAAGAGGACAGATGTTCAGCAGCTGCATCAACAACACAAGCTCTGATAAACATTCACTGACTGAACTGTCCTTGAGTGAGACAGTGAATCCCCTACAGCACTGACCTTTGACCCCTGTGTGAAAGAGGGGCTAGAGAAAACACACTCCAGAGATCAATGAAGTATTGATTAAACCCTGCAAACTCTCATCTGAGTGGTTGATCAGGATGAATTATAACAGTCATCAATACACACACACACACACACACACACACACACACACACACACACACACACACACACACAAACACACACAAACACACACACACACACACTCACACACACAGTGCCAATCATTATTTAGTCCTGCAGCAGCAGCCACTGACATGTTGTTATGTAAAAAACATTTACATGACTGAGACAAGGACACGGCGTCACACACATCAACACACACATGGAGCTCCAGGTCTGTATATGTTGTTTGTAGGGCTGAAGTGTGGCAGTGTGAGCTCCAGACTTTAAGTCATGTGATAAAAACTGAACCAACTTAATAACAATAAGCTAACTCCATCTGCTGATGAAAACAGAGAAATGCTGTTGAAATCTCCAGAAAGAAGTTTGTAGGTGGATGTTAAGTTCTGATTATTTTGTCAAATTACTGTCCCCAAGTTCATGAGTGAACTCTTTACAGCTGTCCTGATCATTTCTCAGGTCACATGGACACCTGTGACTGTCTCAGTGTCACTGTTAGTAATATTAGATGAGAGCTGTGATGCACAAATCTATCACTAAGATTAAATGTCATCTGAGAATTACTAACAATAACTACTGTTGATGCATCATGAATAATGTTAGATCATTTTTTCTTACTTCATGGGCTATTTAAGATTTTTTCTGGAATAGAAATGTAGCATTTGAGCACTGATTTGGATTTCCATTACCATGGCAACAGTCGAAGACTGAGCATTTCCACTGCCAAAACTCATATGAAGTTTTTCAAATTTTTCAAAAGCTAAAATGTAAAATATGACAGTGAACAGTGATCAGCAATCAACACGTAAAGCTGCTATAATCAATATTGTCATATTAGCAATGGATCAAATGACTGATTCTGTAAGTTAAACTGTTTTATGTTATCTTAAATGAGAGCCATAGAATCTAATAATACAAAAGCCCATGATGTATTTAATTTTAAAGGGTGAGTCCTATACCTGCCCACTTACCTATAGAACCTGAGGTGCCTAAAATCAGTGACTGCATCTTAAAGGAACATTTTGACTGTAATGGAAGATTGTTAATGTGTTTGTGCTGCTACTAGGATCTGAATTTCTCTAAACAGGCAGTTCACCATGAAGATTATGATCCACATTCACGGTCCCTAAAAGTCCATTGAAGTTCTGATGTGATCTCTGATATCAACCACAGAGCAAATGATCAACTCTACAGAACATACTGACAGTCCATCAGTCCAACCTGCAACACTGACATTCTCATTTCAAAGTATCGAAACTGCTTCTGGATCTGGATCTGGACCTGGATCCGGACCTGGATAACCTCTCACTGAGCGTCACTGTCCTGATCAGCTGAGCTTCCTCCAGCTGAGGGTGTGTCTCTGCCTACCTGTCTGTCAGCTGTCATGCCTCACATAACCGTTGAGCTACTCCTCACCTGTCGGCCCAGTCTGGCCTCAACCCTGTTATGTAATGTTGGCACTGGTGCCAACTCTGACTTCCTACCAGGGAGCCAATCAGTAATCAGTGTTCTTTCTGTGCGCCTTGAAGGAACGTCTTCAAATTTAGCACAAACTTTCATTTGGACTCAAGGACAAACTGATTCAGAATTTGGGGTCAAAGGTCAAAGGTGAAAGTCATGGTGACCTCACAAAACACTTTTTAGCCATTACTCAAGACTTCACAGCAATTAAAATTTCACACAGATGGTTGATATTTTCTATGACTCTGGATAAACAGGGATGTAAGCTGAAACTAGTCTGAGTGGAGGAGGGATACAACCATGACGAGGTGATTCTAGTTCTGTATTAAACCAGACCAGGATCTTTCCCTGACCTGAACTAAGAGCTGTCAGTTCCCGAATAGAAACATGAAACAGTTTTATAAAGCTGGAGTCATCACAGGTGGAAGTTGTACTGCAAGTCCCTAAAAACTAAATGGCCACTTAGACAGTTTGTCCCGGCGCACAGGAACGTACACAAAGCAACCTTTGTCGTCATGGTAATAATAATAAAAGTAAAAGTCTTGTTTTCTGTCAACCTGTCCATCCGTTACGCTTCCTACAGAACATATTTACTGTTGCAGTTCTGTTGTGTATAAACATCATTTCCAGGATACAGAGTTCAGTGTCGAGTCTCACCACAAACAAACTCACACAACCACAATCTACCACAAAACACACCATGACGTGTAGCAATAACACTATGTGATAACATCATATTCTTTGAATGTGATTTCAGGGCCTGAGTAAGTACCTGCTACCTACAGCTACACTGAAACTACCGTCTTTCTGCAACATACCACAGCTCTGTTTCTATCATAAATCAAACCCTTAAATAAATCACCAGACACATCTGTGATGTAAGAGCGCAGGGCCACACCTCATGACTCAGTCGTTCAGTTGTGGTTTGTTAATCACACCCAGATGAGTCCATTTGTGTCGAGCAACAACTCCTCCAACCTGAACAACCATCAAACCTCTGATACGACCATAGCAGTGTCTCCTGAAATAGTGCCCATACGGTTGTCATGCATACCGGACCTCAGTTGTGATGGTAACCATAATAAACGCGCGCACTTTCGTAGCCGTGGTTACTATCGTAACGGTCATGGCTTGGTTAGGTGTAGGAAAAGATCATGGGTTAAAATAAGTACTTCCTCAACAATAGATTATCTTTGTTGTCATGGTTACAACGTGGATAATAGAAACAAAATAAACTGCTACTGTCACATGGGAATCGAACACTGCTCTCCTATGTCATACAACCTCCTTGTGACGTGGACTTTGTCGCTCTTTATACTACGTCACCACACCTTTCCCTTTGCTCCTGTCATAATTACTACGACCACTAGATGTCGCCTAGCAACCAAACTTAACTATCCGTCATTATAACCTGCGTCTTGAGCTGTGTTGGTTTTGGTTGGAGTTTTAGAGACGTAGATGTGTGTGTGTGTGAGCCGATAAACATTTATGAACATTTTGTAAATTGATTTTTAAAAGATTTATAACAGAGTTTGTGTGTGTGTGTGTGTGTGTGTGTGTGTGTGTGTGTGTGTGTGTGTGTGATTGTTATTATTACTGTTAGCATTAGTTATTTAATCCTGCAGCACCAGCAGTTCTAAAACATTTTAACAGTTTAACTGACAACAACACTGAAATGCACTGTTTATCCTGAAGGTGGCACCAAACATGAGGCCAATCCAGGATCTAAATGCTTGGGGCCCCCAAGGGAAAAAGGGGCCCCTGGTGGCCCCTCATATTGACAAATTTTGCAATGACAACTATAAACCCCTTAAACCTCCATTAAAGACACGGTACAGTGCACTGCTGTGGCCCCAAAACACCCCTATAGGTGGGTCCCCTGATGATGACATGTACTGTAGCTAGTGTCTACTGAGTCTGCATGTGAGGTGTTTAGGGGACATTTGTAAATTGTTGCGTATAGCATGTATTGATACATGATATCCATAAAATGAATATCACCGGGGAATAATTAACAACATTTTTTTTATTTTTAATCTTCATCCAGCCAACACTGGTGAGGTCGCTGCTGTAACCATGGCAGTCCAGGTGAAGCAGCCTGAGGGGCGTGGCCTGTCCTCTCTGTTCTCCTGTTGCTTCAATGGAAGTGACCAACCGGAGATCACCTACTGCCACGACAATATCAACGGTATGGCTGCACTGGAGCCCTCCCTGCCCATGCCGCCCCCTCAGGAGCTGGACTCCATGTTCACTGAGCTGGTGGTGAGTGTTTCTACACACCTTCAAACCAATCATAATAGCTTTCCTCTTGTCCTCTTCATCCTCACTTCCTGTCTCTTTCTATTCCAGGATGAGCTGGACCTCACAGAGGAGCACAGAACCGCCATGTTTTCTTTACCAGCAGAGAAAAAGTGGCAGATCTACTGTAGCAAGAAAATGGTAAGAAACTATAACTTCAGCAGAGTGGATCTCTTGCTGCTTTTTGTGGTAAATAGTTTTCATTTTCTCTGTTGATAAAAAGGCTGATGACACATGGATTTAAGTGCAGTATCTCCATAACCGTGACCTGTGTGTCACATGTGTGTTTTTCAGGAGGCAGAGGAGAATAAAGGAGCGACCAGCTGGCCAGATTTTTATATTGACCAGCTCAGGTCCATGGCTGCTGTGAGTAACACACCAAAGTCTGTTTTCATCCTGATTATTGTCCCAGTTTATTCACAGATTAAAATTTATAGATTTTGCTTTGTTGACAATTTTCTTTACAGAATTAGATTATTAATCAAAAATTTCACTAAATTCCTGACATCCTTGTGTTGTATTAAAAAGCATTTCATCAGAGTAATTTTACACATAGGGCTTTTTCTATTTTTGTAATAATATATATTGTCATGTATATTACATACATTTACTAGGGAGCGTATGTCCAGTCTCTGAGTTTAACCACTCTGTTTCCAGAGGAAGACTCTGCTGGCACTGGAGGATGATGAAGAGCAGGGAGGACATAAGATGGTGGATGGTCTGAAAACAGCACTGAGGACACAGCCCATGAGGTTACACACACATCGCTCTGTCTCTTTTCCTCCTGTGCTCCACTGAGCTGCAGAATAACCTCTGACTGATCTCCCTCAGGTTCGTGACGCGGTTCATTGAGCTGGATGGCCTCTCATGTATCCTGAACTTCCTCAAGTCCATGGACTATGAGACCACTGAGTCTCAGATCCACACTTCCCTGATTGGCTGCATCAAGGCTCTGATGAACAACTCTCAGGGCAGATCTCATGTCCTGGGTCACTGTGAGAGCATCAACATCATCGCTCAGAGTCTCACCACTGAAAACATCAAAACCAAGGTGGGTGCAACCTAAGAGCATGTAGGTTCACTCTGTGGCTTCCTGTCAGTCTGAATTCATAAAGACATATATTTAGAAGCTGAGGGAGCAGGTGAGTGCAGGTACTCCATGGTTATGCTAATTTCTACATCAGGATCACTGACTGGGCCTCTGTTTGAAATGACTATTCACAATATTGGCTGGACCGCAACAGCCAGTCCTATAATCTAGGATGTCCCTGACTCCCTGACTAACTGATTGACTGACTGACTGACTGATGATATTTCCACCACTGGTCAGTCTACTGAGCTGCTCTGGTTTCCTGGCTGCTTGGGAACTGCAGGGAAGGAGAGGAGTGCTTCCAATACACAGAGCCTCGCCTCCATTACAGCAAATAAACTACTTTGATTCCATGTATCATTATTAGTAAGGAGGCAGAGGAATAACTAAACATAAGACTCACTGAGCAGAGTGAGCCAGAGAGATGGAGGGAGAGAGAGAAGTCAACGAACAAGGCTTCGTACTGCTTCAACCGAGTGTGCTTGTGTACATGTATTTGTGCCTTTATACAGGATTCATACAAAACAGGCACACACTCATAAAATACTGGTCCATAGTGCTACTTGTGGTGAAAAACAGGGTTTCCATGTGAAGGGAAGCTGGTGATATATTGTATTCATACAATTGGTACGGTTTGTTTCTGGTCACAGTTTTAAAAAACTGTATACTTCCTGTAAACTCAACATGTACAAGAGTGATCATGAATGTTTCTTCTCCTTTGTAACTGACCGTCGTTCTCTCCTCTTAGGTTGCAGTGTTAGAGATTCTTGGTGCAGTTTGTTTGGTGCCAGGAGGTCATAAGAAAGTCCTTGAAGCCATGCTGCACTACCAGAGATTCGCCTCCGAGAGAACTCGCTTTCAGGTCTGCTTTTATTTTCTAAATTTGTCTGTGCTTCATTTCAATTCCTGCAGAGGAAGATGTGAAAGGACGAAAGAGGTGAATCTGATTTATTGATGAATGATGATGAATCAAAGCTTAAAGGTTCTACCTCTAAGTTTTCTCTGCTGGCTGAATGTGGTTTTTTGTCAGCACCACCTTGTGATGGAGGCAGGTCCATCTCCTTCTGCATATATCTGGAATCTGCAGACAGACCACCAGGGAAATAATGTGAAAGAAAGAATTTTGAAGCCAAACTGGCATCAAACAAAAATATTTACCCGTACAGACATGATTTATGATGGTAAAACCTGAGTATTTCCTGTTTTGTGTGCAGACCCTGGTCACGGACTTGGATCGTTCTACAGGCCGCTACAGAGACGAAGTTAACCTGAAGACGGCCATCATGTCCTTCATCAATGCTGTTCTCAGCCAGGGAGCAGGAGAGGTAAGGAATCATCATCATCATTATTACGTTAAATGTCTTCTAGGAGTTAGTTTGTAATGCAGTGTGACTTCTTTCTTCCCTTCAATTTTCACTTATCAGCTGCTTGAAGTTGATGAACAATATTTTTGATTCACCAGAAACACAGAACTGAAACTACAGTAGATTAGGAGGGGAACATTTCATCTTGGTCTTACTCGATGTAAGCACTGCCTTTGATCATACCATCCTCATTAGTCAACCATAGTCACTGGTTTCTCAGGGGAGAGCGAGAGACTGAATCATATTAGACTAATAGATATTTGTTGGTTTCAGTGGGTCACTATGTGTCCCGTTATCTGGAGTGGGGTTAATCCTCTGTCCCATTCTGTTCTCTGTGTATATGCTTTCCCTGGGCCAGACATTGGTTGTATATCTAATCGCTGTTACGCAGACGACAGTCCGCTCTGTGTTTTAGTAAAACCAGATGGCTTCAGTATCCTTGACACTCTCCACAACTGTTCAGCTGCTTTAAAGGACTGGAAGTCACTTCACTTCTGATAAAACTGAGCTCTCATTCTTGGCCCTGAAAATACTACAAATAGCTGCTCCTTCTCCAGTGTATTGACGTCAAATCATATTCTAGGAATCTTGTCATCATGTTTGACCCTCAAATGAAATTCGAACGAGTCAATAACTTGGCTCAATCCTGTTTTTTTTCATCTGGCAAACATTGTAAAATCATTATTATCTCCTTTGATTTTATAACATATCATTCACACCTCCATTTTTCCTCGTCTTGCAGCCCTTTTCACTTGCCGTAGTCAAACTGCCTTGACACTGCAAACTAACAACTTCGCTGCACTGGCTCCAAGTGCAGTTCAAGATTGACTTCTTTTAATCACTTCTAAAACTCTACATGGATTATCTCCTGCTTTTTCATAGTTAGTAAACCTTTATGTGGCTGTTCCTCGTGCCGAAAGAAAAACCAAAGGCCACTGTTTGTCTGTATTTTTGAGTACTTCTATCTTGTATGCACTTTTCGATTAGCTTTCTGATGTACAGCGCCTTTTTCAACACAGCACTAAACCTGTGTTGAAAAAAGGTGCTATTCAAATAAAGTTTTACTTACTTATCTACCAACAGTAACTACTTTCTCATATTTATTTCATCTTTGATCATTTTTGTCCTGTCTTTTTACATTGTGTAAGAAAAATGATGAAAATAATATGACAATGCTGTGTGCATGTGTGCATGTGTGCATGTGTGTGTCTTCCACAGACCAGTCTGGAGTTCCGTATCCATCTGCGTTATGAGTTTCTGATGCTGGGCATCCAGCCGGTCATCGACAAGCTACGTTCCCATGAAAACGCCACGCTGGACAGGTACATCAGATGCACCATGAGGTGCAAGAATTTTCAAACTTACTGTAACATGGATCTAAAAGATAAGTGACAGGTCAGGGGAAGTTAATGGTGCCTTAACACATGATGAATTTTTCTGAGTTCAGTTGTTGGACGTTGTTGTCTTCCAGACACCTGGACTTCTTTGAGATGTTGAGGAATGAAGATGAGCTGGTGATGTCCAAACGCTTTGATGGTGTAAGTCATTCAGACAAAACTTTGTACTGTTTTGTTCTTCCATGTCAGCAACAGTCAGAGCCGGAAGCATATTGTTTTCTGGTTGTCCATCCATCCGTCAGTCCATACGTACATCTTGTGAATGTACGTCTGTCCATCTCATTCTAGTGGACGTGATATCTCAGTAACGTCTTGAGGGATTTTCTTCAAATTTGGCACAAACATTCACTTAGACTCAAGTCTGAATTGAATAGATTTTGGTGGTCAAAGGGTAAAATTCAAGGTCATCAAATCTCACATTTTTGTGAATGTAATATATCAGGAATGCCCAGAGGGAATTTCATTACTCACACTGTGTGACCTCACAAAACACATTTTTGGCCAAACCTCACAAATTCATTCACTAATTATGACATCATCTACCTCAAATGTCTATAAGGATAAAATGAAGTGATGACATTTTATATCCAAAGGTGAAAGGTAAACTTCACTGTAACTTCACATCATAATGTTCTGGCCATTATTGAATGCTGTAACACAGGAAGGAGAGACTATGACCACACTTCCTGTAACTTGGCTGGTTGGTGGAAGAAACAACCATGAGGCGGTAATTTTAGTCGTTATCCGTTAGGTCCAGTCACCGTCTGAACTTAATTTCTGATTTTTAACACCAAACATAATATCCTTAGTTCTGGTACACACTACACATTTAAGGGGAAATTTGGGGATTTTTGGAAATCAAAATAACGTATTAACACATGCTGCAAGTTTAAAAATTATACACAGCTGAAGGAGGGCGTTACATTTCTTTTTGACGTCAAATAAAATATGAAGATGTAAATCACACGTGTCTGTGATAAATGTCTTTTGATGTGCCAGGTCCATATAGAGACTAAAAGTGCGAGCCAGATGTTTGAGCTGATCAAGAAGAAGCTGAACCACACTGAAGCTTACCCTCACCTGCTGTCTGCACTGCACCACTGCCTCATGATGCCATGTAAGAAAGGCCGTCTCTCTGCTCACCTACAGTTTTACTCGCAGCAGTTTTTCTCTGTGTTGACTCCTTCCTCTGTCTGTTTGCAGACAAGCAGAACAGCACCACCCTACAGTACTGGGTGCTGTTGGACCGGATAGTTCAGCAGCTGGTTCTGCAGACGGACAAAGGTGAAAACCCTGACGTTGCTCCACTGGAAGACTTCAACATTAAAAATGTTATACGCATGTAAGTTTACAGGGTTCCTCACGTTGGGGCATCAGCATCAGTGCTGCAAAGGTTTTAATAATGATGACAGATTAGATTCAAACTGCACCAATGACGGATTTCAGATAATATCAGATTCAGCCAAGATTGTTTAATAATCTGAATAGTAATCTTTACAGGTCTAATATTACTTTCACAAAATCTTGATGAATGAGAGAAATATAGTCTCACATTTGACCAACTCCACATTGATTTAAATAATTAACCATAAACTTACATCAGTCTAACACCGTTCACCTCTGTTGCTATGGTGACATCAAATAACTGCATCAAGGAAACATTTTTACCAACTATTCATTTTGATAAAATGTTACAAAAGTACATGTAACTGAGCGAGCACTTTATTAGAAACACCTGCACACCTGCTCATTCACGGAGTTATCCACTCAGCCAATCATGTGTCAGCAGTGCATAAACTCCTGCAGATCCAGGTGAGGAGATTCAGTTAATGAGGAAACATGTGACCTCAGTGACTTTGAGCTTCATGATTGTTGGTCTGAGTGTTTCTCAAACTGCTGATCTCCTGGAGTTTCACTCACAACAGTCTCTAGAGTTTTTACTCAGAATGGAGCAACAACAAAAGCATCCAGTGAGCAGCAGCTCTGTGTTGATGAGAGAGGTCAGAGGTCAGAGGAGAATGGACAGACTGGTTAGAGCTGACAGAAAGGCTACGGTCACTCAGATAACCACTCTTTACAACTGTGCTGAGCAGAGAAGCTTCAGAGTGAACAACACGTCCAACCTACAACAGCAGAGACCACGTCAGGTTCCACTTCCTGTCACCAAGACCAGAAACTGAGGCTGCAGTGGACACAGACTCATATGTTTTAAAAGCTGTACTGTAACACAACAAGTGTGTGGAGTCCTGCAGGGCCCAACAGATTCCTTCTACAAAGATCACCCAGCTCTTGGTCCGGACCATGGTTCTCTCTCACCTGGACTGCTGCAGTGATCTTCTGGTGGACGTCCCTTCACGCACAGTGAAACTCTTACAGATGGTCCAGAATGCAGCAGATCGTCTGGTCTTTGATCAGTCATTGACCTACACTGGTTACCCATGAATGCCTGAATTAAATTCAAGTCATTAATGCCGCCTTCAGAGTGACTTATCTGCTCCATCTGCTTGAACTCAGTCATTCAGCTTTATGCTCCTTTTCAGCCACTGTGTTTCTCCAAGCAATGTGGTCCAGCACACAAGACAGTCTCAGTCCAGTCTGTTCTGGTCTGTGGTTCCCTGATGGTGGAACAAGCTACTAAAGTCTATCAGAGCAGAGCGTCCCTCTCTGTCTTCAAGAATCTGCTGAAGACTCCTCTCTTCAGAGAGCAACTCCTCTAACACCTCTAACACCCTCACATGTCTAACGAGCTCTTACTGTGAAGCCTCACTGCACCTCTTTACCTCATCTCCTTCACTCATTAAACAGATGAAGCCCTTAGTTCTTACACCAAGGTCTCTACTGCACAGAAGCTTCAGTGATGTCCCTCAGTGGAAGCTGCTTTGGATAAAAACATCTGACAAACGAGTGAACGTAAATATACATATAGTCATGTGTGTGTGTGTGTGTCTTTGCCGACAGGCTCGTCAAGGAGAATGAGGTCAAACAGTGGAAGGAACAAGCTGATAAAATGAGGAAAGGTAAATATACACTCAATACATTCATCATTCCCTTTTTTATTTTAATTAATTCATCTACAAGAAGCACCCAACACAAAACCAAACTCATATATAAATAAGTCAAACCAGTGCTGGATTATTGTCTGTCACTCGTCATCTGTCGCAGCAGCTCTGCCTTCAAGAGTCCCGCTTTGAATAACACGGTTTGCAGAGTGAACATGCTGCTATGAGCTGTCTGACCGTCTCCTCTCTCCAGACCATCACAACCTCCAGCAGCGCTTCGAAAAGAAGGAGAGGGAGTGTGAGGCCAAGAACAAGGAGAAAGAAGAGATGATGGCCATGCTGAACAAGATGAAGGACAAGCTGGAGCGAGAGAGCAACGACCACAAACAAGCTAAACTACAAGTGGCCGAGCTGTCTGCTCAGCTGCAGCAGCTCAGCTCTGTACGTTCACCAACAGCAGAAACATTTCAACATGTATCTGTGATCACTTTCTGTGTATTTACATTTACTGTATGTAATATTGAGATTCACAAGATCCCGTCATCACAACCATCATTTGTGTGTCGGTCCTCTGTCTCAGGCCTCCACTGTTCCAGGAGGACCTCCTGTCACCTCCGGAGGTTTAGCTCCCCCTGGTGTTGTCCCGTCCGTCCCCTCTCCTCCTCCTCCTCCCCCTCCTCCTCCACCGCCTCCTCCTCCAGGAGGCCCACCAGCTTTTGGCACGGCTCCATTTGCTCCACCTCCTCCTCCTCCCCTTCCAGGAGCTCCACTAGGAAGTGTCCAGAAAAAAAACATCCCTCAGCCACCGAACCCAATGAAGTCCTTCAACTGGAGCAAACTGCCTGAGGTACAGTACACTGGTCACTGGTGCTAGTGTCACTGCAGCTAGTCCATCTGCTGCAGCTCCTACCAGGCCTGTTACTGCTGCTGCTCCTCTTCCAGCTGTTACTACTAATGTTCTCCTCACCTACCAGAACAAGGCCTCTAGTTACATCCAAGTAAATGCATTCATACGGAGCAGTGGTCAGGTTTGCAGTGTAATGGCTTCACCACATCATAATGTCACAGACTGTCTTGTTAAGTGTTCTGTACGCGGCGCACATTCTGTAGCATCATCCAACAGCTCCAGATGTTTTAACTGGTCCAGCTGATGTTCAGACACATTCAGTCATCCTCAAACAATCCCAACCAGTCATTACTGAAAGACAATATTTTATTGAACAAAATGAAAAAACTGTAATCAAGAAACAATACACTGATGCTTTCTGGGAAATAGTGTAAATCCAGTTTCCACTGAGGTGCTGCTGTACGTTAAAGTCTGGTGCTCTGTACTTTTCCTCTTGTGCAGAGGGAAACCAGCAACGACTGTGTATTAACTGGAGAGTAACTGACGATGATGTTCACAAAACTACTCTGCTGTTTGTTTCAGAACAAGACAGAAGGAACCATCTGGAAAAACATCGACGATCTCAAGGTCTTCAGAGTCCTGGATCTGGAGGAGTTCCAGAGGACCTTCTCAGCTTACCAGAAGCCACAAGTAAACACACTGCACACAACACACAACAGATTTGAACATTTGATTTCTTCAGTGTCACAGTTCCTGAGTCTCTGATGCTAAATGAAGCCACGCTGCTTACGTTCATTTCTTTTAATTATACCTATTCTAATAAGTCCAGGCAATGCACTGCGATATGAGACTCTCTTCAAAAGATAAAAGCAGATGTAGTTGCCAGTAAATTTTAAGATTTGTTTCTGAAGTTTCTTTTTCTCATTTCTTGGCAATAATCAACCAACCTCATGAATAAACTCGCTGGCTATCTGCATCAGTTTGTTGTATTAATGTTAATCATTTAAATCAGTTATCTTAAGATAATGACATCATCATGACGTTCCTGTGTGTCAACAGAAGGACGCTGAGGACGACCACAGTTTTATTAAGAAAGTGAAGGAGCTGTCAGTGATCGACGGTCGCCGAGCACAGAACTGTAACATCCTGCTCTCACGGTCAGTGTGTGTGTGTGTGTGTGTGTGTGCGTGCGTGCGTGAATCAAAGTGTTATTATGTTAATGATGGAATCGGAGGGTTATTTCTTCACATTATAACCTGGTACATTCTTCATAAACCTGAGTGTCATGAACTCACCACAGGTTACTGTCAGTATTTACCTCTTGCTGGATGTTGTGGTCTGCACCTTTACACGTGGTGTGTGTGAGAGAAACACACATTGGTCTGTGTGTTTTTAGCGTTTTGCTTATTTCATCTAATGGACTTGAGCAAAATACTGATCTACAAAATGATTTTTAGGATTGCGTGTGTAAGTTAGTAAGTTTTCCTAACTACAGCAGCGGATGTTATTCTCATTTAACAAAAAAACAACAACAAAAAACATCCACACCCACAATAAAAAGGGACCTGCTTGATTTATGATTAAGACTTTAGTAAGACTTTATTTGTATTGCACTTTTAAATACAAATGACAAAGTGCTTCACATGAGTCAAATATAAAACATCCAAACAAATCAAAGTAAAATGTAAATGATATTAAAAAGACATATCACAATAAAAGCTTTTTTCATAAAAATGGCGTCATAAGAAGTGATGAAACAAAAACTGATGAATTAAAGTATTGTTGTTGACAAAATGTTATGGTCATATAGGTCAAATAAATCATTATTTATCTGTAGATTTATTAGACTTCTGTTCATGTGGAGACATGGCCATATTTATCAGGATTTATATGAGTCTTGTATTTACAGTCGATTTGTAAAGATTCTGATGCATACAACAAAGTGGAAGCTGCAGGTTTTAGAGGACTAAATATTTTTGATGAAAGGCCAGATTTCGGCCCATGGACCACTATTGTCTGTCTTTATGTGTCATATTCGATACCACCACTGGGAGTCGCCAAAGAATTTCACATCCTACACCGCACAGAGGGGTTTAACTTCTTGTTTCCATATTTCAGTCTGTACATCCTTCAGCAGAAAACAGAGAGGACTTTTGTTTTTCAGCTGGTTATCACAGGTGCTAATGATCTGTCATCGGAACATTATAAAACACCCACATCAGAGAGACCTCAGTCTGTTGCATTAACACAGACTGAACCACTTTCTTAATGTTAAACTAGAGGCCCGGACAAAAGTAGAAACTACATCCTCCGCAGTTTAATGAACCTTTTTCTCTTACAGCCTCAGCAGGAAAAGCTAATTTCACCAAGAGAAAAATGATTAAATGCAGATTAAAATGAAGTATGAAATGTAAAAGTGTAATGTAAATTTGTGTTACAGGCTGAAGCTGACCAATGAGGAGATGCGCCATGCCATCCTGACCATGGATGAACAGGAGGACTTACCTAAAGACATGTTGGAGCAGGTGGCAAAACGCACACACACAAAGAAACACACAACACAGTCTGAAGACACACAAGCTCCATGTTCATTACATCACATAGTGTTGTCAGAAAGACATTAACAGAGTGGGAGGGGTGATGACAGTTGTCCAGAGTTTTAGGTGATGTTTTGGAAGATGCACTACATTCTAATATATAATCGTATTATTAAATAAAACTACGTGTTCAGTAAGAGAAGATTTTACCAGCTTTATTCACTTTTATATTTTGAGATAATTCTTGATCCATGTTTCTAATGGAACCATGGAAACATCTTATTAATATGTTCTACTAATCATATATCGGATAATCTTTTACATGAGGAGCTTTTCAAATTAAGAGTTTGTGCATCTCTGTCTGTGAAGCTGCTGAAGTTTGTTCCTGAGAAGAGCGACATCGAGCTGTTAGAAGAACACAAGCACGAGCTGGACCGTATGGCCAAACCAGACCGCTTCCTGTATGACATGAGCAGGTACACACCACAAAACACACCCTCTGTGGGGGTGACAATCTACTACAGGTCTTACTTTGTCCTGTTCTTACCTCAGATTGTGTTTCATCACTCTCCTCCAATTCAGTTATTCTCTGAACTACAGTGCTGTAATTAGTCTCCTCCTCCTCCTCCTCTCTCAGTGGTCTTCTCCTTGAGCTCCATCAGTGTCTTTACTCTTCCTCTTGGTGGCTTCCTCTTCTCTGTTGTCTCCATGCTAAATTCTTTCTCTGTGCTCTGTCTCCTCCACTTAACCAGATAGCCTGCAGTATACACCCGGTTCTCCGGCCCGAATCTGGCCCATGTACAGCATTGTTGTCAGATGTTACTTCCACATCTGGACCAATTCTGGCACACACAGAGAAAATCTTCCAGCTGTCAGCCAACACTGGAGGATAACTGGGGGATATGAGGAAAAATATGGGCCAGACTCGGGCTGAGGAATCAGGCATATGTTGGGCCAGAAGTTTCATTTTGCTATCCAAAAAAAAAATCAAACTTCTCTTAGGGAGGGCCGGGCACTGTAGATGGTATGGGCGTATGCACAGCATAGGTCTGGTGTAGGTCTGGTGTAGGTACGGCATAGGTACGGCATAGGTACGGCATAGGTACGGAGTTGCTGTGTAACCTGCCGGTCCAGTTGTCAGTGACTCTTTCAGAGATTTTGATTCCACTCAGAATTTTTCTATTTTTTGTGCAAACCCAGAATCAACCACTATCAGCAGAGACTCCAGGCTCTCTACTTTAAGAAGAAGTTTGCTGAGAGAGTGGATGACGTCAAACCTAAAATCAAAGGTACCTGTTCTGTCCCAGAGGGTCGTGAGTTTACACTGAATGAATGAATGAGGGTGAATGTTTGAGAGTTAAATTTGAACCTAAGGTGTGGGTTATTATGAATGAATTTCTCTCTTAAAGTTTCTGTTTTGTGTCCTCTGCTGAAGATATGATATCGAACATTACAGTCTTGACGTGATTGCTGTGTGTGAACTTCCCTCCTCCTCTCTGTGCTCTCAGCTCTGTGTGTTGCGTCCAGGGAGGTGGTTCAGAGCGGGACTCTGCGTCAGCTCCTTGAGGTGGTCCTGGCCTTCGGGAACTACATGAACAAAGGACAACGAGGAAACGCCTACGGATTTAAAGTGTCCAGTCTCAACAAGATCGCTGACACCAAGTCCAGCATAGACAAGTACACTTCTCTACAAAGCTTTTTGACATGTGGGAGTGGGGGCTGAAGTTTGTCTGAGTCCTGGTATTGTTCCTGCTGGTTCTATTCAAAAGAACAGAGCCATTTTCAATGCTATTAGTAACACCTGTGCTTTTGCTGCCTGCCCTGTTCACTAGTTAAACAGTTTCACAGCCACACTAATGGATGATTGATGGTTAAATATATGTGGTGTGTGTTATTAGAAACATCACTCTGCTCCACTACATGATCACTGTCCTGGAGAAGAAGTACCCGAAGGTGGCAGCGTTCAGTGAAGAGCTGCAGAATGTGCCCGAAGCTGCTAAAGTCAAGTAAGAATGAACAAACGCACTGTTGAAGTAACACATGCAGAATCAAGTTTATCTAGATAGCTGTGTTTTAAATGTATTTAGCCAGGTTTAGTCATGTGTGTAAGAGGAAAACCAACACACAGCATCATGTCATTTTAAACGAGTTGGCTACATTTACTTATGTTCGACAAAACATTAATAAAATCATGTCGTTATTGTTTCACACCCATACAAAGAATAATTGTTGTTTTATAATTATGATTCTTTGTTTTATATTTTAATTAATCTTATACAGTACCAGTCAAAAGTTTGACTTTACTACAGGACATGTGTCTAAACTTTTGACTGGTACTATATACGTATACACAGTATATAATGCAGGGCACACATACAGGAAAGCCAGGACTGAGAAGCTACTGAGGGAGTTCAATGGGAAACAGTTTGTGATGTCATTCTCTGCGGGTGAAACAAGAGGAAGTTGAAACATGACACAGTTAGCTATAAAGTCTATTTCAGTCTTTAGCAGCTGGCTTTGTTAATAAAATGTGCGTTCGAGATTGACTTCAGCTGAAAACAAGGGTCACCATGTTGTCAGAAGGTGAAAAGAAATGAAATCTAAAGAATAAAAAATATGACCTATAAGGACTTTACTACTTTTACAGTAAGAAACTAAATTGTTTTACTGCTTTCTGATGGAAATGAAAACCATAGTGTTGGTGTCTATGTGAATAAAAGAGCTGTCAGAAGGAGGAGATCAAATAAACTGTATCCCCATGAGCAGAGAGAAACATAACAGAGGATCTGAAGTTCTTAGAATAAAAAACATCATGCGTGTCAGTGAAGCCTTCAGCCAATCATGACGTCATCATGAAAACTGAAGGCGCCTTGCTCCTGCGAGGTTTGAAAGTCATGTGACATGGTGACGTTGTGCAGCGCCGGTGAAAGTTGGACAAAATGTCTAACCAGTATGCAGTGTGTTAAGTCCAGCATGCATCATATCAAGTTGGCACTGTGCAGCGCCACATAAAGTCAAACGCACCTAAACTTGTCCAAGACTTCAGGTGGAGGTAAACAGTCACTGCACCAAGAAATAGTTCCAGGTCCATCTGAGCCTAACACCCTGGCATGTGTCTCTCCAGTATGACAGAGTTGGAGAAGGACATTGGGAACCTGAGATCTGGTCTGAAGAGCGTTGAGGCGGTGAGTGAGCTCTGCAGAGCGCTTGAAAATCTTTTCGGTATTAATGCCTTGTCTCTTTGTCTGATGTATTGTGGTCCCTCTGCAGGAGCTGAAGCACCAGCAGGCTCAGGCCTCTCACAGTCCTGCGGATAAGTTTGTCCCTGTGGTCAGTCAGTTCATCACCGTGGCCTCATTCAGCTTCTCTGAGGTCGAGGAGTCTCTCACTGAGGCCAAAGAACTGGTAAGAACAGATAACAACAGATGACTTATTCACTCAGTTAGACTCCTTCTCTGATTTCTTCTGCCTTTACAAAAACGTATATCATCATCATTACAACAAACAGTGTGAAGGCGTCGACTACAGACACTGAGGAACCAGAAATCCAACTCAGCATCTGTGGGAGATGTTGGAGCGATGTGTTCTCTTGACCACCTCCATGAGGCTAGCAGTTTCCCACTGCTTCAGGTGTTCATGCTAAGCTAAGCTAGCCATGTCTGTACTTCACACATAGACATAAGACTGATATCTAAACACCTCGTTCTAATGAAATAGCAAAGAGGCATATTTCCCCAAAATGAAAAGATGTGTTAATGAGTTGCTGCCTCCACATACAGACCTGCAGGATGATGTATTTTTACAGACCAACCCTGATGTTAGCATCACCCTGGTTCCCTCCACAAGAAGTGGACTTGTAGTTTGATTTGGCTGTGACCTCTTCTACAAAAGCCTTTCCTCTGACACAGTTAGTGACAGTTTGTATAAACACAACGAGGTTGTAAAGGTGGACTGGTGAGTAGATCTGTTTTCATGTTCAACGTGATGACGTTTAACGTCCCCGACAACCTCTGTAGTCTCATGTAGACGCCAGTTAGCAACCAGCCTTTTTTTAACAGACATGACAGATTAAAGAAATCAGGACTGGGATATTTACTGGTGTATTTTATGTTGTACAATAAAACGTGAAAATGTCTTGAGCTTGTGTTAAACAAGGACCGTATTCCATCCAGCCAAAAACACATTAAATGAACCAGAGACTTCAGGACCAGGGAACAGGAGGTCATAACATGCAACAACTTTCCAGGTTTTGGGACTCATTCACTGTAATACGTTTCCCTCCAGTATGTAGACCAGACCAAGTCATAAGGACTATGGTGGGCGGGCCTATGGATGGCGATATTTCCCTAGCGGCTAAAAGAGTTCCATTGATTTGCTGGTCCAGTCAGAGAGACTGAGGGGAAATGATCCAAACTTGAAGTTTTCTATGAAGTACATGAAGTTTTATATTATTATAAACTTTATAAAAGATTCAGGGCTTATGGGAAAACAAGTGAGGCTTGTTTATCCCCATGTCTAACAAAACAAGCAAACTTTGCAACTTCAATGTGCGTTTTTTTTTTGTTTTTTTTCTCTCCAAAGCTTCAACATACCATAGAAAGTTATTATTAAATTAGCAGCTTGATCCTTTGTGGCTCTTGTTGCAGTTTGTAAAGGCACTGAGACACTTCGGAGAGGACTCATCCAACCTGCAGCCGGACGAGTTCTTTGGGATCTTCGACACTTTCCTCGGATCGTTCTCAGAGGCTAAACAAGACAACCAGAACATGGCCAGACGCAAGGAGGAGGAGGAGAAACGGGCTCTCATGGAGGCACAGGTCAGCAGCGATATCAGATCGTTTTCTCACTAACCTCTGAGAGCCGACATCAGTAACACCGCCTTTCACCTACACTGACTCTGTCTCTCTCTCTTGGTCTGTAGCTGAAGAGAGAGCGGGAGCAGAAGCTGAAGAAGGCCAAAGCAGATGAAGAGGAGGGCGGCGGGGAGTTTGACGACTTGGTGTCCGCTCTGCGCTCTGGGGAGGTGTTCGATAAGGACTTGTCCAAAATGAACCGCAGAAAACAGCGGAGACACAACATGTTCGACAGCAGCAGAGAGAGACCGGCAGCAAAACTCAACCAGTGACAGGAAGCAGCGACACCTCCCTGAGACTGATGGAGGCTTAATCCACTCTGATGGGTCATGGTTGTATATACAGTAGCTATAGATACAGACAGTGTATGTATAGAGTACAAAAACTGAAGTGTTAAAGCAATAAGTTGTGCTTTTACAGGAGGTTATGGACAAGACTAAAGCTGTGTCCCAATTAAGGGGTTCGGAGGAAGTGGTCTACGTAGCTGTTGTAGACCCTGAAGGCCAAACCGGAATGAGACGGTCTGGTCTAAGGAGGATTTTCTCTTGGCATCACCAGCTATGTTCGCCCTTACCGTCGTGCCATAAAGCGCTGCTCCTGTTGCCTAGCAACCTTGACAACATGTAACTTTTTTTTTTTTTGGAGGTTTTTTTTAAAGCCTGTGGTTTTAACAGTAAACGTTAGGTGTTGAAATGAGCTGAAATTCAATACTTACATTTAAAAGTGTAATCCTCAGGCTTTATATTATACACATATTCAATACATTTTCAATACTTCGTGTTCATGTTTTATTTTGCTGCCTTGTGTAAAGCACTTTGTAACGTGGGTTCAGAAGAGTGCTTTATAAATAAGATTATGTTGGGTTAGGTTGGGCCTACGTACTCACATTTCAACAGCCTTTCGACTAGCCTGTTGAAATGTGACAGCCTAATCGCGCCGCTGAATTGCGACACAGCTTATCCTTTTGCCGACCTCAGTGACTCATTGGTTGGTTGCCTGGCAATGTCATCGTGATGATTGTCCACTTGCTCACTCACTCACCCACAATATAGAGTTTTCTACACAGAAGACTGACTAGGGGATACGTGCAGACAGCAGCTGACACATTTCAGACTCTGCTTAAATTGCTAAATAATTATTATCTCTACACGTAAAGACACACTAGAGCATCTGCATCACGAGGTGAAATACATTCAAATACATGCATCTTACAAGACGTGCAATCTTTACACATCTTTCATGTATTATGTTTGTTTTAGTGTGTCTACACAGCAACCTGAAGTCTGTTTTGGTCAGTTTTTACTGCTGTTATCAGTTTGTGTTATTGTAAGTGTTTCATACTGTATTAATTACACTACTGTCCAAAGCAAATTTTAAGTATAGTATACATTTATCTTATTTTTTTTTTTAATGACATTGTTTTTAAAGCAACAGTAGGCCCCCTGTTGTTAGAGCTCACAAGTATTGTTATTTAGAGATGTTATTTATTTATCGCTAATATACATTTATAAGAATATGAAATCACTTTTAACTAGCAGCTAACATTAGCACCTAGCATGTTAGTGAGATGGCTTCTGCTGCACTTTCACAAGACAGGCTGCAATGCATGATGGTTTAACTGGAGCAATAAAGTGTACAGCTTCTGTACACTGCATTTGATGTGCCTCGTGACACGTGACAGCGTGTAGTTGACAGAAACCACAAAGTAGTTTCAAATTCAACTTACACTGACTCTAGTTTTAATGTAAAAAAAAAAAGAGAGAGAGTGTGTGTTGTGTGTGTGTGTGTGTGTGTGTGTGTGTGTGTGTGTGTGTGTGTGTGTGTGTGTGTGTGTGTGTGTGTGCTATAAGTGTGAGTCTGGGGATGAACTGATGTATCTGTACAGGATGTTTTGTACAATGTAACATAATATATAAGGGACCATGAGTGATATAGAGTTATAATATTGGATTGACTGGATGTGGATGATTGTGTTTGGAGTCTCACAGTGTCTTCAAAGACAGTTTAGTTTAGTTGAGTTTCTGTAACTTCATGTATGTGCCTGAATGTAGTGACGTGAAGCAGAAGTCTGGCTTGTGTTATTAGTTATAATTGAAATAACACCTTAGAGTGTTTTTATGTTTTTTTAATGGCACATTTTTGTAAGAGAGAAAGTAACAAAAACACACATTCATCCTGAGATCAAATATATTTTACCTACATTGTTTATGAATTTGCACAGCTCTGGTTTATTGCAGTTCTGAAAGAAAAACATCTGTCTGTTCATCCTCTAAAACATTTATTGATCAATGTGAAATTTATAAAAAAAACCCAAAATGCATCATTTAGTAACTGTCAATATTGTTGTTCTGTTTTGTTTTTGTAAAGTGTTCAGGTGTTTGTTGCTGGTTGTAACACCTCCCCATTTATTCATTCCGTCATTTTACACAACAGTATGTGAATATCTGCACAGGTAATATTTGTATTCATGAAGTTGTTGTTTCATTTTAATATTTACAATATGAACAAATTATGAACACAACACTTCAGTTTCATTCCTTACAGATAGATAATTAAAATGGTACTTAATTGAGAATCAGTATTATCAGTTAATGTGGGTATATGTTGTGATATAAGTGTGATATAGATGAAATCACAGGTGTTATTATTTAAAAGAATCACAGTCCAGTAACAAAGATTATTGATCAGCTGCTCCTGTAACTCGTCTTCGTGTCCTCTGATGGCTTTAAATGGGTTTGGTAGAAAAACTGAGGAAAGATTGTTCCTGGTTGATTTGGATCAAAAGTCTCCTGTGTCAGTTATTGTACTTTAGTGCCAGGTGTATCTGTTGGACTCAGCAGCCTTTACTTATGTATAGAGAATCTAAAAAAATGAACAGGGTCTTTAGAACTGACACTTAGCAAAATGTTCACTGATCTGGAACCATTTACAACATCACATTTCTATTCAAAAACCTCAGAGGATCAAGATGTATCCCTCTGATTAGTGAAAATTTGTCACATCTATTCAAAATCTTATTTCCTGTGTGGAGGGTTTCCAGCTCTGTGGGATATCTGGACTCTTTAATTTACTGTAAATCACATATAGTGATCTTCTGTCTGTTGAAGAGGTTGTTCTGTGCTGCCACAATGTATGTCAAGCTCACTAAATGTCACTAAGTAAAAGTGGGAATAACAATATTGTGTTTTTGTTTCAGTTTCTTTTATTTTTTAAGAACTGAAGAATGAGCTGAATTGGAGTGGTAATTTACAGAAAATAATACTGAACAATAACGCAATTTAATCTCTCAGTTGAAATGTGGAAGGCCCCTATCACTGTGGAACTGGGTTCTTGAAAGTTATTCATAAATGTACTGAATCTCATTTTTCCAGAAACCCTTTGATGGGAAAGTCACAGCAACAAACTGTGTCCACCTGTATGAACTGTGTGTACACATGAACTGTGGTTTATTTGTTTATTTATCACATGAGAGGGAGTGATGTACTATATCGTATTGATATCGCCATATTAGTTAACAGCAACAACAGATTATTTGTTACATACTTCAATTCAAACGTTATTTCTGGAAATATATACATCTTTGCTATTCAAAATTTGTTACACTCTAAGACAGATAACGACCGTTAATGTAACGCTAATTAACAGTTAATAGAACACCTGTAAAGCGGAGTGATACATTTAGTTAAAAGTCCCAGTGCTGTTATACTCTATATCCGCAGAATGACTCTCGCCTAATCACTTTGTCGCAACTAACTCTTGTATAAAACGGTCTAACTAAAGCGAGACTTTCAGCTGTAAAAATGAAGCTGCTACGATTCAACAGAATTTAAATGACGCAGGACACAGAATAATGCAGCTGCTGTATGTTGATACGAAAATGTTAATTTGTGTGTATGTGTGTCAGTACAGTGTATTAGCTATGGAAACGGTGTATCGCCCCTTGTGGAGAGTCTGCAGAAACAAAACAAAGCTGCATTCAAGACCGTCGATCAGTCGGCAGAACCACTGTATGATAAGGTCATTCACCTCACGGTAAAATGAAGACTAGATTTCCCCACCGGTCACATGTTTCAGATGAGACCTGCTAGGTACAGTTCAGACACCGCGCCAGAAACACTCTGTGTCGTCTCCTGGGACCACAGACTGTACATACGGAGGGTGGGACGTTCAAGAGCGCACAGCCCACACTGCGTAATTAGACAACAGTGCTGCTGCTGCTGCGGCTGCTGCTGGTGGTGGTGCTGCTGGTTCCTACTTCCTGAATTCACAGCAACAGATGAAAAACGGTGTTTGGAGCCCACAAACATCGAAGCGGACCGTTCGCCCCGATAACCACAGGCTAAACTTTGGCTTTCAGAACCTGCATCTTCAGCCCTTCGCGTTGAGGAGAGTCGCCGCTCCGCTGCGATGGTGGAGGCTCCAGCTGGCTGTCTGTTTGAAGACATCCAGTACGAGGACATTCAAGTTGAAGCGGTAAACTTACTGACCAACAACAGAGGCTCTAACGTTAGCTCTGTGTTTTCTGGGGGAACATGTTCCTGTGGGAGTTTAAATGCTGCTGCGTTTTCTCTGTTGAGGAGCGACTCTCAGATAGAAGGTATAAGTGAGCAGTTTACTGTCCTGTGACGAGAAACACAGGGAGAGTTTAATACACCGAGGCCTGAACAAACCATTAAACATGACAGCGTTTACTATTGAAAACCCTGAAGGCATTTTAACAAGCAGAACAAGGCCCCAGTTTTTAAAAGGGCAGACTGGTCGTTAAACGTACACTAGTAAAACTCAGTTGTGGGATTGTGATTGTAAACTCTTTTTAAGGGCATAGTAAATATACAGTTTGCATTTTAAACCCCTCTTCTGATACTGAGGGGGGTATGTACTGTTTACCATGGCCACATTAAACTACTTGGGGGGTCGTGGGCTAAAATGAGTGGGTGGACCCCTGTTAACTCCCAGTTCCCCCTCTCTGTGCACTGTGTCCTGTGCAGGAGAGTTGTGTTTCTCTTCTGTGTCAGCGACACTTAACAAAGTGGATCTGTCCCCTCACGCTGTGCAAAGGTTGAGATATGAACAAAGGCACGTGTGTGATGTGTAGGCTACCGGCTGTGAATACCACATGCAGCCCACCTGTGGCCTTTTTGATCTTCTCGCGGTAAGCATGACGTTCTTCAAAGTTAATTGCCCTGTAGACCCATGTTTCATATTGTGCTCTCACAATCTGTCACTCACCAACTAGACCAACTGTCTTAAACAGTTTGTTGTGGTTTTCCTAGCCTAGCCTGATAAGTTACATGTATATATATAGATATACCCGAGGCTAAAGACAAGTTGTAAAGAGAAGAAAATGAGAAGAAAAGAGAGAAAATGCAGAAGTTAATGGAACAACAGCTGCTAGCAAAGACAACAAGGTCAGTAACACCGCTGGTAGTCAAGGTTGATAAGACCCAATCAGGGAGCGACTGTGGGTGTCTACGTCATTGTTTCTAAAGGTCTCCGTTCATGTCTGAGTTTTCAAACTAAAACAGGGTCAGCAGCGCTTCCAAAAGTCCCAATTTTTGGGACTTGAAAACTCTGGATTAGTGTGGACGGCAGGAGGAAACGTAGGAAAAGAGGTGAGTTTTAAAACGTGTGGACGTAGCCTGTTTGTTTGTCTGGTTGCATTTACATATAAGTCTGGTGGAAGTTCCAGTAGTGTTCTGTGGCCAGCCGCAGTTCTCGCTTGGATTACCTACTATGGACCCCAATTATGCTACAAGCATAATGAAGGGGAACAGGCTAGCAGCGGGTTGGATTAGCCTGACTGGCTAGCTACTACATTTAAGTTTTAAACCCATCTCTTTTGCTACATGTATGGCTGCTGTCCACACTACTCCGAAGTTTCCAGGCTTCTGATAGGGACATTTTTGGAAACGCTGCTGGGCCCATTGGCTGTTAGTTTGAAAACTGCATTGTAGTCTCGACGGGGAAAAACATAACTTAACTGTAAATAAAGATGGACGTAGCCTCCATGACATCACCCACAGGTTTCTGAAGAGCGGTTTTGAATCTCAGAGTGAGCTGCTCACCATCTTGCCAGTACCTGACTCCGCCCCTAAGTCGCAGCTAATACAAAAATGGTCAAAGAGGAGGGGCATCTGTGGAGCTTAGAGGTTCATGACAGTTTGTGGCAAGCATACGTTCACCCACCTGCCATTCAAAGAGGCCATGCCCTCAATTATACATAACTTTAAGTGGTGAATACAACAAGATAATGAATTACAAGTGTTACTGACTGTTGTCTTTGCTGACTGTTCTAGGGTTAATATCTGCATTTGAACACTACAGCTTTCTTTGCTGTTGCACATTTATTGGAGGTTCTGTCGCCCCAATGTGGATTCTGGATCCACGCTAGCATTGGCAATTCTGCCATTGACTTCTACAAGTTGACCAGTAGGTGGATATCGGTTCTGCGTGACACTATGTTTCACTTTGTTTACTGCGTGGTATTTGTTCCTGGGACGTGCAGGTAGCCTACACGTCACATATATCACTTTGTATAAGACTTTGATCTACTTGGAGACAAATCCACTTTGTTTCATCCAGGAGATGATGATTTACAAAACCATAATCACCTCCGTAACGTCCATTATGTTGTCTTGTCTTTCTTCAGGCTGTCGGCAGAGGGACATTTGGAGTTGTCTTCAAGGCCATATGGAAAGGAAAGGATGTAGCAATCAAGACCATTGAGAGTGAAAATGAAAGGAATGCTTTCCTTGTTGAGGTACGGTGATCACCTTCTGTTGTTCTGCTGAGAGTGTTCCTGCAGCTTACTGGGTTTCAGGTGTAGCCATTTAACAGGGACTGTTTAGATGGCACTGTTTAGATCTGCAATAATAATAAATGTAACCAGCTTAATATTTATATTTATATTATTATATTACCTTATATTCTTACTAAAGCTGTGTATCATTACCAATAGCAAAACAATACTTTATTTGCAATTGCTGAATTCACAAGCAGCTGGACAAGAAGTTTGTCTTTACAAAATATAGTTAGAATAAACTCATTTTGGGTTTAACTCAGGAACTGATCAAAGATTCAGTAAAAGAGATAATGAATCTGAACAAACATTCAACGACACACCTGGACAAACTACATAATACGCACTTATTTTTAAAGTGAAAAACAGTAAATACCACCTCTTCAGCAAACAGACATTAAAACTTAGGCTAAGTTCAAATGTTAATGCACTGATAATGTTCATTTCATGAATGTAAAAAAAAAATTGAAAAAAACGAAACAGTGGTTGTGGCACCTGTAAAGGTTTGTGCACCCTTCTCAGTCAGGACTCCGTGTGGCAGATATCACCTTTGTTGATTCAGGAATCTTCAGCCTCTCTTCCTGCAGGTCACTTCAGGTTCTGACAGACACTTATAAGCCGCCCAGCACACAGCATGTTTAATTATCTTAATATTTATATGGGAATCCAACCAAAGATGTTCAGTGTTGTTCAGGTCAGGAGGCTGTAAAAGATTCAGCTGGTGTTTCTTGAAGAGGTTCATGGTGGATTTTGAGATTTGCTTCACTGTCCTGTTGTAGAAGCCAGCCTCTTTTCACTTTCACTTTCCTGACTGATCCAGAATCTGTTGATATTTAATGGAATCCACTAAAGTAACTGTTGTCAAGGCGTTCAAGTTTTTTTTTCTCCAGACAAACCTTCAGTGATTGTGGCCGAAGAGCTCAAACTTCAACCGTCCACAGAACTTGTTTCCAAAATGACTCTGGCTGATCCAGATGTTGCTTTACAGACTGCACATGTTGACTTTGTGATAAGGTCATAGGTCAGGTTTCCCTCTGATGACTGTGCACCAGCTCTCCTGTGTCAGGTGAACCTTCATGCGGGGGTTTTGCTTTGTCTCTCTGACCAGCAGACGAACAGTTTTATCTGAATGTTTTCTTGGTCTTCCAGATGTGGTTTCGACTTCAGTTCCTCTTCTGCCAGCTCTTAATGACACTTCAGACAGTGGGAGTTTCAAGCTGAGGTGCTTTGATATCTTTTTATAGCCTCTCCTGGATTTTAGGCCTCAATTTGCTTCATGTTCAGATCCTCAGTCAGTTGCTCAGAGGAGACTGTGGTTGTTCAGTGTTACAACAAGGTTTGAAGAGTCAGAGAAAAGGACAGATCTGAATGGCAGTTCCTGACCTGCCTGACAAGTCCTAATGAGTCAATTAAGTTACTGAAGTTCTGGGAGGAGAAGGATGGCCAGACTTTTGCAGATGCCACAATTACTGTTGAATTGCTTCTATGTTTGAAGCTGATGAATTAAAAAGTAACGGAGCATTCACGGTTTTAACATTTATTTTTAATGTCATGTTTGCTGCAGGGTTGTATTTTGTTCTTTTCACTTCAAACATCACTGTTTACCTTTCAAACGCTTTGAAACTGTTAAAGACTGTGGTTGTATTATCACGATGAGCAAGTTTATGAGTCAGAAACAATCATCTTTTATATTAGTTTTGAATCAACCTGACCTTGAAGTATTTTCTGGAGCAGACAAAAACATGACTGACAGAGTCATTTTCATCAGCTTGGACAATCAGGAAACACAGTTGTGATTGGTGGCTGGAAGCATCAAAAACAAAGAAGAAAAAAAAGAGAGGAGGGTCTAGCCAAAGACGGGGTGGTCCAAGACGCGACCAGGGAGGAATTGTCCTTGGGGAGTGGATGACGTGCTGATCCGCCCTGACAGACAAAGGAAAAGACTCCACCATGATTAAACAGTGAAACACGATATAACAGGCTGTGGCCTGAAAACTGTCGCAGAGAAATTCCTGCAACTTTAACATTTCTCAATATTCCCAGGTGGAGGATTTTATGCATATAGCTCATCTCTAGGTCAGGAATGTTGTGATGTGAATCAGCTGACATTGTTGTCTTGAGTTTTTGTCCTGAGTGCCTGAAACCTTTGCACAGACACAGACAGATTAATGTATGAATTTGTAGTAAAGTGTATTTTGTCTCTGTGTCTGTGCTCAGCTCCGCCAGCTCTCCCGGGTGAATCACCCCAACATCGTGAAGCTTTATGGCTCCTGTGACAATCCAGTAAGTAAACAGAGAGTAACAGCTCAGCGTGGTCAGACAGACGAGTGTCTGTTGGGATGTGTGTAAAGGGCAGAAACCTTCCTGAATGAATTCACAAGCTCATTCACCAGGATCATGGAGAAGGGTTTTTTTTTTCAGAGCCCTCCTGAAGTAGAACTGCTGTGGATCAGTTTTATTTATTTAATTATTCCATCAGAGCGTCTGTCCCTCAATTCTGCCAGGCAGTACCTCATCTGACAGCCAGGTCAGAAGTGAGAGAGGAACTGAACTACATGTTGAGAGAGGAGGTGGTATCTGTTTCTATGTGCTATAACCACAGCAGTAAGATTCAGTGTATGTCACAGACTGGAAATCAGCCAGTTTAACAGACACATCACTTTTTCATACAGGTACAGAAAATATTCAGACGCAGATGGACAAATATCAACATGAAAACATGTTTTAGAAATTTTTGCACATTTATTAAAAAATCAAAAAGTGAAATCTCTCATGTATAGAAGTCTTCAGAGCCGTTTGTAGAAGCGTCTTCAGCAGCAGTCACAGCATCACTCTTCTTGGTCAGGTCTCTACAGGCTCTGAACACCTGGATCTTTGACGTAGTGATGTCATATCCTCCCTCTCACTGAGATAAAGTTGACGTGATGTGAGGACTCAGTGGGTGTGTGAGAGCTGTGGGGGTTTATCTGGGTTTTTGATTGCTGGATATGATGATACTGACTTTAATATCAGCAGAATATACAGTGGGCTCCAACAGTCTGACACCACTGTGGTCTCAGTGTTGGACTCCATCATTTCAGCCCATCATGTTATTTTCAGTCTAAACATGTAGTGAGGTGGTTGGTCGGTGGTGGTAGTGTGTTCAGAGGAAGTTACAGATCTCTTACAGCTACAGATCTTTCTCCCACCACACTGAAACCTCGTGACTCCGTGTATCACAGTGCACTTTTCCTCTTCACTTTTCTCACTCAGCGCTGCGTCCTATAGGTGAAGGTGGGATGGTCCTCCTTAACAAACAGAAAAGAGCAGCATTGTATGGTGTTTATTTATAAGGCTCTGATACAGAAACTGCCAGGTTATGCCTGCTCTCTGGTAACATTTAAACACAGCACTTACAACATGAGGTCACTGGACATTTTAACTTTAGCTGAACCTCTTGTTCATACTGAACTTCAAATGCTTTGCTGCATACAGATGGAATGAGCTCAAGTTACACTCTCTTATTTCACTGGAACATTTTAAAAGACTGTACTTATGTATTTATCTATCTATTTGTCTATCACACTTGCACATGCTTTTCTTACATGTGTAATGAATGAATGAATGAATGTGTGTGTCCATTTTAATGCCCATGAATTTATGTGAGTCTGTCTATTTATATAAACTGTGTATGTTTATTTTTGTACAGAAGTCTGTCTTGAAAAAGATCCTTATCTCAATGACACTGCCTGTTGAAGTAAAAGGATTTAATAATAATACAGATGAGCAGGTTGACTGCTGAGGTCAGTAACATGGTTTGTGTTCTCAGGTGTGTCTGGTGATGGAGTACGCAGAGTGTGGCTCTTTATACAACCGTAAGTCATTTATTAGTGTCATGATCAACAGCATCAGCTGCTTTTTATTATTAAAGGAATTCTGGTAATTAAACATTAACAGTTAACACACACACACACACACACACACACACACACACACACACACACACACACACACACAACACATTTTATTGCACATGCACTGAGTGAGTGACATCATCAGTGTGTTTCAGCTCTTGTGTTCATACTATTACTCAGAACTATTCTGCTCTGTTTGACAAGATTACTACTAAAGAGTGTGTGTGTGTTGTCTCTCTCTGCTGGTCTCTCCAGTCCTGCACAGTGCAGACCCTCAGCCCCACTACACAGCAGCCCACGCCATGAGCTGGTGTCTGCAGTGCGCCCAGGGAGTCGCCTACCTGCACTCCATGAAGCCAAAGGCCTTAATCCACCGAGACCTCAAACCACCAAAGTAAGACTCTGCAGACACGGGGGGACAAGGTTCAGGTTCAGGTTTCTATTAGCTTTCTATTAGATATGTGTTTCCTAAACTATTGCTATCCATTCACTCAGGATGTGTGGCTCTATTCTGAACCACGTCATCGTGACAGAAATATTCCTATCAGTCTCTTATCATTGATACTCCACCCTTCAGATGAGACCCAGCTTGTGTTCAGTCTCTGATCCCTGTCCACTGTTTCAGTCTGCTGCTCGTGGCTCGGGGCACGGTGCTGAAGATATGTGACTTTGGCACAGCTTGTGATATTCAGACCTACATGACCAACAATAAAGGCAGCGCAGCGTGGATGGCTCCAGAGGTGTTTGAAGGTGAGTCATGAAACATTGCTCTCACTCCTCCCTCTGATTTAACATCACGCCTCTGATTGCCTCCACCCTCCACAGAGTGGATTTCACCCGACAGAGAGGAGGTGGAGTTTTGAGCTGTGTTTAAGTTCCTCTCCAGCAGACATGTTCATCTCCAGACAAAAATCCTCTGCTATCATTCATATTTAGCTTTCACACATAAAACATCTTTTATTTGTTTATGTTGTTTGTTAGCTTGTAACTGGCAGTGGCTGACACAGTGTTAGTGGTTGTGCTAATGCTAATTTTCTCTCTCTTTGTACTGACAAGGCTTCAGGTTTATTTAGCCCCGCCCCCCGTACCCACAAGTTGACAGGGTTTGGTTCCTTAGGTTTGTGACGTATGAAACCCTGAGTCTGTTTTTATGAGACTGTCTGTATTATTTAAAAACATCATGGATGTTAACAAGGTTAAATACTGGGTTTTCATCAGAGGACATCTTTAATTTTGAAGTTTATGACTTCACAGCGTTACTAGCTGTGCTTTACTCTCACATTCGTGTGTCAGGTTGATAAACTGAGTCCTCGGACACACTGAGTGTAATGCTGCTGTGTGTTCCTCAGGCAGTAACTACAGTGAGAAGTGTGACGTGTTCAGCTGGGGCATCATCCTGTGGGAGGTCATCACACGCAAGAAACCCTTCGATGAGATTGGTGGTTCGGCATTCTGTATCATGTGGGCCGTCCACAGAGGTGAGGACCCCCCACTATGACTATGACATCAACTGTCTGTTAGTAATAAAGGGAGACTCCAACAGTTTGACACGTCAGAGTGTGTCTCTGGGCTCACTGACTGGACTCCAGGTCTAATAACTCCTGAATCCAGTTAGCAGCTAGCTTCATTACGTGTAGACGTTCCAGGTCTCTGACTGACTGACTGACTGGGTGTTTCCTGTTGACGAAGGTACGAGGCCCCCCCTGATCAAAGACCTCCCAGAACCCATAGAGACTCTGATGACCCGCTGCTGGGACAAGGAGCCCAGCCAGAGACCGTCCATGGAGGAGGTGAAGAACACCATGAACCACCTCATGAAGGTACAGTAGCTGTGTGTGTTTGTGTCCAGACAGAGCTAATGGAATATAACATTAACGTCACATTCATTAGCCTCAGAGTTTGGTAGGTGTGTTTTTGAATTTTTGACAGTGTCAAGCTTTTGTCCCTGCTAAGTTAGGCTAACCACATCATGTCCTACCAAGACTGGTCTTTACTGCAGGAACATGCAGAGTCAGACACTCCTGCGTTTATTTAAACAGTGTTTCCACCATCATCACTAGTGTAAACACTGTTTAAATACCTTCACACTGACTGTCTACCACTTCTGTATTTTTACAGATTTAGAGTTTAAACTATCACTACTGACCATGGGGCTTCAGCTGTGGGTCAGAGATTAGTGGATTTAAACACACATCTGTTCACTGGAACATTGTGTAGATATGAAGTGTTGTGCTGGAAGCAGACTGATGGTTCAGTTTGTGGCGGGGTGATTGTAATCCTGGTTCAAGATTAACCTGAAAACTAGTCTGACTAGGTTTAGTCTCGAGGGAAAGGGCTCCATGGTAACTGAGGTCAAATTTATCTAAACCTCAAATCTGAAACAGAATTTCCTGCCTGAGGGGAAAGAAATAGAAAAGCACTTTTAGTTTGTTAACACCAATAAAATAATGAGATACCAGGTTTTGTGTATCAAGTGCAGTGAGTGGTTTTTGTGCATGATGGTTGGTGTGTTTGGGTCTTCCAGTACTTCCCAGGCTCTGATGAACCGCTCAAGCTCCCTCACCAGTCCTCAGCCAACAGGAGTGGCTCTTCATCAGCCACGAGCACCGGTAACAATCAGCTCTGCAGCTTTCATTGTTCATGCATGGTTGTTGTTTTCAACAGATGGGTCAGTGTGTGAGTGTGTGTGTGTGTATATGTCTTTGCCGGCTGAAGGGTCGTACGCTGACTACACCATCAACAGTAACAAAAGCGATGACAACACAGAATGCAGGAACTCAATGGGCAGAGAGGAAACGCTGAAGAGCTTCGAGGCCAAGTTTCCTCTACAGTTCAAACCATTAAAGGTAAATACACTGAAGTGTGAGTCTGATCACACTGTCTGAGTCTGATCACACTGTCTGAGTCTGATCACACTGAGTCTGATCACACTGTCTACTTCATGATTTAACCTCTCTCCCCTCAGACAGCCACACTGCGGACTGGTCTGTCCAGGGTGTCAAGCATGGACAGTCAACCAGGACGCTCCCAAAGCCCCACCTACTGCACCAGCCCTGTGACCACCACTGGCCAATCAGAACTGAGGATGACCTTTAGTCCTCCAGGTAGGCAGCGAAATGTACATGCATGGTTTGGCCCAGAGCAGGAGGGTGTTTTAGGTTTAACAGAGCTGCAGGAGTGTGTGAATGACAGGGGAATAGTGTTGGGTACCAGGGGGCCAGGGGGGCCAAAAACTCAGAAGAGTTTTAGTTGAAAACACAGGAGACAGTCTGAAAACGTTTCATTGGATGAAGAACCAAATTTGCCTTTAAACAAATTCAGGAAATCATCACATGTTGTTGCAGAAGAGATGACAGGATTTAACACTCAACAAGAACCTGGGGATTATGACGTTTATTGGAGATGGGATGTTATCATCCTATTCATCACAGTGTGACCACACACACCAACAACACACACAGTCAGAGCTCTGAATCCTCTTGCACTGTCCACGTTAAACCACTGCAGGGCGCTAGACTGCAACCTACCACTGTGTTACACTGACAGTGACGTGTGTGTGTGTGTGTGTGTGTGTGTGTGTCCTCAGCCACCAATGGTTTAGACAGCTCCATGGCCTACCTGAAACTGGATCATCAGTTACAGGTGAGTTGAAAATAAACGTTAGTCTTGATTGGATGAAAACCTTTAATTGATTTAATTATACTGTACTTGTTGTTATTAATTTTATTATTATTATTATTATTACAACTTTTTTTGACTATTATGTGTATCACTGGGTCACTTTATGTGAGTCTAGTCCTCCTCCTCAGTACATACTGTCCCTGTAGAGCAGCTCTGTGCAGCGAGTACAGTACAACAGTAGAATTAGATGTTTATACTTATCACAGTCTGTAATGGATTCATGTTTATGTCAAAGTACACACAGTATGAAAGAATAAAATGTATTGAGTTAAATGGTCATGTTTATTGATAAATAAGAAAAGGGTGAGTATGCTAATTAGGGCGATGTTCAATAATATCGAATATCATGATATGATCTCATAGTATATGGGTGTTATATATACACATTTGTACACATACATTGAACTTCCTGTGTTTGTAAAGTTGAGCTCTTTTACTTCTCACATTCATAGCTTCAGAATTATCATTGATCACGCTCAGTCAGAAAGGGACAGGGATTGATAGATGATTTATTAATTGATTTGATCTCATTCTGTCAGAAATACTTAGTTTGAACTAATCAGTTTCCTGAGGTTGTGTCCATGTGCAGGTGTTTGAACTCCACATAAATACTGGTTTTGTTTGATACCATTATCTTTTCACAGTATTGCTCTGTGTTGATCTGAAACCTGTGTTACACCTTGTTATTGATTGGTGTATTGATTACTGATCTGTCCCTATGCATTCAGCCTCTGGCTCCATGTCCAAACTCCAAAGAGTCCATGGCTGTGTTTGAGCAGCACATCAGGATGGCACAGGAGTACCTGAAGGTCCAGTCTGAGATTGCTCACTTTGTCCGGAGGAAGTAAGTCAACTCGAATATTGTGTGTAAATATCTTTAATAGAACTATATACTTCTGTAGGCATGTTGTAACTTAACTGCTTTTAAATCTGTCTGCTGACAGTTGGTAGTCATGGTGACATGTATGTGCGTGGGTGCAGTGAGGAGTTCAAACAGAGGTGTGTGTTTCAACGTGGTTGTCAGGTCCTAACCATGTTAGCAAAATGAAGTAAAAATATTGAAGAATGAAGTAACGACTCGCTCCTGTTTGTTCAAAGTGTCCGTATTGTCCTGACAGTAACAGGAGGTCTGTCCCTCTCTGTCCAGACAGGAACTGATGTCTGAGCTGGAGCAGGACCAGAGGGAGCAGCAGACCTCGTCTCGAGTCATCCAGGAGCACAGCAAGCTGCTGGAGGACAACAGCCACCTGTCGGCCTACCACCAGGGCCTGAAGAGCAAACTGAGCCTGATCAAGAGTCAGAACCAGCACCACAGCTAGGACAGGAGGCCGGGCCACAGCAAACCAGTCTGTGTCTCCTCTGTTGGTTTTACTCTGTTTTACTGCCTGTTTCTCTGAAGGGAGGGGGGAAACACTCCAGCTCAGCGTATCGTAGGCTAAGTCATCATCATCAGAAAATAAGACATTTAATTCACAACCAAACTATGTATCAAGACAACATTAGAATTAAATTACTAGTTTGGACTACAAGTGTTAAAGTGCGACTGAAATATAAATGCTCATTTAGTTATTTTCTGTAGAATGAAATCTAAGCTACAATGAGGCCGCTGTCACAGCCATGTTTGACATCTGAGTGGGTTGAGTGTGAGCTGGTATTGAAAGGACCTGTCATGTTGTAAAATGAAAATGCTTATTCTTATAATTGTGGCCTTTCTGACCATACGTCACCTGCACTGTAGAGATTTGTTCAGTCCAACTTCTGGGCAAAAAAACCTTGTGTGCCTCCTAAAGTTTATCAAATAAGCTTCACTTTTACATAAATAATTTCAGACATTTGTCAGTACTTCCCTAGATTAGCTCCTCTAAATAACTGAGGTCAACTGAGCTAGCTTGCGAAGTTTGCCCTGATATACAGTACGTTGTTTCGTGAAGGTGATGAATACAAAGGTAGCTTGACCCACAGTCAGAAAGGCCGCAGTTCTGAGAGTAAGAGCGAGGATGGATGGAAGCTAGTTAGCTCTGCTTGCTAACATTATCACCAATCACATCTCGCTAGCGTGAGCTCTCTTTCTTTCATGGATCCAGATGTAGTAATGACAAATGACTGGACTGTAGGATGACCTTTGACCTTTGACCTCAGCGCTCAGAACTTGACTGTGATTTGAGTTACGGATCGACGTACAGAGCGCTGAGGTCACCGAAGGTGGTGGGGCTAACTGGAAACAGCAGTTGACCCCCACCCTGGTTCAAACATATTTCCAGTTTAGGTTGTTGGAAAATAAGCAATAAAACAAACACTTTTTTTAGAGCCTGCACCAATCAAATTACAGTATGAGCATCGTATGTCAGTGCCAAAAATTCACACTATAAAACACAAGAACAATAACTAGAATATACATTTCTTAGTTTTGGTGATTCAATTTTTAATATTTATGAAACACATTTCCTAAAAAGCAGAATTTCAGTTTGAATCTTAAGTTGTGAGATAATGAACTTAAAAAGATTGTAGCTACCATGTCCTCTCTCGGCCCCTGCACATTTGGTGATGGAGTTGGCCATAAAATTATTTAGTCCCATTCATTCCAGTCTTTACCACTGGAGTGGACAGGGTGGGACCGAGGAGACTTAACATGAACTTTTATTCTGAAAGGGACTTGTATTCATATAAAAACAGAACCTTGAGGCGTCATTTATAAGACAGCTTGCCTTTTAGCCAGTGAGTTTCATTTTTGTTGTGTTTTCTTTTTTGAATTGTTAAAAAGTAATTTCAGTTGTGATTTGTAAATGACTTTTATATCTTTAGTTTATCCCTTTTTATTGTGTTTTATGAAAAGAGAAGCAGCAGGGTGGGCTGTACCGTTTTAAACCAGTTTTACTGTGAATACATGTTACCAAAGGAGTTCTGCTGCAGAGACACGCTGCCTCAGAGCAAAAGAAAAGCTTTGTTTGAAATGGAAATAACTGTAGAATAATGAACTTGACCGAGTTTTTTTATGTTTTTTTTTTTTTATCTGTTTAATTTCTATTTTCTCGAGTTACTTTTTGCACACAGCCACGTTTCACAGAATTATATTAACATTCTTCTGCACTGCACTTATTTGGGTCAAATGAAATCTTCAGCATGTGTTGTAGTCTCACTTTACTTTGGGATGGGTTGTTGTTTCAATGCGTTCAAACGTTGCCTTAGGATTGTTCCTGTACAGCTCATTTTCTCAGTTTATTTCATGGATACTTTTAATTGAAGCCTTAGAATTCCTGTGATTTCAAAATGTACAGACTGTAATTATATACTTTTAGAAAGTAAAAAAAAAACGTGTAGTATTTTCTCTGTTGTTTTAATTTACAAAACTGCTTTTAGTGTAGGTGTCTTACCTGCCAAGAATTGGATAACAGGAGGATAAATTCTGCTGCTCTGGTGAAACCATGGTGTGACAGATTATTTGAGGATTTGCACAAAGTAACACTGCTGGTCAACAATACAATGCATGTATTCAGTTTGCTGAGTAACACTTACCCCCTCAAACTATTCCAGTATATCAAGAGTGGTATTCATTTTACGTAAGGGATGGGTATCGTTAAGAATTTAACGGTACTACTACTTTTATTGATACCATTTATCAATCCGGTACTTTAACGGTACTGTTATCGGTACTTTTTTGTCATTTTATAAGAAAAAAACAAAACAAATGAAGAACAGAATTAAAATTGCTTATTTTCTCATAGCATTGCTTAACAAACCAACAAACAACGTGCCCATAACAATCAGATGGCTATTGGTTACTTTTCATCATAAACCCATGTTTGTATAATTTAATTTACTGTGTGTGGCTCCAGGCTACAGCATACAGAGCACACATGACACAACGATGGAAGCTTGTCGGTCGAAAACTGTGACTTGTACATTTTTCCATCCTTGTGTAACTGATTTTCACTGGATGTTTCCAGAGATTCGCTCGTGTTTCCGCTCTTACATGCAACAGACTGAACCCCACTTTAAAACGTTGAGCGCTCTATGCCATTGACACTAAGAGCAGGGCCTGTGTCTCTGTGCTGCACTGTGCTCCGGCGTATGACACAAAGCTGCCCCCGCCCCTCACACAGGAAGGAAAGAGAGAGAGAAAGAGAAAGAGGCCTCTCACAGTGAAAATGCGTCATTCATAGATGAATGTCTTAATCAGAAACAGAGTTGGTGAGATAAAATGCACAAGAGAATTTATGTTGCAATAATAAACAGGAAATCTATTTTCTTAATTTCTCAAGTACCAAGAGCAGAACCGATAACGCTGGAGCTTATCGATACTCTGGTCTTTAAAACTTTAGCCCCGGGGCCTCTTTAATACTAGGTTTCGGTACCCATCCCTAGTAGCAGGTATGAATTTTTACATAATATTATGCTGGTATGATTTGTAGCTGTAAACTGCAAAAAGCTGTTGACACCGATGAGTTCAAGTCCCCCTGTTGTCAAGTCTGACAACAGGGGGGTAGTAATGTCTGGTCTTCTGAGTAAGAGAAGAAGAACTTCAACTAATCATAGCGTTGGGTTCAGACCCCCAAATGTCAAGAGGGGATAACCGACAGATGTCATTCATCTCAACACAGCAACAGAAACAGGTGTTACAGTCGCAATAGTCTGTGGAAGCATTTGAACTAAGCATTAGACTATTATGGTACGCCAAATACTTCTCCCAAAGGTTGGCAGCTCTGCCTGTCATTCAGGGTGCAGGCTGGTCCCAACGGATAAATCCAGGACTGAATTTCTTTCCTTGTACAGCTGTGCTGTCTCCACCGTTGTAAAGCCTCACAGATGCTAATGTGGGTTTGCACCCTTACCTGATCATAGCACTCATTTTAAAAAGTTTTAGTCTTATGACCTCATCTTTCAGCTGTTCCTCGACCATCTTTCCTTCTAGACAGTGCAATTATGTTGTGGAGTATATTCCGCCGTCACACCACCGCTTCTTTGATTGGGCCCCAGAGTCCAGGATCACCCCTGCCGCTTGTCAACACCAGGTTTGGATGTCTGTTTTGATTATTTTTGGGAAACAACTGACGTGCCAGTCTTTCTTACCTGGTTCATGCATGTGAGAAACATAGATGATCACACAAAAATAACACAGTCGAACATTTTCATGCCAAAAGAACAGTGAATACACAGAAGAAAAAAAAATGCATGAAATAATGAAAGAAACCCAAGTCTTAAATGAATCTTTCTGAAGTGCTGTGATTTCCCATCATGCAGTTTTTCAACACTGTGTTCACAGAACACAGTATCTGGAGAAAAGAGGGAGTGTGGCTGTTGTTGATGTTGCAGTTGCAGGTTGGTCCTATCAAGTAGGAAGCACATGAGTAGTGACAGCGCAGCAGAGCTCAGTGTGTTCTGACAAACAGCTTTGTCTGCAGGACGGTGGCTCAACCTCCCACTCATACACCCAGCCTGTCCACGTCCTGTCTGTGAGCACTGTCAGTCACTCTCTCTCCTGCTCTTTCTGCTCGGTGTGTCTTGTTTAGTTATTCCTCTGCCTCCTTTAGTAATAATGATACATGTTATGAAAGTAGTTTATTTGCTGTAATGGAGGCGAGGCTCAGTCTATTGGAAGTGTTCCTTCTCTTCCTTGCAGTTCCCTAGCAGCTGGAAAACCAGAGCGCCTTGCTGGACTGCTGCTCAGCACTCCACTGACCACTGCTGGAAATATCATCAGACAGTCAGTCAGTCAGTCAGTCAAGGACATTCGCATTCATAAGGCTGGCCCTGCTCTTGTGGTCCAACCAAAAGTGCAGAGATCTGTGGAAAGAAGAAAGACTGAAGAAAAGACATCAGAGACAAACACAGGACATGTTGCTCTTTTTCTACCCAGATGTGTGTCGTGAAGTACCACCACCTAACCGACAGATTCAGTCACTGTAACTTTTCATTTTCTCATCAACAATCTCACAGTCACACAAAGAAGAAAGACACGTCCTCGTCTTCGTCCATTGTTTACTTGTATGCCTGTTTCACACTGAATCAGCAAACCCTTGGCAAAGCACTATTAATTGTTGAAATAAATTTGCATGATGTACAGTGCATACATTTGTATATACATGTGATTTATCTGAAATACTCTAATCTTTGTAAGCACTTAAACAATCTCTAAAAATGCAGCACTTAGACAGTAAGATGTTTTTAAATATTTATTTCAGTTACCTGCAAACCTATCATCCATTTATTCACAGAAATATATATATTGTCTTTTTCTAATTTCATGCTTAGTTTAATTTACATCTTTAATTGGCCCATTGAAGAAGCTGAGGATGAGTTGAGAGTAAGACTTTGATTTGTGGGTATAAAGGTTTATTATCAGCAGGAGGATACTGATGTCATTTCTGCTTTAAGGAGAGGACTGGATTCACTTGAATGCGACGCTGCAGTTTCCATAGCGATGCATGGTTTTTATAAATCCCAGTACTCCCTTCAACAATAATTTGACATGCTCTGGCAACACGCACACACACACACACACACACACACACACACACACACACACACACACAGAGAAAACTCCTGGATGACAGGTTGGGCGGAATTTGAACCCACCTCGCTCCCTGATGATCAGACATCAGCAGCTTCACCTGAGGAAGGTGTGTGAATGTGAATTCACGGGGTTTGTCACCTCCTGCTATAGTTAGACCTTATTATTGAGTTAGACAAGTCCCCCAACACTATTCTAATGTGAGTTACAGAGATACACTGCAATAAAAACTTACTTTTTTTTTTTTTTAAGACAGGAGCTGTTTCTGTAGGAACAAACCCTTCACTTTATTTTGTTATAAATTTAATTTTGAATGGATCAAATATCCATTTTTACCATCAGTCTAGATTCAGTAACAAGTGAAACATGTTTGTAGAAATCACTCATTACTACAGTGTTCAGACTCTTTGCTGTGACTCCAGTTTGTGGTCAGGTTCATCCTCTAATGCTTTTATTATCACTGGGATGAGTCTAGAACTTGACTGGAGTCCACCTGTGGTGAACTGAATTGACACACCTGTGTACATAAGATCCCACAATTCACTGCAGCCCCATACACAAATGTAATATACATATATAAATAATAATAAATATATATGTATATAAAATGAAAACATATATGTAAAATTGTATATAAATTCTATTAGAAATTGGAACTATTTTCTTGTATTAACATATACCGTATGTCTTGCCCATACAAATATGTATGCTATATATATATCATAGACATGTTACATAAAAATCCATCTCAAAGTCTGTCAATACATGACAGTATATATATGATTTTGATATTATATACAGAAGGGTCCAAAAGTCTGAGATTAATAAGACATTATTAATATACAACATTTTCTATATGTATGTTGTTTTAATTAACTTGCATATATAAATTAAATATATATTGTTAACATATATTCTCATAGCATGTAATACCACATAAAAGATATTCATATATTTTAAATATAGCTTACAGTATGTACATATACAAATTTTACTTTGGGTATTTCAACTTATATCAACTTATGTCTTTATATATCCAGACTCTGGATATATAAAGACATAAGTGGATGTATCCAGAGTCCAGAGGATGTATATACGTGATAATAATATATCACCTTACATGTGTATATGGCAACATCACTCTTGATATAGGGACATATATATCATAGCCTATATTACATTTCTGTGCGGGAGGTCAGGACAGAAACCAAACCATGAGTTCAAGTGTAGACTGATGGGGAAAAAATGTTAGTTTTATCAAATTAAAATTAAACCTGGTGTTGGGGAGGATTGCTGCATATGGAGGAGAAGTTGTATATAAAAGTCTTCTGTGTTTCCAAAGACACATACTGTGGTGATGTCTCTTGATTCAGCATTGGTTCACTCTGAGTTTGAAATTAAAAAAAATCTGGGTGTGTGGAGTAAGAGAGACGGGAGTTTACCAGACTCT